TGTATTTCTAAGTATTAACATTTGGATTCTAGGCTGCTAAAACGAAGGGGCAGGAGAGACCTTCCTGAAGCAGCCAAGAACTGAGTAGAAATTGAGCTGAGGCCATTCAAATGCAGTGGCTCTGAGGAGTTTTCTCAGCAGCCTTCTGTCTGGTTTTCTAGCCAAGGGCAGGGTAACGTTATTGGCCCTGGGGAACATTGCAAAGTCATTTGTGCTTAGGTTCAACAGTATCCACCTCCTGTAATTCGACTATGTACTATATAATCAAACCAACATTTTCATTGTTCAGGTCAATGCGTTACATCATCACAAAACCCCACTCAAATGCCTGGACAAAAACAAAGTCGCATTGCTGCTCATCACTTTAAAAAATATTAATATTATTAGCATTAGTCTTGTGTCTTTACTTTCTTTTAACAAAATTCCCATGAAAAGGTGGTGGTAGGGACACGGGAGACATCTTAGCCCCACTTCGAGCCTCTTGGATGGACAAGCTAGACCTCTTAATAAATAGTTTTAAAAATTACCTTAATATTGTTACCCTGAGGCAGAGGACAATGGGGAAACTGCTCCACTCATAAATCTTTCTATTTCTTTGCCATAGTTCAATAGGAAAACGTACAGCCAAAGCCTATTCATGTTTACTCAGAATTAAAGCCCGCAGTGTCATGTTATAAACATCCATTCTCTCCATGCCATGCATAATTTTGTAAATATCTATCACATCACCTCTTGTTTGCTTTCTTTCTAACTTAAAAAGTCCCAAAGGCCTTTCCTCATAGGCAGCCATCTTGGGTGCAGACCTCAGAGGGACACAGAACTGACCTCTGAGGGGAAGCTTGATACATATTAGTTTTTTCTAATATCTTAAAAATTGCTGGTAAGATTTTACTTTAATTTTATGTTTTGTCAAATTTTATCATTTTTAAGTAATTCATATATTCAGCAATATTTTTATAGAAAAAGAGGTACAACGCTTCCTTGTTCTCATATAACGGCAATGGCACCAACGTGAGAGGTGCCGAAACTGAGTTCTTGCAAGTTCCAGCTGAAAAAAGCCCTTCATATATTAGAATTGGGATATATATATATATATGAAGTAGAGAAGACCGTAGAGTTGGTTGGAGGCTATTATTATTTAAAAAAAATTATTATTTATTAAAATTGTATAACACTGTCCATCTGTAGATCTCAGGGTGGTTCTCAGCATAAAAATACAAGATAAAAACACAGATAATAAAAACAAGAACAGAAACAAAACAAAACAAAACAAAACAATAAACCTCCTCCCACAAACACATTTAAAAGGGTATAGGATGTTAATCAGCCCAAGGCTGGTTGAAGAGGAACATTTTCGCCTGGCACCTAAAGGTGTGTAATGAAGGCGCCAGGCGAACTTCTCTGGGAGGAGCATTCCACAAGCAGGGAGCCACTGCAGAAAAGGCCCTGTTCTCATGTTGCCACCCTCTGGACCTCTTGTGAAGGAGGCACATGAAGGGCCTCAGAAGATGATCTCAGGGTCCGGGTTGGTTCATATGGAGAGAGGCGGTCCTTGAGGTATGGTGGTCCTGAGCCATTTAAGGCTTTATAGGTCAAAACGAGCACATTGAATTAGGCCTGGAAGCCACACTCCGGTTTGAGCCAACTGACTTGTGCCACAGCACAGAACCAAAAAGCGCCCATCTTTTGGTCCTCTGCTCTGGTGCAGAGAGAGCACGGGACTCAAAATGGGACATCCAGAATTGGGATCAGAAGGCGTCTGTCAATCCAGGATGTCCAGCTTAAAATGCGGCACCTGACATTGCTACCTCTGTCCCCCTCAGTAGGGAGTCACCACCTCATGTCTCCTCCTCCTCTGGGGAGTTGTAGAAATCATTTTGTACACTGTCCCTTCCACAGTCAGCTCAGTGTGTTCTGCAACTGCTTTACTTGCTCCTCTGGCCCAGAATAAGAAAACAGATTGCCAGCAGGGTAGGAGTTTTGCACCTCTAACCTTGGCATATTTTCCTCCAGTCCCTGCATTTGGGCCAATATATGGAATCTTCCCCTCATGTCTATTGGAGCATATCTGGATATTATTAAGCTAGGTTACAAAGCAAGAGTCTTATGGCTCAACAACTTCCTACTCCTTCCTCTCAACTTGCCTTCTCCAGACTGCAATTCCCTTTCTCTGAGATCATTTGCTTTGAAAGTAGTAAGTGGGTTATCAGCAGACGCGTCAACTATCAGTAGTCTTGGATCTGACGGGTATATGACAAGAATGGAAAACGACTGCTCCAAATCCATTTCCTGTGTTTATTTGTTTTTGCTGCAAGTTGTTCAGCTAAAAAATGTTGAACCAGCCCTAGATGAAACAGGTTCAAAAGACTGAAAGAAGCATCGCCACTTGACCTGAAGGAACTGGTGATAAACTTTGCAAAGCAAAAGGCACACAAAGAGAGGTTATGATGTGCCTGAAATTAAGAGACTTAAATTTTAACATCACAATTCACAATATTATTCAGAATTATTTGTGTGCTAAAAAACTTTCATTTGTATTTGATAAAGATAACCAAAGATTGCTGTATTACCTAGTCTTGCAATTTGAGATAAATTTAGCAGTTTCAGGTTTTGTGCATTTTTTCTACAAGAAATCCATTTTTTTTTTTTTTAAATTGAAGTTAGCCATTTTGAGGGGCGGTGGGCACAAGTAGTTAGCCTTGCCTAAGATGCAAAATAGCCTGGCACCAGCACAACTCCTGGGGAAGTTGCTTCATCATGTCCATGAGGGAAAGTAAATCCTTTATAAAAATAAATGGTGCAATATATTACATCCATCTCTGCATGCTGGGTTACAGGTTGCTCTTAACAGATCAAATGCCAAGAGCTGCAGACCTTTCATGCTCTAAAGCTGCGTAACGCATGCCTCCAAACCCACAATACTGTCCAAAGGCAGCTCGGGAGCCATGATGCCAACAATTAAGAGTACATCCCCCATAATGGTCTATATTTTTAATTTATTTTTTGCTTTTTACTTGTTTTTACGATGTTATTGTTTGGTTTTATATTGCTGTAAATCACTGTGATGTATTTTTTCTGAAACGGTATATAAGGTGCCCCATGATATTCTTGCAAAGAAGCTGGTAAAATGCGGTCTTGACTATGCTACCACTCAGTGGATTTGTAACTGGCTGACTGACCGAACCCAAAGGGTGCTCATCAATGGTTCCTCTTCATCCTGGAGAAGAGTGACTAGTGGGGTGCCACAGGGTTCTGTCTTGGGCCCGGTCTTATTCAACATCTTTATCAACGACTTGGATGATGGACTCAAGGGCATCCTGATCAAATTTGCAGATGACACCAAACTGGGAGGGGTGGCTAACACCCCAGAGGACAGGATCACACTTCAAAACGACCTTGACAGATTAGAGAACTGGGCCAAAACAAACAAGATGAATTTTAACAGGGAGAAATGTAAAGTATTGCACTTGGGCAAAAAAATGAGAGGCACAAATACAAGATGGGTGACACCTGGCTTGAGAGCAGTACATGTGAAAAGGATCTAGGAGTCTTGGTTGACCACAAACTTGACATGAGCCAACAGTGTGACGCGGCAGCTAAAAAAGCCAATGCAATTCTGGGCTGCATCAATAGGAGTATAGCATCTAGATCAAGGGAAGTAATAGTGCCACTGTATTCTGCTCTGGTCAGACCTCACCTGGAGTACTGTGTCCAGTTCTGGGCACCACAGTTCAAGAAGGACACTGACCAACTGGAACGTGTCCAGAGGAGGGCAACCAAAATGGTCAAAGGCCTGGAAACGATGCCTTATGAGGAATGGCTAAGGGAGCTGGGCATGTTTAGCCTGGAGAAGAGGAGGTTAAGGGGTGATATGATAGCCATGTTCAAATATATAAAAGGATGTCATATAGAGGAGGGAGAAAGGTTGTTTTCTGCTGCTCCAGAGAAGCGGACACGGAGCAATGGATCCAAACTACAAGAAAGAAGATTCCACCTAAACATTAGGAAGAACTTCCTGACAGTAAGAGCTGTTCGACAGTGGAATTTGCTGCCAAGGAGTGTGGTGGAGTCTCCTTCTTTGGAGGTCTTTAAGCAGAGGCTTGACAACCATATGTCAGGAGTGCTCTGATGGTGTTTCCTGCTTGGCAGGGGGTTGGACTCGATGGCCCTTGTGGTCTATTCCAACTCTATGATTCTATGATTCTATATAAACTTTTTTTTTAAAAAACTAACAATGTCAAAGCATATGATATGATGAGAGGAACCTTTCCTTCTATAGTTTCTGGTTCAGGAACCCTGTCAAATTTGATTATTAGATGTTCCACCTGTTTTTGGTATATGTCATAGTGGAAACCCACAACATTAATCCTTTTCCAACACATAGATTTCTCCCGAGTACAACACGAGCATTTATGCACACTTCCAACAGTTCTAAAAACGTGTTCCAGTTCACATATCTTGTTCAGTTTCCCCAAACATATACTGTGGAATATTATCTGCAGCCCTTGTTGCTGTTTCAGTTATGTTTTCCTTTTCTCAGATTAACATTTGAACTGGCGAGCTTCTTTCTAAGTTGCCATACAAAGAAAAAATATTCATTTATTAATGAGACAAATATGTCTCCTGCTTTATTCATATGTTGGCTGACTACAGAAAACCAGTATCTTCTCCAATGTTATTTAAGGGTTGCTATATTTTGAAGAGCAAAAAAGAGGACACATTTGCCGACCTCTGCTTTTAACTATGGCTCTCTCTGGCCACTCTCATCATGAAAAGGAGGACGTGTCCTGGAAAAAGAGGACATGTGGCAACCCTTGTTATTTTCTCTTCTGCAGTTGGTTTACCTACCTTCAAGTTATTTAGCAACTTGGCATACCCTTTATCTTCACTGACATTTGTGGTTAATTCTTCATACTTGAAACAAAGCTGCAGATTTAAGTGCGCGATACTGCCCATTATGCTTTTGTGTCTCTGCTTGTTAATATTTGAAAGACAAAATTGGCCTTTTACATGAGTCAAGTTGCATCTGGTCTCCAAATGCCACATCGTTCCATCATTCCGTCTTTACCATTTTTTTAAACATAATGGATAAAAGGAAGCATGATGCTGGGTATCATAGTAATCTAATCTATGACTGGAAGTAAAGGTTTAATAAGTTTGCACAGAAGCAGAGCAGGTTCTTCACTCAGGTTTCAATACTCCATCTTCTACCTATGCCCCACCAGGAGCACAAGTAACCAGGGGATGGTCAGACCTCCAATATTTATCCTGTAGGAACAACAATGCAACAAGACTCAGCACAACCTGTTCTATTGAACACAAAAGCTCTAATTGCATGGATCAGGAGGTGTTTACCTGTGCTTTCACATCCATCCAACCAACAAAGAAGAGTCACTGTTGAGCATTACTGCACGTGACCAGTTATTCTGCTTGATCACAGCACTAAGGATTTGATACACAGATTTCTTTTCAGGATTGATTTAATAAAGCATCCTCATTTGGCCTTTGTTCCGCTTGGACTTGCAGAGCACTAGTGAGCAATTGCAAACCACCCGGCGCAGCCGGCTACAGCAGGGCAGCCCAACCTCTCAGACCGTGTGGGCCGCAAGAGCACTTCCCCACAGAAACAGCGAGCCAGCCACACACCAAAATAAATCCCCGTATCGTGAATTAAAGTGTTCACAATGCAGTCAATACCATTTCATGTACAGAACTGAATATATATGTTTAAATATATAGAATTAAAAGGAGGTAAAAATAAAAATATTTTAGGCTTCTAGTCAAAATGATTCAAGACTCTTGTGAAGCCAGTAAATAAACACAGAAGACAAGTGTACAGTGGGGGTGGGGGGAGGTGGCTAATGGCCACTTCAGCCTCCTCACCACCTCTGTCCCCCCCCACCATACACAAGGCCCCTTTGGGCTGGTAATTAACTAAGGGTAGGGAGAGATCTGTAGAGTTGGAAGGGGACCCAATAGGGTCATCTAGTAGAACCCACTGCACTCGCTGACAGGTAGCTGCCACTCACAAGTCCACCTGCTGGGGGTGCCAACTTAAATAAAATATTGGAGGGGGGCAGGTAAGACCCACCACATATAATTGATCACATGATGCGGTGCATGCACACCATTTGAATGGCAATGCCCATCAACTTTGAGGGGGCCTGGTCCCTCAAATGTTTTATGGGGGGTCAAAGACCCCTCAGGCCCTAGGAGTTGGCTCCCATGCCATCTGCTGAACAGGGCAGCTAGCAGCAGAGCCTCCATGCCCAGGGCAGCCCACCAGCCCTGTGGAGAGCCCCACCAAATCCCCCCCCCCACCTACCATGCACCATGTCTCTGCTGGGGGCCAGCCTGCACTTGCGAGAACTGATGGCCTTCCCACTGCTCTCTAAGGCTTCTCCTCTCCAGGGCGTTTCCCAGTTGCAAACGGCCTCTGTGCACAACCATTCTCCGCTCTGCTCTTTTCATTTCTCTCTGTGTCCTGGGAGACCAGGGGAGAGGGGAGCTGGTTGCAGCACAAGGGGGAGACCCCCCTGGCTTCTTCTCCAGCCTCTGGTCCCCCCCGCCCTCTCCAACTTTCGCTTCAGCCCTGGAGTCTGAACTGTTCTCTGCCACAGCTTCTTCCTGCTCACTAAACCGTACCTCTTCTGCTTCCAACACCTCCTCCTTCCGGTCTGTTCCCTCTCATGAGCACCTTTTAATGTGCTTAATGAGAGCTTCTTCTTTTTCCAGAATCTCCTAGTGCTTCGTGAAAATAGAACCGTCAATTGTTTCCTCACTTGCTTTGTAACTCTCTTTGTAAAATTTATGACGGCCAGCAGATCTCTCTTATCTCTCCAGAGCTGAAACAGCAAGAGTGAAGGGGGATGGGGAACAGTTCTTTCTTATCACTGGTTTTAAATGTTAAACAAGGATGATTTATCAGGGAAGCTTTTTGTCTCTTCATTGAGCACCCTGGCATGCCATGTACATCTATATATCTTCTTGAACCCAAGAGTGTCGGTCATGCCACCAAGCAACTTCATACAGGTACAAATTATCCAAAAGAGAAGTGTGTTTGGGACACACTTGGTTTGAGAATATCAGTCCTCTCTGGGTCCATTAGTGCTAGAGCATCATATTCTTTTCTCTTCTTGCCCCATCCAGTTCTCCCTCAAAATAGTTTCTTTTGCAGGCAGGGGGAGGGATTTCAAAGCTATCCAGCCCAATTTATCTGGACTTTATCAGGCTTTGTCCACACAGAAGGGCTGCAATGCCTCACAATTTCATCCACTTCTGTAAAGTATTAAAAATAATCCCATAACAGTGAATGGGGAAGCACAAAGTTTCAGTTTTTTGAACTGGGATTTAGATTCAGACCCCGAGTTGCATCAGATAGCCTTTAACTTGGTTCAGAATGAATCAAACTCTTTTTTGAAGCGGCAAATCAGAATCCGAACCAAATATTGTATTCAGTTTTTGTCTCTCTCATGACACTCAATCTTGTAGACATCCAATGAAGCTGAAGATTAGGGACAGACAAAAGAAAGTACATCATATATTTCGGGACTTTTTCTTTCTTCTTCTTTTGTTTATTATTAAGAACACTTATTGTTTTAGTTCTCCTGGCTGTTAGTATGATAAATGTATTATTTTACTGTATATGTTGTGCTCTGATTTTATGTATGCTGCTTTAGGACTGTTCTTACAATGAAGAGTGAATAATAAATATTTTAAGTTAAATAATTAAAAAATACAGATGGAAATTAATTGCTTCCTTTCCTTACCACACTGTACTTAAAACTTCAACAAGGCTGCTGGGTTCTAGAGCAGTTGCCTTGAATGGCAGCCCAGATAAATAGGCAGCCCCCTTCTGCATCACCAAAGAAGATCAACCCCTTGAACTGGGTTTCATCTATATCAATATATGTCTCTCTCTTTATACATGATAGTGGCAATCTTCCTTCCAATACGCTGCAGCTTATTTTCCAATTAAGTGTTGTTTTCCTGAAGTATTCTGCCTTTATTCACTCAGACACTAGTAAGATCTTCGTAGGCTGCTGGTACAAGGCTCCTTTGCTACAGCTATATATAACCAGTTTTGCGGTGAACCTTCTAAGTTTTTAAAATCACGGAACAGTTTTGTGTCAAACAATGCAGCTGTTGCACACAAAAACTAAATATATCTACAGGCCCAGTTCAGGATGCCCAAGAAATATCCCTCATACACTTTTTATCAACTGCTGAATCACACAAAGCATTCGTACTCCCAAATATTAGTGTATCCTTTCAGAACAGGCTTTTAAAATTACAAGGAAATGTACACACAGACACCTTTAACAGTTGTTCAGATAGAGCCTGTTTTTCATTGTTACAAGCAACTGTCCAAAAATCCACCAGCTATCCCGATTCCAGTTCAAGTGATTTTATTTTCTATAAAATGTATGTCATTAACGTCACACTGTATACAATTTAGCCTGCAATCCCAATCCCATTTACCTGGGAGTAAGTCCTATTGACTCATGAATATTGGCAAACAGGCATCTCTTTAGACTTTAATAACCTGAAAGCCAATTTTAGATGCCTGTGCAAGGTCAGCTGTTTTCCTGGAATGGAATGGAGATACAGCCCACTTATCCTTGGAAATGAGCCACAGTGGAGCTCAAGTTTGATGAGTCAAGGAAGACCCCAGCTTCTTGTTGCTCAATTGCTTTTAATTCTCCAGTGGCAGTGTCAAAAAGCTTTTTCGAACTACAGGGAATAAAGATCTACATTTGGATCTGCTACCCTGTGGATCCGGCCACCTGAGGCAGTTGCCTCACTTTGCCTCATGGGGGCCGGCCTTGGCCTTAACATTTTCATCCTCAAAAAGAGAAGCTGATCACTTTTACCACATCTTGATTCCAGAGGGGTGGGGCAACAAGTTGCATAGAAGACCCACGCTGCCTGCGGTGTCTTTCTGCATGTCAGATATTTAAAATTGAAATTCATTTCCAGGGTCCCTTTGAGGAATGTGCTGGGGTCTCTCTCTCCCACCCCCATAGGGAGCACAAAACCCCAGCAAAGACCCCTTTAGCTCTGGCCCTTCTGCTCATGTCAAAAGCCTTGTGACTCTGACAAGGCCAAACTTTCAAGGCTCCCTGGAGAGGAGGAGCATGGGCACCTCAACAAGTTCCAAGTGGAAACACACCTTGGCCCATGCCCAGCCTGCCCCCCCCGGGGGGCAGAGACCGAATATACTCTCCCCATGAAGTTTGTAGAGAAACACTGTGCTCCATAGCAGATGCTTCTTTTATTCCATGCGCCCAAGCTGTGATCCTGCAAAAGTACCGGGTACTTGTGTTTGGCAGACGTGCCAATGGCCGTAGGGGAGTGCCTGGTCTCGGTTGGCAGAGAACTTGCCTGCAAATGTCTCCAGGGTGTCTGGGACATCACTCTGTGCAGCTGAGGGTGGGAGGAAGGGCGCCAGAGCACTGCACTTTAGACATGGTCTTCACGTACGACAAAAGGTGGTGTTGGGCGACATACAGAATCACAGGTTGCCCACGCCTGGGTCAAAACAGTGTTGTGTGGTCTTAATAAATTTGTGATCCACTAGACCACTCCCTCTCTTTCTCTATTACACACACACACCACGAAAAGATTCAGGGACGGCATTTTCTGGGGGTTTGGCCTCTTTTGAAGGGAATGGTCATTGGAGACATTTGGTGGTTTTGCAACGTTTAGGTTGATTTATAGTCATACAAATTTGAGCACAGATGGACACAAACAGCAGAGCACTCCTGTAAGCCACAGCTTTGTTGCCTTGCACCAGATCTCTCAAGACACCCCCAGGATCCTTTCAGTTCACTCCCTGCCCCCCTTTCTCTTCTCCATTTCTGTTCCAAATCTTGCCTTCCCCCTTTGCTGCTTTTCCCCGCACGACCTCGGTACCTGCCCTGTGCTGTGCGGCAGGAGATGGGGGTAGGGATGGAGGAATGTCTCATCTGAAATGGTTCTTCCAGCCCAGGGGCATCTCCAGCTATTCCAAAGCCTTTGGGGACCCTTTACCTGTCATTTCCCTTTTTAAAAAAAGGGATCTGAGCGACATGTTTGGCCTTACGTTGCCTCTCAAATACTATAATCTAATAATAAAATGCTGTCACAATTCAGAAGCAACTATCACGGTAGTTCAAATCTATCGAGAGCAACCGGCGGAGAGGCGACCTGAAGCTGCGCAGAGAGGGCTCGGGAGCAGACCTGTTTCCCCCTCTCTCCTGTTATCCTGGGGTTTCGGGGCCCAGCCCTGCTGGGCAGATGCCGGCGCAGGGAGCGGGCCTGCCCTCGCCTCGCCTCGGGCCACCAGGCGTCCGCTGCGCCCCGGAGCGAGGGCCCTTCGCAGCGCGCAGCCCGCCCGCCCAGAACATGGCTGCCCGGAGGGGGAAGGGGCTGGCGTCGCCGGGCGGAGCGGCTCCTCGGCGCCCACCACCCAGTCGCCGTCCCGCCAAGAAAGTCCGCCAAGAAAGTCCGGGCCGCGCCGGGTCCCCGAGGCGGAAGCCGCGCCTGGCCCGGGAGCCCCGGCGGCGGCGGCGCAAGACGAGAGGGGCCCTCCCCGCCCGCCGGCCTGCCCGGTGCCTGCTCCCCGCGCGCCCAGGGCGCCGTCGGTTGCGGCTGCGCGCAACAAGCGGCGGGAGGGGACGGCGGCGGCGGCGGGGGAGGGTTTAAAGCCCGGCGGAGGCGGAGGCGATGCCTGGGAGCGGGGAAGGCGAGTCAGCTGAGGAGCGAGGCGAGCGCGGGCAGCAGCGGCAGCAGCAGCAGGAGAAGGCGGCGGCGCGCAGCCCGGAGTTGCCGGAGGACGGACGCCTGGAGGGCAGCTCGCCGGCCTCGGCCGCAGGTTGGGCTGCCCTTCTCCCGCCCCGGGGGGGGGGGCGCCGCGCTTAATTCCAGGGCGGCGCTGCCCCCACCCGCTTTCCGTGCATCCCCCTCCCCTTCCTCCCGGAGGAAGAGCTGCCCCTTCCCGTCTCGGCGGGTCCCTCCCTCTCCCTCTTGCCCGGCCGGTCCGAAACTTGCTCGGAGGGCCGCGCGGCTTGCGCCAGGAAGGCGAGCGGGAGCCACGCGGGCGCGCCGAGGGGCTGCCGGGGACAGAGCCCGGACCCGGGTCCTTGCTGGTGAGCGGGCGGGCGGGCACAGCCGCGGAAGGGGCCGCGCGGCGGCGGCGGCGGAGGAGAGGCGGGCGCGCAGCGGCCCCTCTGCCTAAGAAAGGCGAGGAAGTTTCTGGCCGTCCCGGGAGCGGAGAAGTCCTCCTCGCCCCTCCGCCGCAGCTGCGGGTCCGGGCCGCGCGGGCTGGGAAGGAGGCGCTGCCGACTTTCCGGCGAGTTGGCGAAGCGCGCGCAGGATGGCTCGCCAGCCGCGTCCCTCCGGGCAACTTTGCGCGCGCGGCCCCGCCGCCCGAGGGGGACCTGCGCGCGGGGGGAGAAGCGGCGCACAAAGCGCGCGGCCGGGGGATGCGGCGCCCGGGTTTTCGGCTCGCTTTCGCCTTCTTTTTCCCTTTCTTCCTTCCTTTCTTTCTTTTCCCCTTTCAAGGCGGGCGAGACTTCTCCGGAGCCTCGGTGCCCTTTCCACATTGCATCATAAAACCAGGGTGGAGCCAGCCCGCCTCCTCCTCCTCCTCCGCCTCCCCTTCTGCAAGTAACCCGAGCGGAGGGGCTTGCCCGGCTCTCCCAATCGCCGCCGCCGCTCCGGCGCGCGCTGCCCTTGGTGCGGGTCGGGGGCCGCGCTCGTCCCGGGAAAGTGCCCGAGAGGAGGCTCCTTTGGCCCGAGGCGGAGGCGGAAGAGAGCCCGGGCTCTCCTCGTCCGGTAAGAAACGAGGCTCCCGGCTGCGGGCGAGAGACTGAGCTGGGAAGGCGCCGGCTTCGGGGCTGCGCCGACGGAGTTTTGCCAGCCACGTTGTGGCCGCTCTGTTGCGACGACTGTCTGTTGGCGACGATGGCGCGTGTGGCACGGGATATTTGGGGCAAAAAGGATTCCCCAAACTTTTTGTTTCCCTTCGCCGCCTTTTCCGAAGGGTGGATAGCCAAAGCAGTGGTGGAGGTCGCAGAATTATGGTGCATCTTTTTAGAAAAAAACCTTCCCCCCCCCCCGGGAGGTTCTTGGCATGAATGCAAGGGTGAAAAGTGCTTGGTTTCCCTGCACAGTGCAGGGCCATCAACTGGCCTTAAATTATGTAAGGCACTTCTGAAGGTTACTGCTGCTTATTACTGTTTTGTAGGCACTGCTTGCAGAAAGATATCCCAATCCTTTGGCAGCTGTTGCTTCCCTCTTCATCTGTTTTGATGATGGTATCCATGGGGGTGTACTCCGAGCATCATCTTACAAATCCCCCCCCCCACTTGTCTATTTGTTGAACATTACCTGCTTTGGCAGAGGGAAAACGTTGCTTCCTTTTGCGCCCTTGCATTGGTGTGTTGGTAAAGTTGGTACAGCAACTGTTTTACATTAGCACAGTTTCCAAACTCATTTTATGAACCCCTTTCTTGGCATCTTCTTGGACCACTTAAACTTCTCATTCTACTAATCAAAAGTACCTTTGCAACTCATTATATTAATTGTGATCTTGTTGTTCAGTGTGGTGGGTGCAAATGTTTTCTGAGCAAACGTCAGGCGTAATCTTTGTAAGCTTTAGCCTTGGGTTGGGTTCAGCAGTCATCTTATTTTTGTATTTGGATTTGAGGGTGGCAAGTGATGAAAATCCCATCTTGTACAGGGACGTGAAAAGCAAAGCATTCTTTCCCATTGTCATCAAAACCAGCGCTGAATTATGAGAACCATGGAGCCTGGCCTAGGGGCTTGTTAACCTTTTGATAATTCAGTCCTCCATCATCACGCTGAGGAAAATAAGTGCAGCCTTTTCACAGGCCACAGTTTAAAAACCTTTGCCATAGTTGATGTCATTTCTATTTCCACTGTATGTGTTTTTCTTTCTTGCATACTGGGGCACGTGACTTGCTGTAAGAGCAAGCTGCAGTAAAGAAGTGTAGTTGAGATCATAGGATCATAGCATTGTAGTGTTCGAAGGGACCCCGAGGGTCATCCAGTCCAACCCCCTGCAATGCAGGAATCTCAGCTAAGGCATCCCTGACAGAGGGCCATCCAGCCTCTGCTTAAATACCTCCAAGCATCTAGCCAAAGTGAAGGTGGCAAATCTACATATTAAACTTGTGTAGATCATTTAGAAGCAGTTGTTTCTGAATAAACTATTAGGTTAAATGGGGCTTTCTCCACGAATGTGTACATAGCCTTAGGTCCCCCTTACTAATTTCAGCAGAGCTTAACAAATGCTTAACTCCTTTCCCTCCTTTCTTGCACAAAATCATTAGGACTTGAAAATATTTTTCTGTGGTTGGATTGTCCTCTTATCTATCTTTCTGATGTTGAATCATTGGCCGATTTGGAGTTTTACATGAAGTTTTAAGGCATAATAATATCAGATTCCTGATGCAGCAGTTGGCTGCGCTTGCCCATCCAGCTTCAGGATGGTCTGTTTCTTGATTGCTTAGGTTGGGAAATGTCAGTTGGTGTCTAACTGCAGTAGTGAGTAAAGACTGGTAGTACCAGTTTCCAAACTTTCTAACTTCAAGGAAGGTTTTCTCGTCTGCTATGGAATCCCCGAGTGTTGCAGAGGATTCTGGGAAGTAATCTAGGGATATCCTATTCATGGAGATGATCCGGTAGACATTGTTTAAACATTTGATGCCACACTAGATGGTGTACAAACACCCCACAGATTCCCAATTCCCTTAATTTCGTACGGTTGGAGTGCCACTGAGAAGAAAGAAGGAACTTTGCATAATTAAGAAAGTCTCTGAGGCTCCCTTGTGCTGGTCACCAGTGGTCCCAGTCCTGAAAAATGGGAAAATAGGGATCTGTGTAAATCTTTAAAGCAGTTGGAGAAAAACATGTACTCCCAAAACTAGAGAGTCTCCTTCCAAAAGTGACAGGATTCCAAATTTTAGTTTTCCAAATTGCCACAAACAGTTATTGAGATACTCAGTTGACTGTAGTCTCCTTTTGGAAGATTCTTTTTTCAGCTTTTGGATGCTTGGAATTATGAGTGTTTATAAGATGTTCTAAAGGAAGAAGACAAAACAATTTAAACACAAAAGGAACCTCTGCCTTCATGGACTACATTCAAATGCATATCCCATTATAGCAAAGTACTGGCCGTCATCTTCAATAGGATCCATGAATCTGGACTTGAGAATAGATGCCGTTTGCGTTCCGCTCCAGAATTTCTACTGAAGCAGAAAACCTCCATACACATATCTGAAAGGAATATTTTGTTAGTCTTTAGACATGCAGAAAGAACGCTGTTCAAATACCTGCCTAGCCTACCTGCTTTCTAAAGGGAAAAGGTTTGGACCAACTATCATCATGACAGCAAGTATTCTAATGAAAGTGGCCTCAGATCAGGATGGTGTAACTTAGCAGTGCGCTGGAGATTACTACTAAGTCCTTTGCTGACAGCAGACTGTGAGTGAACTGGAAAATCTAATAACAAAAAGCAACTGTATTGTTGTACCGTGGGGCGAGGGAAGTGATGGAAAAACTGGCCTTCCAGACATTAGACTACAGCTCCCATTGTCCCTGACCATTCGCCATGGGAGCTGGAGCTCTGACAGCCTCTGAGGGGCTGCAGATTCCTTAGGCCTGGTTCATGTACAAGATATATTGGTTTTATCTGCTACACCCTTATTACACAGTGGTCTGTCTGATTCCTGCAGGACAGAAGCCACTGTCCCTGACCTTAACTTATCATGGTTTGTTCAGTGTGAAACAAACCACAATTCCTGGTTTGCGTGCAATGCTAAACCAGGGTTTGTGGCTTCTTATCTCCCAAATGGAGTGGGCAGGAGTGAAGCAAGTGTGGTTGATTTGTGCACATTAATCCACGTTGTATGGCATAACCTGGCATGTGAATGCGACCACTCTAATGGGGAACTGGATTTGCCACTTGCTCATGTTTATACCTTGATAAACAGATTTCTTGACGCAGATGGTGGCAGCTGAATGGGAGTGTCTTATAAGAGAGGAAATGGTTGCACTTCAAAGACAATGAGATATGGCTTATCTCCACATCTACATAAAAAGCAAAGAGCATAAAAACTGAGGATATCCGAATAACAGTAGTTTTGGTTAGGAAAAAGATGAATTTATTAGTTGCTTTTTGGAGTGATGTACAAAAAAATGAACATTGAAAGCAATGATAAAACAACGTAAAATACACAGTAGTATTTAAAATAAGGTTACCAATGAATCTGGGGACACTTTTCAACTGGTAACCTTAATTTAAAAACGTGGGTGGTGCTGTGGTCTAAACCACAGAGCCTCTTGGGCTTGCCGATCAAAAGGTCGGTGGTTCGATTCCCCATGACTGGGTGAGCTTCCATTGCTTGGTCCCTGCTCCTGCCAACCTAGCAGTTCGAAAGCATGTCAAAGTGCAAGTAGATAAATAGGTACCACTCCAGCGGGAAGGTAAATGGCGTTTCCGTGCGCTGCTCTGGTTTTGCCAGAAGAGGCTTAGTCATGCTGGCCACATGACCTGGAAAAACTGTCTGCGGACAAATGTCAACTCCCTTGGCCAGTAAAGCGAGATGAGCGCCACAACCCCAGAGTCGTTCGCGACTGGACTTAACTGTCAGGGGTCCTTTACCTTTACCAACTGTGCCCACCCTGTGAAAAGATTATTTTTAAAAATGTAATAAGCAAAAAGATATTATTTATTGGCTGTGATTTTTTAAATGTGTTTTTTCTCAAAGGGGAATCCTGAAGCTATCAGAATTGCTTCAGATTGAATAAATAGAGCAGTGCTTAATAAATCCCCCCCTTTCCTCCCAACTGCTTACTTTGGTTCATATCTCGATCTCTATCTGTAGCTCAGAGCTTAACTGTGCAAGTGGCAAAACCATAGTTCTATTCAGGAGAGAGTTCTAGGTTGAGTATTGAGGTTTTAAATGACAATGAGGTGTCTAGCAGAGGCAAGGAGCCTCTGGAACGCAGGCTGGGTTAGGTGTGCCTGCCCCACCCAATAGGCCCACAAGGTCAAGCCAGCCCCACCTGGCTTCCTCCTGATGTTCTATATAGGATGTCAGCTGTGGGGCAGGTAAAGGCGGAGCTTGGGCAAAAGGACTCTGGAGGCACTGCCAATCCTGCTCCGCTCCCAAGTTGGGAACAGGGCCGGATTTAGGTTTGATGAGGTCCTAAACTACTGAAGGTGATGGGGCCCTTTATATAGCAGGCGGGGGCCATTACTTACATCATAGGAGCCTACACAACACAAAACACTGTTGTTGTAGGTAGGTTTTGTTTTATTTGTTTTTTTATCTTAAATTTTCGAAATGTACATCCAGTTTTTTCCCCTTTAATTTTTTTTGGGGGGCCCAAGGGAGTGGGGCCCTAAGCTATAGCTTTTTATCTTATACATAAATCTGGCACTGGTTGGGAAGCAGCTGCAAAGGCTCCCTTGTTTCTGATAGCTGCCCTCCAACTTACACTGGGAGATAGGGGTTGGAGCGCCCCATCTTGTATTACATTTCCTGCTTTCTAGGACACTTCAATAGGACTAATATGTTCCACCTAATATCAGCAGAATTGGGGAAGGCTGTCAAAAAGCTCTGCCCCTTGGAGCCCATCAGCCTTTTTCAGAAGGCTATTCTAGAGTCTTGTATTGAAAATGAAAGGAATCATTGCTGTGGCTCAGGGAAAGTATTTTGTGGCATTCCCCACCTTCTCCCCACCCCCTGTAGGCTCTTCATCAACCTGTATGAGCGGTCCATCCTTTCTTTTACCCTCCCTCCCATATTTATGTTGTTATTTTAAGGGTAGAACTAAAAACAATATCTGAAAACCCAAGACATCCGGTCAAGATGTCTTGCATGTGTACTTGTTTTTAATATTGAATTTTTCCTCCTGGAATGAGAAAGTGACATATGTCAGCCTTTTGCTGCACAGGCTGTAGTTGAGATACTTAAGTACCTTGCTAAAAATAGTGCATCTATTTTAGACAAGTGCCCAGTTAGGAGAGGATAACTTGTGGCTTGCCAGCCTGTAATCTGAAGGCACAGGCTGGTATTAAACAGAATGGAAACAAACATTTTATTGTAATTATGCCTCTGCCGGTTTTAACAATTAGCTCTGATATAAATCAGCTCGCATCTCTTAGAAGTTGCTTTAGCGATCCAGAATTCCTATGCTGCCTCTTTTTAAAAGGGAGTCTTTTAGTATCAGTGCTTCAGTTCAGACTTGCTTACTTTCAGTTTTTAAAAGAAATTAATTTATGGTTTTACAATCTGTTTCCCAACCAATAACAAAAGAGGAATTAAAACAGAGTGAAACGGGTCCAGAAACAGTTCATGTAGAGGCAGGAAGCTCATAATGAAGATAAATCAATAGAGCAGAGCCTTGCCTCAGAGATTTCTCTACAAGTCCCTCTACAGGTGAGCATATGTTCGAGGTGATCTTCTCACCTGCTTGGTTCTCTTGCATGTTGGAGGCCAAACAATGGGGAACCCATCCAAACCAATCTTGTGCTTTCAGTAATGTGGAACTAAAAAACCTGCTTTTTTAAAAAAAAGTTTTCCATCAATTAATAAGAAAATAAATTGCATTCAAAAGTTATCAAAGGGCAGAGAGAATTTTGATGAAATTCTTATGGGTGGTTGAGCTGCTGCTGCTGCTGCTGCTTCTCCTCCTCCTCCTCCTCCTCCTCCTCCTAATTTTTGCACTAACCTTATTTTTAAGGTTACCAAGGGAGGCGTGATGGTGAATTTCCTTACTTTAATTCTGCAGATCATCTCTCCAGTGGCCTGAACACTGCAGCCTTCCTGAGCCCTTGTGCTTCAGTTTGAAGCCATGTGGAAAGTATCATGAGCTCCTCCCATGGGGCTTTTTCAGATTGGGAAATATGGGCAGCCCAGAAAGGCTGCACAGAGCTGGCGTAAAGTTTATTTGAAAGAAAAACTCTGCAATGTTCAGGAAAGCTCAAGCCCACACTCATCAAATTCTACAGAAATTCTTAAGTGCTCTGAGAATGAGGGAGGAAAAACCAGAAGCCTCTTTCACAAGGGAATAAAACATTTGAGGAATTGGGAGCACACATTTTGACATGGCACAAATGTTCAGTAGCATAATAGTTTCTAATTTGTTCAACAGGAGTTGACAAACTTGGTGCCAGGTGTGTTTTCTGGCACCTGCAGGCCCCGCCTCCCAAAATTAGAGTTGAGATAAGCCAATAGAATTGTAGCAAATAGACTCGATTGTGGTGTGTTTTTGAGGTGCCCACAACAGTTTCTGTAGTTCACAAATGTGCCCACGGGCCCAAAAAGGTTGGCAACCGCTGCACAACCATTTGATTGTTCTCTCTGGAATAAGTTCTGACTGGCTCAGAGTTGGCGGGAGATCTGATGCTTGGCTCAAAGAGGAATAAAGAGATCTACTTATTTCTTAATGTTTGTGGTACCTGGTGGACTAATCTCATTCTCTCCTTGAATTAGGCGAGGAATGCTAGTGCCCAGCTGTAGCATCTTCAGTGTTCTATACTGAAATACAAAACTTGTTATGTTTTGTTTATGGTGAAAGACAAATTTGAACATTAATTTGCCCTGCTTTGGGACGCCATAGATTTGCCCCCAGGAACATGATTTATGTGAACCTGAACCAATTTAATATGAGAATAAGTTGAAGTGTCAATTGGTTCCAGATTTGGTGGCATGAACAAAATCTGTGTAGAAACGCCAGGTGTGTGTGCATTTGTGATATGTACTCTCTCTAGCCAAGTGATCTACCCTGCAGCTCATGTGATTGGAGAGATCGGAGATCAGGCTTGACATTTGATTTGTCAAATGGTACTCAAATTATCTGAAGCATTCATTTTTATTAGAACACAGTACCTATATTAATTACAAAATCTACTCAGAAGCAGTGATTCCTGTTCATCCCAGAAGCTCCATGCCAAATCACACGAAGACTCTTCATTTTTCTTCCCACAGTAGAAAAATCTTGGGAGTTCAGTCCTGATTTCCTAGTCAGTTGTGATCTGTATTCTGCCTCTTCATAACAAAAGTTCTGGGGCCTTCAGGGCTGAGAACCCTGAGCACGTGCAGAATATGGCTGGGCAATATATTGATATATCATCCAAAACCAGTTTGAAGTCTATACCGTGATATCAGCTTCATAATTTTTGACCTGGGAATATATTGTGAATCATGATGTGTGTGTGTGTGTGTGTCTGTGTGCGTGCGGTATGCAAAAATCACAATGTGAGAAAAACTGAAGCCAGCCAATTCTTCTATATTGCTTCATCCTTATTTCAGACATAGTGATACATCGGTAAGGTGGTACCTCGGGTTACATACGCTTCAGGTTACAGACTCCGCTAACCCAGAAATAGTGCTTCAGGTTAAGAACTTTGCTTCAGGATGAGAACAGAAATCGTGCTCCGGCGGCACGGCAGCAGCAGGAGGCCCCATTAGCTAAAGTGGTGCTTCAGGTTAAGAACAGTTTCAGGTTAAGTACAGACCTCCGGAACGAATTAAGTACTTAACCTGAGGTACCACTGTATATTGCAGTGTTTAGCTGGTGATATATCACTATGCTGAAAACCAGCTATCTCAGTCCTAGTACAGAATGTTCCCTTTGAAGCAAGTGACTGCATTTTCTGTGCCTTGCCCTCCCCTCGGCCTCGGTCTGTCTGTCTGTCTGTCTGTCTGTCTGTCTATCTATCTATCTATCTATCTATCTAAGGTGTAAGTGCCCTGCACAGGTTTTCCTGCAGGGCCGATAAGTTAAGTGCTTGCAGGCTGAATGAGAGATGTGTGGATTTCATTTGAAGCTTGTTGCCACATCAGCATGTCTGCAGGAAATCAACGCACATGCCTCGCAAGTTCTGCATCCTGCAAAATGATGCCACCATCCTACATGTTTTTTGTATATATATCGTGCAGCTATATGGAGTAGCACTGTTTGCATTCTCAGCAGAAAGATTTTCCATCCCGCACCTGCATTGCATGACTAAGTCTCCCACCACTTCCTTAGGGTGACCTTGTGTGCATGTTAACACCAAACCCAGCTCTGTTGGAACATTTATTTCTTTTGACTTGGTTCCCTAATTCTGACAACTGGCCCAAGAGGAAAGGTTTGTATCCAGGGCATTTCTTACTCAGAGTAGACCCATTATGGTTGATGGACTTGGCTAACTTAGGTTCATTGATTTCTACTTGGGGTAGAACAACGCAATTTTGTGACTGGTTGGTAACTCCAGCTAACTGTGATAAATACTTTGTGTGTTTTTTCCAGAGGTGTGTCCTCTTAAGGGTTTCCTTCAGAAATGAATGTTTTAAATTATGGTTGCAAACCCTCTAGTTATAATTTCATTGTTTTACCTTTCTTCGTAAACCACTTTGAGGTATTTTCCTGCAATCCAGTGGTGGTGCACAAAGTTTATGAAATAAAAAAGGGCCAGTTAGGGAGAGTTTAGGGCACCTGGCCTACCCGGCAGCGAAGCCAGGAGATTTCTTGGCAGAGCGTAGCAGGGATGCCTGCTTCTGACCCTGCAGGGCTGTGGAGCAGAGGGACCTTACTCCTGGCCTTGCCGCAAGAGAGCACCATGATTCGTTGTAAAGATGGGTCACCCCTTAAGGGTGCTCCAGTTCCTTCCTGGCCAGATAGGCAGCCATCTTGGCAGGTGCATCAGTGATGGCAGGGAGTGAGGATGGAGGTGGCCTAAGCTTAACTTTTTAAAACGAAGGGCGAAACATTTCACGGGTTGGCGGTTGTCAGAACGCATCGGGCTCCAGGCAGCGTTGCAGAGCCACGTGAAAGTGTTCCCTTCCCAGGAGCTGCCAGGGCTGGGGGCAGAAGCCCACAGGCCTGTATCCTGCTTCCATGCGGACAAAACTGTGAAGCTATGCTAGTCAGCGTGTTCCCTGAGGTTTTGCCGGGCTCTGGAGAGATGCCACCTAGATTTGCTGGGGCTGACAGGAGTTTGTTATAGGGAGCAGACGGTTTCCCTTGCTAGAACATCTCCCCTGACTGACTGTTTCCAGGGGAAATTCAGGCGCTAGTTATAACCCACAAAGCTCTACGAGGCTTAGGTCCAAGATGTCTGAAGGACTGTGTCCCCCTATATGCACATGCCCAGGTTTTGAGATCTTCAGGGGAGGTCCGTCTCTCGGGGTCCCCCCCCCCAATCCACACTTGGTGGGGATGAAGGACAGGGTCTTCTTGGAGGCTGCTCCCAGACTTTGGAACTCCCTCTCTAGAGAAGCCACACTGGCTCCTTCCTTGTTGTCTCCTTGTTCCAACATGCTTTGGGGAACTGACTGCTTTGAATGAGGGAGCTGGTACCATGCTGTTTTTATTGTATTTATGTTTTTAATACATCTTTTATATTTATAGAGAGAGAAGCATAGAATAGTAGAATTGCAAGGGATCCACAAGGGCCATCTAGCTCAATGTGGGCTTGAACGCATGACCCTTTCTCATGCTTTACCAAGGGAGCTACATGCAGTTTAATTCTATTAATATTTATTTGTTTTACAGTTATTGTCGTTCTCTCTCCCCCCCGCCCAATGTTTTTAACAGTTCCTGTTTTATCTGTGAACCGTCTTAAGTCAGGGGGGAAAGGTGGGATATAGATAGATAGATAGATGGAGGCACTGATTTTGCCCATTGCGTCTATTACCTTGTTTACAGAAAGTAGCTTTTGTGCACACCACTCAGTAGCTGCTCTAGGACAGAAGGTGTGGGCAACACTACTGTTAGCTGCAGTCCCCTCTAGTGCTCCCCTTGGCTGTATCTTGGGACCCAGTGGGTGCTGCGCCTAGTTCTGCCGTGCTGGTGAAACTAATAATAATAATAATAATAATAATAATAATAATAATAATTTATTATTTGTACCCCGCCCATCAAAACATAATTCAAAACCCTTTTGAATTATGGTGCTGGAGGAGACCCTTGAGAGTCCCATGAACTGCAAGAAGATCAAACCTCTCCATTCTGAAAGAAATCAGCCCTGAGTGCTCACTGGAAGGACAGATTGTGAAGCTGAGGCGCCAATACTTTGGCCACCTCATGAGAAGAGAAGACTCCCTGGAAAAGACCCTGAGGTTGGGAAAGATGGAGGGCACAAGGAGAAGGGGGCGACAGAGGACGCGATGGTGGGACAGTGTTCTCGAAGCTACCAGCATGAGTTTGACCAAACTGCGGGAGGCAGTGGAAGACAGAAGTGCCTGGCGTGCTCTGGTCCATGGGGTCACGAAGAGTCGGACACAACTAAACGACTAAACAACAACAACCCGGCCCATCTGACTGGGTTTCCCCAGCCACTCTGGGCGGCTTCCAACAAAAATTAAAAATACATTAAAATGTCACACATTAAAAACTTCCCAGAACAGAGCTGCCTTCAGATGTCTTCTGAAAGTCAGGTAGTTGTTTATCTCTTTAACATCTGATGGGAGGGCATTCCACAGGGCAGGCGCCACTACCAAGAAGGCCCTCTGCCTGGTTCCCTGTAGCTTTGCTTCTCGCAATGAGGGAACTGCCAGAAGGCCCTCGGCGCTGGACCTCAGTGTCTGGGCAGAACGATGGGGGTGGAGACGCTCCTTCAGGTATACTGGGCTGAGGCCGTTTAGGGCTTTAAAGGTCAGCACCAACACTTTGAATTGTGCTCGGAAACGTACTGGGAGCCAATGTAGGTCTTTCAAGACCGGTGTTATGCAGTCTTGGCGGCCGCCCCCAGTCACCAGTCTAGCTGCTGCATTCTGGATTAGTTATAGTTTCCGGGTCACCTTCAAAGGTAGCCCCACGTAGAGCGCATTGCAGTGGTCCAAGTGGGAGATAACTAGAGCATGCACCACGAAGGAGTTGTGGGCCTGATTGGCACTTCGGTAGTGAGAGATGGGAAGGGTTGAGTTCTGCTGCTTCAAAGGCCCAGCAACCAGTGGCCAACCAGATGCCCATGAGAAGCCCATGCTTCCCTCCTGCTATTGTTCCCCAGCACCTGGCTTTCAGAAGTCTGCTGCCTCTGCTGCTGGAGGTTGCCTGCAGTTGTCATAACTACAAGCAAGCCACGATGGTCCTCTATCATCCATTTTGGTGACCATCTCTGCATCTTTGTGAGAATGATTTTTTTTTTTAAAAAATGATATTTATTGAAATTTTTTTAGAATTACAGAAAAAAACACAGCAGAAAAAGAGAGAAAAAAAAGAAAACAAAGAGAAAACAAACCACATCAAACAATGTAAATTCAGAAAAAACAAAAATACACCACAAACAGATAAAAACAAATCCATCATTCTCAAATCCTCAACTTTCATTACCTTCTTTCTTTGACCTCCTCCTCCTCCTCCCTTTTTTTGTATCCTAGTTATTAATTATCGCAGCAAATCCTTTCCATGTTTCATAATATTCTGTCATTACATTACCTTAATCTATTTTCATCTTATCTTATAGAAAACCTTAAAACTTAAAACTTAACTCTTATTTTTACCAACTTCTCATAGCCGTAATATTCTTACCTAATTCTTTAGACATTTTTGCTAGAGCCAAGTAATTTCGTTCCAACATTTTTCTAACATTCATCAATTTTATAAAACAATCCTAGTAATAAAAAGAAATAAATAAAAACAATCCAATCTTCATCCAGTGTCCCTTCCTCCTGGTCCCGGGTTTTGTCAGTCCTCTTTATCCCATTGATCTAGCGCATTAACCTGGTAACCTTATATCCGAGGCCCTTAAGTCTCTTCCATGTCCCTTCCGCAGCTCTTCTTCATATTCTCCTTTCACACATGGGAACTCCAGCTTGGTAATGTTTTTGACCCTTTTCAACAAATCAGCCCCTTTTCCAAAGTCCAGAGAATGAATTCCATAGTTCTGTTTATATTCCACCATTTGCTTTCAGTGGATGACTCCAGGTCCTAGTACAGTGGTATCTTGGGTTTCATATGCTTCAGGTTACATATGCTTCAGGTTACATACTCCGCTAACCCAGAAATAGTGCTTAAGGTTAAGAACTTTGCTTCAGGATGAGAACAGAAATCGTGCTCCGGCGGCGTGGCAGCAGCAGGAGGCCCCATTAGCTAAAGTGGTGCTTCAGGTTAAGAACAGCTTCAGGTTAAGTACGGACCTCCGGAACGAATTAAGTACTTAACCAGAGGTACCACTGTATTACGAAAGAGGAACAAACTTATCTGTGTGCACTTTCCCCACAACATGCATTATTGTATACACTTCTCACCGGTGCTAGAAACGGGGGCTGGATTCTAGACACATCAAAGAAGCGTTTCAGTTTAAAGCAATGTAAGTTTAAACAGGGAAAACAGTTAGAGAAAAATGGGACTCCACTTCGCCATCTGGTGGCACAATGTTGTATTGCACATACGGTGCATATAAATCGCTTTTTTTTTTACCAGTCTAGCTGAGTCCCAAGATAGAAAAGCTAGGAACCAAATTGTTCCTGGGACCTGGGTTGTGGGCGCTAAAACAATTGTCTAGTCGCCATTGGTATGTGTGCAGGCTCGGCAATTATTCAAAATATTATTTTGATAAGCATGAAGTAATACACAATTGACACATTGTTAATATCACATTTTTAACAGAAATTGTTAATACAGTGGTACCTCGGCTTACAGACGCTTCAGGTTACAGACTCCGCTAACCCAGAAATACTACCTCAGGTTAAGAACTTTGCATCAGGATGAGAACAGAAATCGTGCGGTGGCGGCGGGAGGCCCCATTACCTAAAGTGGTGCTTCAGGTTAAGAACAGTTTCAGGTTAAGAACAGACCGAACGAATTAAATTCTTAACCTGAGGTACCACTGTACATGTTTATTTTGGTGTTTATAATAAAAATATTGGTACCATACTTCAGTTTTCAAAACACTCTACTGTTTATTGTCAAACTCCTTAACATATTGTCTGTCTTTTTCAGCCGGGGGCCGGTCCACTGTCCCTCAGACCTTGTGGGGGACCGGACTATATTTTGAAGAAAAAAATAAACGAATTCCTATGCCCCACAAATAACTCAGAGATGCATTTTAAATAAAAGGACACTTTCTATTCATGTAAAAACACACTGATTCCCAGACCGTTGGCAGGCTGGATCTGGTCCCCAGGCCTTAGTTTGCCTACCCATGCCTTAGCATATACTTTTTTTTAAAAAAATTATTTTTTATTAACCGGCCAATCAAATCAAATCAAATCACATCACATTAATTCCGAATTACAAAGCCGAATTTTAAATTTTGTTGAGGGGACCCATATTTCAAGATCCGAAGGGGGATTCTGATCATCTTCTTGCTACTGCGTTAATGTTCAAATCAGTCCAAACAAAGTTCATAATTCTATCCAGTCTTATCTTGCAGTTTCCACATCACAACTTGTTCATATATTTTCTCTTTTTTCTTTATGATCTCTTTTGATAGTCTCCTTAAGACGATAAACACCAATAATAATCCTGTGTGAATTTTTCCGTTCTTCCAATCCTCAAATCGAGATGGTTTCCATATATCATTGCCTTCATAGATAACATCGCTCTTTCCATCATTAATCACAGAACTGTCGCTCTTAAGTCCCTCTGAGGAGTTTCACCCACAATATAAAAACAGCTCTATTTCTCTATTTCTCCTCTCAGACTTAAGTCCTCCGACAGAACTTCCCAATATGGCGACGGCACTTTTAACTGCGTCATTCCAAAGCCCTTATACATTCCACGCTCTTCTTAAAACATGCTTTGGTTCGAAAGTTTAACTCCACGCAGCCTTAAATCCACAGCTTAAGTCCTTAAAACGACATTTCTGACGTGTGGGGGGGGGGGATTCTTGTTTAATCACATAAAAGAAAGAAAGTTTTTTCCCCCTCCGCCATCAGTCCCTTTGCCATACCGAGTCTTGGCGTATCTTCTCATGATTTATACTTGTTCCTCCGACTCGTCTTGTTTTATCAGAGATCTCTTCTGTTAGCAGTCTTTACTCCCCCTCCTTCCTTGAAATATGTGCATTCGCTTCATCCAAATTGTTTCTTTTGAAGTTCTTGCAGCTAGTGGCGCGGATCAGAGACGGCGTCCAGGAGCGCCGAAATCCCACAGGAGGGCATTGTGCCTAGTGCCCCCATCCCCACAAATTCGGGGGTGGTATAGGGCACAGCAGGCAGGGGCAGTCCCATCCCACAATCCTGGGGGGGGGTAGGGAGGCTGTTTACTCCCATCACAGCCTCCAAATTACCTCGTGTGGGTCGGAGAGATGTTATTGTCAGCCATCTTCTGATGCGCCCCTAGTGGCCCCTCCTGCCTTAGCACATACTTTGAGGCTTCAAAGCACATACATTTCAGTAATCCTTGAATGTCAGCCAGGCACCAAAAAATGGCACCCAGACTTTTTGAGGTGCTCGCAAGTGGAGAATCTGTAGGCTCAAAATGCCCCTGGCGCCCCGCTAATTTTGAACCCTGCCCATAGCTAAATGATGAACCCTAGCAGGGACCACAGTGTTATTTATTATTTTATTTATTGCACCATTAAATTACATGGAGCATTTAATCAATGAAATTAAAGCATTCGTGACCAAATCGGCAGTAATTAATTTCTTTTGAGCAGTAAGGTTTAGACAAGTAGCGTAGCTGTTGCGGTAAAGTGATTTTTTCCGGAGGGAGGGTGCCAGTGGGACGCATGGGACCCTAAGTGTTCCTCTCTCTGTCTTGCATGCCTGCTCTCCTTCCAGCAGAACTCTTGGCCCTGGATCTGCGGATTTGCCTTGCGCTGAGTTGAGAGCATTGGTGGAACAGCCAAATACGGCCTCCTTTGGCAGCAACAACACTCCAGAGTCTTGAGCACAGGCTGTTCTGCAACTTGAGATCTTTAACAGGAAACGTCAGGGATTGAACCTGGGATTTTCTGTTGACAAAACTTGTGCTTTATCGTTGCGCCATGGGCCTTTCCCTCAACCACGCGTGGCAAATGGCCTTGCCTTCTCCACAGTCACTGGGAAATATCTGCTACTTTCTCCCCCGTTTGGCCAGTGACATGGGGTGGTTTATCTGCAGCCCTAAATAGATCTGATCAAGCATGTTTGACATAATGACTCGTCAAAGTTTTGTTTAACAAACACGAGCCATTACTTGCTGTATAAATATCTCAGAAGTTTTCTGGTAGCCCAAAGTAGGAGGAATGAAACGTTTGGTAAAGGGGAAACACTCAAAATGTACTTAGCAGGGTTTAAATGTTTATATTCAAATTCAAAGCTGTACTTGGAAATTATTTTTATTGACTTACCTGTATTGACATACAGTGTAAGTCTACAATAGAGTTGCATATGCAATAACAGACAGATCTCTGCTCCTAGGAATTTTTGATCTGTAGTTGTTGGTCAGGGAAGCGTAGTGAAGGAGGGAAAGGCATGCCTTGCAAAGTGCATGAATAAGAGCAAAGGGACTTAAATTTGGTTATCGTGGGAAATGGGAATTAAGCATTGAAAATGGAATGGATAGCCTAATGGACTTGAAATGTATTAACATGCTCAGTGGCATATAATTCCTTTACACTTAAGGGTGGGTAATGAAGGTTTTGCAAATGTGTACCATGCTACTTTTAGCACACCTGAAGAGCAGTGTACATAAAAAATTATACGTGCTTCCAAGTAGTCACCAGAAAACTTAACCACGTTGCATTCTCTAGTATTCATCCTCGTAGTGCAATCTGAGTACTATTGTGTTCTGATTTGTATGAAAGCAATCTATTTCTGAATTTTCTCAGAAAAATAATAATAATAGTGAAAAGATTTCCAGCACACATCGCTTGGTGTTGGACGGGGGAAGAGCAGTATTATCTGATCTTGGTCAGCGTTCGAAATTCACCCGTCGCCATTGGCTCTCTGCGACTCGGGAGCACCCCCTTGTGACCAAGTCAAGATTTCCAGTCATGTGGTTTGCGACCAAAATCTCCTTTCCCTGGGCAGGAGAGGGCGGGGCAGCCTTTTGATGCGCTGAGTCAGAGGGAACATTTTTCATTGTTGTACAATTTGCATAAGTAAGCAAACTCTGAAGAAGGGGCAGAAAGGGAGATCTGGCTGATTTTCACCCCTCCCCTTAAATCTCACACTTTGCAGATAGAAACGGCATTGTGGTTTGCAAACAAATAGATTGCTTCTCTCTTGCAGGGTGGGGATGGGGATCAGGAAGAGATCCGGCTGATTTTCACCCCTTTCCTTCAGTTTTTCTGTGAGACACGTTGAGGTTTGCAAACAAACGCAAGCTGCAAACTGTTCAATCAATTTATTGCTTGTGGGGCTTCTCCAAAGTGGAACGGCTCAGGCAGTAAAGAAGTCCCACTTTTTTTGCTTTGCCTCTCATTTCTTCTCATAATAATATGTTTGCTGGCTTGCTTGGAAGAATAAAGGTTTGTCCCCTTTATTTGGATTTTGCTGTATCGTTTTTTCTAGGAATGGAGGTTGAGTGAGTGAGATGTACTGGATGTGTGTGGTCTGTTTTTTCAACCCAGTCTGCGGCACGAGACACAGCATCTTTCTAGACCTTTTTGGAGATGAGTTAGCAAAGTCTGCTGATGACACCAAATTGTTCAGAGTAGTTTTTAACTAAGAGGCTGTGAGGCACTCAAAAAGGATCTCTCAAAACTGAGTGAATGAGCCGGACAAACGCCAGCTCCCTCGGCTTGAAAGCCAGATGAGCTCTGTACCCCATAGTCGCCTTTTACTGGACCTAACCTTTACCTTGGTGGTTGGAGTGTCTGTAAGACTAGAACCTGGGAGACTAGGGTTCAAATCCCCTCTCAGCCATGAAGTTCAGTGGGTGTTATTGTCCTATACATACCTAAATTTAAGTCCCATTGTGCTCTCTGTATGACGTGTTTTGCTATGGCTGGCTCAAACTCTCCAAATTGCAAAAAAACACAAAAAAAACAAATAAGTTTTCTACACAAAGCTGTTCACAAATTATAAAGATACAGGTTTTGGCAAACTACCCCTCTAATTGGGTACAAGAGGTTTTTAGTTTTGCTAGAATGAAACTGCAGTCACATCTCTTATAGACTGCTTTTCCACTTGATTGCTTCTGTATTTTAAAAGAGCTTTTGTTTTGTGCACAGCATTTATTCCATCTTCAGCTAGAACCCCCACCTTGTCTTCATTTGCTTTGTAATCTTGTATTTAAAAACTGTGCCTAGACACATAGTTGTGGCGACCATAATTTCGGTTTAAGGTGCCATTTGGCTCCTTGCTTTCATATCTCTGTTTCTAACGCTGCTCTTTGTGTTGGCCTTGAGACGGGGAGAGCAGGATGTCCTCATTGCCCGGCTCAGGGTTCCAAGCAGTAGTAATCATATTGTGGCAGTGATGTAATGAGAGAAGCTTGCCAAATCTAAACAATTTAAAGAATCCCCAGATGTAAATACTGTGCCGTCAAAGATAGTTCAACAGAAATTCCAAGCAAGTCGTACTTTGGCACGTCTGGAACCCTAAAGAACATTTTTGCAAGGCGAAGAATTCACTGGGGCTGTTTCGCTAAAAGGCTTTTGATCCTATAGATAGGCAAAGTGAACCAACACCTTTGGTTGTATGCAGGCATCTTGGGTGTGGTTTTGGCTCTGAATTTAGGGGTGCAAAGTTAATGAACTTAATTAAGTCTGTGTGCTTTAATCAGCAGATTAATTGGCTAAAGTATTAGTTTGAGGGGAATGAGTGTTGGTGGGGCTGGGGTTTAAGGTCCCTTGAGATTATTTTAGTCTTTGCCCCCTTACTTCAACGGGAAAGGAAAAAGGAAAATGTTAAAGACCATTGCAGAGTCTGCGAGGGTTTGATGAACTTGGATTTTTAACATCCTTCCGAATAGTGCAAACCTGTTGTGCTGCAGGCCTTGGTGAATAAATTCCTGCTCACCTGTCCCTGAACTTCAGCAGGACAGTGCTATAGCACAGTTGCCTTCTTGTCCCGAATGTTGTGGGTTAGGGCCAGGTATTCAGGAAGGTATTCATCTGGCACCAAATTTGAATGGTACAGTGCAAGGAAGGGAAGGCAATATACATTCAGGTTGAGGCCACCAATATATTGGTAAATTGTCTGAAACTGTGTTGAAATTGTCTGTGTTGGGCTTCAGATGGCAATGCCGGTTTCAGACAATTTGAGCTGGTGATACGTCATGCCAGGCATGCAGATGGCAAAGCTGCAGGCAGGCAGACGGAGTCTGAGAAGGTTCTGGCACCTTCTGAGGCTCCTTCTGCCTGCCTGCACCTTTGAGGAATTCCCCATACCTCCTGCTCACATGAGCCAGAGCGATATGGGGGCTCATTCAGCTGAGGTGCAGGAGGCTTCTCTTAAACAATTCTCCTCCCCCCCCCCAACATTTCCTCTGGAAGAAGTGCCCTCTGTTTTTGGCTCCTGGGGGCAGTGAGCATGCTAAGTCCTTGTCAGGCTGTCTTAGGTTGTCCTTTTTCTCTTTATTAGTTTGTGAAATAAAGACTTTTGCATACCTGGGGAGTTCCTATCAACTCCTATCTGTGGTTGGCTGTGCTGTGGGAAATTGATCAGGTTCAATATTAGAATAAGTGGGGACCTGTAACAAAACGCTCATGGGTGTCTACAGACAATATGTCTGCAGAAACTATTAGTCAGTCTGCCCCATGCAGACCAATGTAAGTCAACAGCATGAAAGGAGAAGAGAAGGAGCCAACTCTCGCTCTGTTTACAGAATCTTCCCTGCAGATTTACCTGGAGGCAACTCCTACACATGGTTGGCAAATGGCTATTTAAAAGTCTGGATTGGGCAACATAAACAAGAGTTCTAGCAGCTGCCTTTATAATCACTATATAGTAATCACTATGTTATAATCACTATACAGAGGTCACTTTCAGACATTGAGAATTACAGTTGCGGTGTGTGTGTTTGCACGTCACCTTGCACAGTTACTGCTCAAGAAGAAAATGGCAGGATGGTTCTGTTGCACTCACAGGCCATCCCAAACTAGCATAGGCTTAGGGTTACATATGGGTGCTACTCCCATGGTGCTAAGAAAGCTCGGCCACTTGTTTTCATGTCCGCTCATCATACGCCTGCCTGATGGGTTTGTTACTGAAGCTACAGAAGATGTATCTTGGTCACAGTCGGAGGTCCTTGGCTTGTGCTGTAGACATAAGCCATGGTGGGTCTCCCCAGGCTTAGGTCCCTTGAGCAAACTCTGGGCCCTGTTTTGCCCACAGCTTTTCTGCTTTATTGTGTACTCATTATATGGGTTGGTAGAGGTTTTTGCTCAAAGGAAGGTGAGGCAAGTCTCTCCCCCCCCCCCCAAGTTCATTGTGGGTTCTCTGTTGCATCATATTGTGCATCATATTTAATCTGCAGGAACCATGAATGACGTGCAAATTAGATATCCAGAGCCTTTGCATAGGCCACTGTGAGTGCTATTTAAAGGAACAGCCTCTGCTTGCTAAGTGCCTTCAATTGTAAAAAAAAAAAAAAATCTGCAGCAATTGGTGATTTATGGCCGGCTTATTGTTTTCAAAACTTATTCACCCTTAGAAACTGCCTTGACTAAATTTTCATTCTGCTGCTTGGTCATGATTTCCATTTGAAGAGTTCAGTGCCTCTTTTTTTTTTAAAGGAAAAGCACAACCCTGATTAATGGAATTGTCCCCTTTCAATCTTGGGGTACAAAATTTGACGACAGTCCTGCGTTGTGGATTAGTCAATAGTGATATATGAGCTCTTTCTTGGCAATATTCTGTCAGTGTGGTAACAGAACTGTTGCTGCAACCAGGTCCCACATTATTTCCCAACTATTATGCCTCCCCCGCCAAACCCTTTCCCCAGTTCTCATAGATGCCCTACATCCCCTCACCTTCGGCAATACAGTGGTGTCTTTTTGGCCACGTGTCTCCTTTTGAGTGTCAGGGACGCGGGTGGCACTGTGGTCTAAACCACTGAGCCTAGGGCTTGCTGATCAGAAGGTCGGCGGTTCAAATTCCCGCAACGGGGTGAGCTCCTGTTCCTCTGTCCCAGCTCCTGCCAACCTAGCAGTTCAAAAGCACACCAGTGCAAGTAGATAAATGGGTACCGCTCTAGCAGAAAGGTAAACAGCGTTTCCATGCGCTGCTCTGGTTCGCCAGAAGCGGCTTAGTCATGCTGGCCACATGACCAGGAAGCTGTCTGCGGACAAATGCTGGCTCCCTCGGCCTATAGAGTAAGATGAACGCTGCAACCCCAGAGTCGTCCATGACTGGACCTAACGGTCAGGGGTACCTTTACCTCCTTTTGAGTAGTCCTGATGGAGGCACATTAGGCAGTTTCAACTTGGAATCCGATTGTGTCTCTCCCACGCTGCTCTCCTCCTTGCCAGATCCATGCTACGTAACTGGAGAGCAAGACCTGGATGATGCTTCCTTTAGTAAATCTGCCCCTAGGACTAGCCATCGCCCCTTGGCTTTTTTGTCTGAAGGACAACCATATTTTTAGTCTTAACACATTCATGCAGAAAAGCCCTTATCTTGTGGGGGGAGACCCTCACTTTAGCATAGAGGTGGGAATTCTGTCATCTTTCCCACGGAAATGATCACAGTTTATTTTGGTGCCTGTCCGATTCAGGACACTTGGCTAGGAAAGGTCAAGAGGCAGATTCACGGAACAAACATCCCTGTTGTTGTTTTTTTTACAGTGGCATAACTGTCACGGCTTTCTTCAAAGCATTCTGGGAATCGTAGTTGCTGATAATTCACTTTAATCCCCAGAACCTTTTCATTCTGCAGTGTAAATAGGCCCAGTTCATCTCTCTCTCTCTCTCTCTCTTTTTTGAAAGATTAGTAAAGTACCTTTTGGGGAATTTCCATTGTGTTTTATCTTTTTGAGATAATTTAAGTGTAGTAATGCTGAAGGACATGAAGTGTTATCTTCAGCGCAACAGCACTAAATAAGGCCACACAACACAAATGCCAAATTAGGGGCATGAGTCTCTGGCTGTGTTGTTTGAGAAGGATAGAAGTTGCAGACAAGAATAGCGCATATGAACAGTCATATTCATTTTCTCATATCCAAGGCAAAATGATGGTAGGCAAGTACCTGGCTTAGATTTTTAGGAATACCCAAGGCCAGATTTGGAGATGAAACTAAATAAAGCGATCTGTATGAAAGCAGCCACAGCTGGCATTGGGAACCTTAAATATGGGGAAGGGCCACCATATATTGGGAGCGGAAAGTCGCAGGTTCAATCCCTGGTGGCCTCTCCAGGCAGGCCTGGGAGAGTCGCGTGCCTGAAACCCTGGAGAACCACTACCTGCCTGAGCAGACAGTACTGAGCTGGGGGGACCAATGGCCTGACTCTGTGAGGCTGCTTCCTGTCTTGCTAATTTCCTGACACTTCCTCTGAGAAGGTTGCCCTATGACAATAAACTCTTGCAATTACACAATGTGGGCATAGCATCGTGTTCTATTGGAATGTACTAGCATTATCTTTTGGTGTTCATTTTTATTTCTTTATTATGTCTATCTCCCGGCTTTTCCTTGGAGGAGCTCAGTATGATCTCATAGGTTAGTCATTTCCATTTCTTTTCAAGAAATGGAAGAGGCCAGAGCTGCAAGAGGTTGGGCAGAAAGGGAGCCCGGGCGGACGCGCCTTGACTTTCCCGTGGTCATTGCAAACCGGCGGTTAGAGCCAAGGCCTCGCCTTGTGACCGAATGGTGGACTTGGACCAGGAAGCGTGTGATAGCACAATGAAATGGGTTACTGAAGGAATAGACTAGGTTCTGTTTGAACTTGGGTTAATCGTTGCCTGATTTCTGTAATTTTAGAAAGCTGTATGAGGCGTTAATGTTCATTTCCCCCTGCATATTCCCTGAAGCATTCATCCACCAGATCCGTAGGCTCTGCCAGAGAAAGTGGTCTCTGACTGACGATGTCAGTGACCTCCAGCTCCTGTCCTTAGATCTGACTTGGAACCAAGTGGCACTGATGGATCCGTGTCAGGAGGGTCTTGCTGGTGACACTACTTTGGGTCAAGCAACTGTGAACCTTTCAGACCCCAGTTCAGTTGTGTCTTCAAATAGATAGAAGTTTGGAGAGTAGATGGTTGTCACATGGCACAGCTGCTTCCCAAGGATTCCTCCTGCCAGATCCTGTCCGAAGGGACCAGTTGTTCTGAGCACTTTTGCACCAGAGGACCCTGTCCAACTGTGATCTTGCACAGCTCACCTTGGAAGAAGAAAAGAATTGTCAGCAGCAGTCTGGCCTGTGCATGCATTGTAGAAAGGCCTGGCATGATGCTCTCCTGCCTCTTCCTGAGATTTTACTGCCACGTATTTTGATCTTTCCCATGTTTTTCAAATGTATTTATTTATTTATTTTTCAGTTGCCTGCATAAGGTCGTGTAAGAAAAGTGAGGGTAACTTGTGGGCTTAATGCAGGCACAGGCAAACTTGGCCCTCCATATGTTTTTGGGACTACAACTCCCATGATCCCTAGCTAGCAGGACCAGTGGTCAGGGATGATGGGAATTGTAGTCTCAAAACATCTGGAGGGCCGAGTTTGCCTATGCCTGGTCGACACTGACGGGCAGAGGTTCTCCGGCGTTTCAGTCAGGCACCTCCTGCTAGTCCTGCCTGGAGATCCTGGGGCTTTAGCCTTTGCCCTTCTGCATGCAAAAAGCAGATCGCCTACCGCTGAGCTGCAGGCCTTGAAGGCGTGGCCATTTTCTGCAGCCCCGTTGCCTAAGATCCCTTGACTGGAGATGCGAAAGAATTGTAGCTGGCACATTCTGAATGCAAATCCTGTGCGGTGCCACAGAGTTATGGCTCTGTCTCCTTTGACTGTTCCTTGCTTCATCTGAGTTTGTGAGGAGATGGGTGCTTAGGAACAGGCTGTGCTGGAGGAGAGGTTCCCTGAAAACGGTAGTTCTCTCAGTTATTTGTTCTCAGAGGCTACAGGCCTCTTGTCTAGACCTTGAGATGACGGCATCGGCTCCCCTTTTAACTGTGTCAGCTTAACCAGAAGAATGGGTTGCAAGTACAGTATTTCAGAGGCACATGCTGCCTTCTAGAACATTTTCTTCTGAAACTGCGCATTCAGGTGGCCTATGAAAGGGCCTTCTTCGCATACTCTTATTGTTTTGGTGGGAATACTCATATGTGACCCAGTGGGGCTGGCACTGAAGATGGCAGTTCGTCTCTTCCTCTAATGTTTTGGCACTCTTACCATTGCATGACACCATTGTACGAATGGGGATACTTTCAGAAATAGTCCTCATTGCATGTACAGTGGTACCTCGGGTTACATACGCTTCAGGTTACAGACTCTGCTAACCCAGAAATAGTGCTTCAGGTTAAGAACTTTGCTTCAGGATGAGAACAGAAATCGTGCTCCGGCGGCGTGGCAGCAGCAGGAGGCCCCATTAGCTAAAGTGGTGCTTCAGGTTAAGAACAGTTTCAGGTTAAGTACGGACCTCCGGAACGAATTAAGTACTTAACCCGAGGTACCACTGTAATGTGTAGTTGCTCACTGATATTTTTTAAGGGTGGGAAGGTGCCGGTCCCCTCCTTTTTTTACTAGGCAATCAACCCTATGCATGCTTGCTTCTGTCCCCACTGCATTTAGTGGAGCTTATGCCAAGGTTAGGATGCGGGTGGCCCTGTGGTCTAAACCACTGAGCCTCTGGGCTTGCCAATCAAAAGGTTGGCAGTTCGAATCCCCACAACGGGGTGAGCTCCTGTTGCTCAGTCCCAGCTCCTGCCAACCTAGCAGTTCGAAAGCATGCCAAAAAGTGCAGGGAGATAAATAGGTACCGCTCCGGTGGGAAGGTAAGCGGCGTCTCCATGTGCTGCTCTGGTTTCGCCAGAAGTGGGTTAGTCATGCAGGCCACATGACCTGGAAGCTGTACGCCGGCTCCCTCGGCCAGTAAAGTGAGATGAGCTTTACCGCAACCCCAGAGTCATTCGTGACTGGACTTAACTGTCAGGGGTCCTTTACCTTTACCTCCTTTTTATGCCAAGGTTAGGATGTGTAGGATTGCAGACAAAATCTGCTTATAATTATAAGAAATTTGAGAATAATTGCATTCATAAGCCTTTTTCTGCATGACTTTATAGAAGTTTCTTTCCTAGCAGAATTGTGAAAAGCAGTTGACCAAGAAGTGTACTCCTAAATGGAGCTCTTTCGAGGTGATTGTCAGCTAAACAGAGAAGCTGTGTGTTTAGTTATTGAATCCAGGCAGCCAGCAGACTAGGTGATGTGCAGTATACTGCACATAAGCCTGTGTTTAGTGTGAACGATATCAGTGCTTTGCTGTCTATTGCTTCTAAGCGGATTACACTGCTGCACATGCAGATCATAGGAATTTGTAGGCAAAGAGCACCTCTACCTACAGTGGTAGGACTCAGTAGTTTAAAAATAAAATAAATTTCTACCTTTCGAATGTTTCGTAGGTTTATAAGTAGTCGTTTGTCAGATCTCTTGTGGTAAGTCAGAAGACTCTCCAAGTGATTAGGCAGGGAAATCTTGTTGTAATTTGGGGGGTGTTCTTTTGTATGCAGAATTTGTTGTGCTCTGCGTGACTTACAGAAGTATGTGGGTGTTTGGGCAAGTCAGGTATGCTAGTAAAATTTTATGTGGGCTAGCAGCTGTTATGGGCTTTATTCCAGTCCTTCTGTTATGCAATAAAATAACATTGAATGGTATGAACCTGACTGCTGGGCTCCCAATATTACTTCCATACTGTGATTGGCAGAAGGGCACAGGCTTTTCTCTTCCCCTCTCTGTTCCTCCATCTCCAAGTTGTTTGCCATATTAACAATTTGTCAACGCCTCCAGCACAGTTTTCTCACCATCTTGTTTTTACACTGCAGGTGCCGCAAAGCAGTAGATGTAATTTTGAAGATATTCTGAAGGCACAAATGGCTTTAGCTGGCTGCCCAGACTCCATTTTGCACCATCCTTACCGAATAGTAAGTTATAACTTAAATATATTTAAAATGCATGGAATCCAGCTGTAGTGGTGGAGTAAAGTCTGTTTACTGAGCTGAGTAACTCACTAGTTCGCCTTAATTACATCAGTGGCCTGGATCAGATTTAAAGGGAATCCAGGCTTTCCTGCTATATCAGCGATTCATTGTGAGCCTTGGGCTCATGCGCTCATGCGCTCTTACTCTCAGCCTCATCTGCATGCCAGAGGAGATTGGAAGATTTCCCTTCCAATTTTAAGCAGACTGCAAACCAGGATCCAAAACCAGCTGCCAAACTAGAGCTTAAACAAACCATACTTCTCTGCGTTCGGACCTTGACACGGAACTGCAATTTGTTTAAAATGGGGGGCGAGATCCGCCAAACTCATCCTCCAGGCATTCAGAGGAGGAGGAGAGGAGGTAGCGTTGGAACCCGAGGCATGCACTGACCCATGTACAGATTGGGAAACCATAGTTTCGCACTATGGTAGACCCACAACTTATGTAGGATTTATTTACGTGATTGCAGCTTTGCATGGGTGGTGGGCGAATAAATAAACAGATGGAGAGCCGGGGGACGGGACAATCAGAAGGGGTTGTCCAAGATCTCGCAAAGGTCTCAAGAGGGGCATGGCGGAGGGCTCTTTCTGTGCCGAGTTTTCTTGACACTGAAAGTTTTTAAGCCCTCCATCTTGCTTACCGGGCTCTGGTAAGGTTACACAAGGCCTCTGGAAGGGAAGGCTGTGGATTTACTATTTGTCAACTAATATTTTTACTGGGGAAAGTGTATTATGTTTCAGACCTGCACAAGTTGTGAGCTGTGCATTGTGGCTCCGCTAGGCAGCAGAAGAATATCTTTGGTTTCCCCAGTGGGCCACCATGCATGGCAGGAGGACTGTGCCTGGCTTTATGGGCTAACTTTAGCTGCTTTTTGTGCCCTGATGGCTAACCTGTACTACTAGGCCAGTAAGTATTCAAAGTCTGCTTTGGAAAATGAGTGGCTGGTCTTGGTGTTTTAAAAGCAAGCAGTCATTCCAGATCAGCTGTACATAGGATGACTCAGAAAGTGAGGGTGACTGAAGCCCTCAAAATTTACTTTGAAGGTCCTTCTCAAGGTGCTTTATTATGACATATTACGGTTTAGGCTATTTTCAGGGGAAATAATCACAGCTCTGTAAATAGTGAACGGATTTTGGGACACCCAGATCAAAGGCAAAGAGCAGTGCTACTAAAAGGGGTGTTCCTGCAACAGCAATATGGGTTGGTGGCTCCTGCTAGTTGTATCAAAACCAACCATGTAGGAGAGGCTACCTCAATCTTCACAGAAGCCAGGAGGAGGCTGGCGCAAGACCGATGTTTCATGCTGAGGAGGAAGTTGAAAAAAGGTTATGGAGAAATGATAGTAATCTCAACCAGATACAAATGTAATGCTTTTGCTGGTGCTCTTGCTAACCACGAAAGCAACTGAAACAGCCTGTAAAACAGTGATGAGGAATTTGCAGGTCTGTTTAGGCCCAGCCTATGAGGCGGCTCCCTGCCAACCACACCTGATGTAATATGTGATTTGCAGTTTGTGGTAGCCAGGGACATGGCTGCAAAGGAACAAGCAGGGGCTTAAAAGTTGCCAGTTGTTTCTGTGCAAGCAGGGCTTCCCATCAGTGCTGGTAAGCAGGGATCAGGAACTCCTTAGTCCTGCTTTCTGTTTTGAAGGATGGATAAAATTCAAACCATTTCCTCAAAATGGACTTTGAGGAGTCCATTTTGTAACCATGTAAACAGAATGGGATGTGCACTCCCAGTGCCTGCCAGCTGATTGGCACTGAAAGTGCATCTTCAGACAAGGTTGCTCTAACCACTAGTCAGCTGATCAGTAGTTATAGCAACTTCCTTTAGACTTGGGACAAGTATTAGGCATCCTTCAATTTGCAGCACTCGTGTCACCTTTCAGGGGTGAGATGAATGTTACTCAGATGCTGAGAGATTTGAGTTGCCCTATGTGTGGTATCTTGGGTACCAAAACACTAATCATGGAAGGCTATGTGTGTTTACCAAAGACAAGAAGGATCTGCCCATCAGATCTGCCCATCAAAAAGTGCTTTTGAGTTCTGTGTTGCACATGCTAATTAATCCCCAGGCTACAACTGGAACATATAAATGCTGTTTTCTTGAACATACCTCCGCCTGGAAAGATAAGTCTTTCTTACCAACAGTCTTACCAGTTTTCTCAGGATCACAATACAGTCGTACCTTGGTTCCCGAATACCCTGGAACTCAGACGTTTTGGTTCCTGAACGCTGCAAACCCGGAAATGATTGTTCCAGTCTGCAGACGTTCTTTTGGAACCTGAATGTCCCATGAGCTTCCTGCAGCCAATCAGAAGCCGTGACTTGGTTTTCAAACATTTTAGAAGTTGAACAGACTTCTGGAATGGATTCTGTTCATCTTCCAAGGTACGACTGTACGCTCATTCTATAGAATCATACACAGTCAGTGATCTTCAAAAATATGTACCTGTTCTGTACTTCCTGGATGTGCTTGGTAGGAACTTGAGGCGTTGAGTTGGTTCATTGTTGATAGCAGCAGTTCTTGTAAGTCCTGGATGTCTCATGCGCCTGTCTTGGTGAGATGCTTCTGGTTCCCGATTCAGCAAGCATGGGAAACAGAACAATGTGTCTTTTGTAGAGCACCCGCATAGTCATGTCTTCCTTGCTGGTTCTTGCATGTCCACTCCTATTTCTTTAATTCTGACCTTGTCCCACATGAGCAGCATGGAGAAAATGATTTTACTGGTGGGGTTCTACTGTATCCCTCTTATGTGATGTCAGAAACATCATCACGTTCGCAATATGCGAGGAACAGTGTGCAAAGCAACAGTCTGTGTGCTCATTTGCATAACGGTAAGTACAACTTGGGCACAATTGCTAATAATTAGGCAAGATGTTCCCTGTTCAGAAGTGTTGCTGCCGCAGTCCTACAGTATGATAAAGAAAGGTTGCAAGTGAGGAATGTTCTCTAGAATCTACACAGTAAAAGTAATCATTGTCATCGTCATGTGATTTGAATGCCACCTTTCCATAGTTCAAAGCATGCGCAAGGCGGCTTGCAACATGAGATGATTTACATAATTGCAAACATAAGAAAAGTAGTTGTAAACGATAAATAAAGCACATCAAAAAAGTGCATGACCAAATCACACAATTTCCACATAATTCATAATAAGATTTAAAAACAGCAACAAAAAGAGGCTGTTCAACGGCCTCAGCTTTTGTAGCTGGAGTCAGTCCAGGCCCCGCCCTGCCAGGTCAGGTGAAAAAATACCATTAGGGCAGGGAGCAGGTGTTTCAGGACTCCCAGGCAAGATGGTTGCTGGTCTCAGCTTTTGCTGGAGGTAGCTGGAGTCTCTTTGCTCACTCACATTGGAGGATAAATGGCTCAGGCATACCTGCTCAGAGGTAGTAATGAGGTGAGAGAAGAGGTTCAGACCTTTCTAGCAATCATTTGGTATAATAGACATCACAAAGTGAGAAGTTGCTGCAGTTATTATGGCGAACCACTAAAACAAATGTCACTTTAGTCAGATTATCTTCTCGTTAGGACCAACGTTGCAAGAAATCCTGTCCTGTGTGCACTTACTTGTAAATAAGTCACATTAAACCTGCTGTCCTAACCATTTAAGGCTGCAGAAGCTATACTAATAACAGGCACTGCTTATAAGGACTGGCGGTGGATTCCTGCCACAATAGCTGCACATTGCACAGAGTGAGTCCCACTGGTTTGCATGAGGAATGCTCCCTGGGAAGTGTTTACAGGACTCCAGCCTGAACTCATTACTCTTGAAAAGTGCCACACAGGCCTTCGAACAAGGGCTCCCAGGTACTTTCAGAATCATGGGGAAATATTAATATCCCACTCCCCACTTAATGCAATTCTACACCTTTTTTCTAGAATGTGGAATACGAAGCCGACGAGGAGCTGGAGAGCAGGATCTGAAATGTCCATTTGGCCGCTGTGTGGCCTTGGCCTGGTCACCATCCCTTAGGCCAGGCATAGGCAACCTCGGCCCTCCAAATGTTTTGGGACTACAACTCCCATGATTCCTAGCTAAAAGGACCAGTGGTCAGGGATGATGGGAATTGTAGTCTCAAAACATCTAGAGGGCCGAGGTTGCCTATGCTTGCCTTAGGCTAACCTCTCTCACGGGCCTGTTGTGAGGAGAACACGGGGAAAATGAGAACCAGGAGTGCTCCCTTGAGTTCTTTTGAGGAGAAAAGAGAGAGATAAATGCCATACTGATGGACGTACGATCTTTATTATTGTTTTTCTCCAGCCTGCCTGCCCGGATTTTGAATAGGGAGAGGGCACGTTTGAAGCCACAGGGTGGAAGGAAACCTAAAAATGAAGCAAAAAAATAATGTACACAATCAGACCCTGCACATGCAAGTTCTGACTTGGAATCATTCCCTGCGCTATCCTACATTTTGTAATAGTATTTTAAATTTCCAAAGTGTGTTTGTCCTCACAACAACCACCCTGTAAAGTAGATCACAGTTGCAATTTTAGCAAAGCAATGAAAAGGGTAGCACTTGTGAGTTCAGGCAGAAGCGTATGTGGGAGACAACCAGAGGAAGTGTGGCTTTGAGATTTTTGAGAAAGTTTAATTTTTTTCTTGCAGTTCTTCTCAGGTGGTCTGCATCTTGCTTGCCCTAGGAAATTAGCAACCATTCCTCCTCCTCCTCTCAGTGGGACTTGGGCTCTGGTTCCTAACCAGTGCTTTTCTTCTAGAAAATCATATCCTTGAGTACTCCCAGGAAAACAACAACACTGTCCCTAACATAGATTTCCCTTCTGAGATTGGTGGATCTTTTTTCTTCCTCTGCACATTTTGTTTGTGGAGCTTGTTTTGTCATACACAACTTGTACAAGTTTTGATTGTCTTGCATTTAGGTGAAGGACTTAGGGCCAAACCTGGCCTGAAATGAGAAATATGCTCCTGCGGGGTTAGGAGACCTTTGTGTGGTGCAAGAGATTATTTAACCTGTTCCTGCCTCCATTGTCCCAGACAGATTCTCCTCCCCACTCCCCATGCTTAAAGGAACAAAGCATTGTGAATGGTGGGGGGGGGGGGGCAGGATTTCAGCCCGAGATTGCAGGAGAACCAAAGGCGTTAAAGCCTGCTTTGCTGCAGTCCTGATCTGGCTCAGAAGCACACTGGCTAGCTATTCGTTTTTAAAAAGCCGGAAAACTCAGCTATGCAAGGGCAAACTATGTGACAAGTATTGCATTTAGTTTGGCCCTCCAGTTAGGAGCTAGAAGTTGTGTTTAGGAGGTTGATCCTGGTAAGTTCCTTGCTAAGTTCTGTGTGCCGTTTATGTACCTCCTCATAAAAGCTGTGCTTGCTGATCCAGGAACTTTCCTTTAATCCATTTGCTGTTCAAACTCATTCCCTTGGAAACTATCTCTAATCTTGTGGGGATTAAACAAAAAACAAAAACCGCCGCCACCCTCTCCTCTTTGCCGTGTTCAGGAGGTCTTTCCAAAACTCTGTCTCTTTGGTTTAGAAAATAATGCAGCAGTGAGAATTGGCAGCACTTCGCTCGTGTTCCTGGAAGTTCAGATTGGAGTTCCAGAATTTCTCAGAAAACAGGGATGACTTACGGCGTGTGCATTCCTATTCTTATGCAATTGGGAGTCGCAGCAGTAATCGAGCACAGTCACTTGAACTCTTTATTCAATTAAGGAGGAAATGAACGTTATAGCATAGTGATTTAATCAGTGACTCTTATTCCAGTATAGGGATTCATCATGAAGTGACTAAAAGAAGCTTGAGGGGAAGTTCAGAGTTCAGTTCCTCTGCTCCTCCCTCCCTCTCCATCCCACCCCTCCGCTCACGTAAGCACCAGAAGTAAAGGCATTAAATTATCTCTTGTTTCCTGCAAGCTGGAACAAACATATTCAGTCTTTCCAGACCTAGGACCCCCCCTTTTAACCTAAGCCTGCGTTTGCGGACCCAGTGCTGCTGTTGTGACGCACCTTGGATCAGGCCACAGCCCACCAGCTGAAGACCAGGGAGCCAGAAGATACGCTTTGATGTGAATAACACATAATTTTGTGGAAGAGGGAGGCGAAGTTTCAAAGTGAAAGAGAGAGACTTCTAATTCAAATGCAGTCTCTGTGTAGACATGAACCCAGAATACCAGTTGCCATATTTCAAAAAGTGACAAAGGGGTGTGTGGGTGTGGGTGTGTGGGTGTGTTTTTTTGGGGGGGAGGTGCTGAACTTTTTTTTTTTTTTTTGCAAAATCTCAAAAAAATGAAGTTTTTGAGCTTTTATTTGCATTAGCCATAGCAATAAAATAAAATGTACCGAAGGTAGGGGTAATAACTTAACTATGCAAAATACATTCTGGAGGTTTACATCAATCATCAAATAATAAATCTTATTCTAAGTGCCCCTGCTAAAATCTTTGCAGTCACCTGATTATCTTCTTCTGCGAGAAGAAGGACACAGTGGCATTGGTTGAGCAACCCGGCATGGACAATAATAGAGGGGCAATAACCCCACGCCTTAAATCTTTATAAAGAGAGCAAGCCAGAAGCACATGAGCTCCTGATTCAGTACTGCCACCTCCACATGGACATAACCGTTTTCCCAGCGGAATTTTTTGAAATCGACCCTCAAGTACAGCTGAAGGCAGTAGATTTAATCTCGCGTAAGTGAAAGCATGTCTGTATTTTGGAATTCTTAAACTTTGCAAATAGGGTGCCAACATATCAAAATGACTAGGCAGAAAATAACCATACCATGGATAAAATTTCCATATTGTGTCCAAATTATTCTGTTGCTCGATATCATATAGGCGCTGTCAAATTAAATTAAGTTTTTGAGCTATTTTTAAGGAAATTTGCCAAAATACAGACTTCCGACATGGGTTGTCATACAACCCGGACACCTCAGAAATTTCCGCCTGGACACTGTATCCGACTGCCATATTCCAGCTACATTTAGGAAATTCCAGATGTGTGGCAGCCCTATGCAAGACCTGCCGTTGGGAACCTTTCCTGATAGGAGATTTCCTCCAGCCCTCAGTCATTTTAGTGGTTCTGTTTGTCACCTTTTTGGCTCTCCAGTATCCTTTTTGAGGTGTGGCAACCAGAATGGGAGAGGAACTTCCATCCCATGGTCCTAATTTGGTGTGGTGTGGTCTCAGTGTGGCCCATGAGGTAGTTTCCCTGAAACCCACTTGCCCCCATACCGAATGCCATATGGGGAGGTGCTGCTGCCGCCAGGGCACCCTCAAGAACCTGGGGTCAGCTGTGCTGCTGAGTTCTCCATGGGGAGAACAAGCGGAGTTCAACTCAGCTGATAGCAGTGTTGATGGATGGTTTCTGGACCTGGCAGAGCTGCTAGGGGGCATGGGAAGCCCAACCATGTTGTGTCCCCCCCCAATTTTATTTATTGGTTTTCCAAAATTTTAAACAAACAAACAAACATACATACATACATCTTAACTGTACTTGATCCAATCTTAGTAACATTGTTAAGTGACTTCCTCAAATCCCCCTGGCTGCATTTCAGTGTATATCATTGTAACAGTTTCCCAAAACCCATTTTCTCATAAAATTAACTTAATCACTTAACCTCTTACTTTGTTTTCATTTTGACTTTAAACATATTATTCTCTAAGAGCACATAATTAAGTCCTAAGCCTATCTGGAATTTGCAAACTTTTCCAATTAAACTATCTTAGTATATTTAACTAAATAGTATTTGAATTTCATCCATTCCTCCTGGTACTCCTCCTCCTTCTGGTTGCGGACTCCAACCATGTTTTTTTGGGTTTTCTCTGCCAACCTCTTCCCTTGCAAAGATAACCATGGACACAAAAGTCCATTACAGATGACCTGTGTAGTCAATATGTTGGATGGCAGCCACAGTCCTATTGGTTTTCTATCTGTTTTTATTCATTGAGTTTGTATGGCCCATGAATCTTAAGTTACTGTGGGGCGAGTCAGGGAGGCTCCCTGGCCCTAGCTTCCTTGTACCTTGATGCTTTGCTGCTGCAGCTGAGCTACATTGTCAGCTAGGGTTCTCTTTGTGTCCCTTTAAGGCAGAAATCTTACAGATCAGTGTACACACCTAAAGTGACAATTTGGCTTTGTGATTTGTACTAAACTACCACACGGTTTTGGGACGCGGGTGGTGCTGTGGGTAAAACCTCAGCGCCTAGGGCTTGCCGATCGCATGGTCGGCGGTTCGAATCCCCGCGGTGGGGTGAGCTCCCGTCTTTCGGTCCCAGCTCCTGCCCACCTAGCAGTTCGAAAGCACCCCTAAGTGCAAGTAGATAAATAGGTATCACTTTATAGCAGGAAGGTAAACGGCGTTTCCGTGTGCTGCGCTGGTGCAGGCTCGCCAGAGCAGCTTCGTCACGCTGGCCACGTGACCCGGAAGTGTCTCCGGACAGCGCTGGCCCCCGGCCTCTTAAGTGAGATGGGCGCACAACCCTAGAGTCGGACACGACTGGCCTGTACGGGCAGGGGTACCTTTACCTTTACCTTTACCACACGGTTTGGACACAGAAATGTGTGTGCTTGTATGTTAATATTATTATTAAAAATTATTATTCATAATATATGTAACACATGTTTAATTAAAAAACAACCAATTATATGCGTATATGCTTTTAAAACAACAGCAGCAAATTTATAAAATCAATTCAAATCCAGTACAGATACCAACCGGGAATCGGAGCTTGCTGAAAGAAGAATGTGTTTATTGGGTGCTGAAAAGAAAACACAGAAGGCACCTTTCTGATATATAAAGGGAAGGAGCTATATTGGGGCGGGGTGTTGACACTTGTAGGTATCCTGGTCCCAAGCTGCACAGATATAAACACCTTGCACTTTGCTTGGTAGCTAACTGCCAAGCAGTGCATTCCTCCCCACAATGGCATGATATGGTGGTGGTATTCCACCCCAGTGAGCAGTTGAGCCACCACATTTTGTACCAGCTGCAGCCTGTGGGGCTTCTTCTTCCTTAGTGGTCCCTCGTAGCCGAGTTAGATTGTCTTCCATAACCACGGTTTTAACAATGAGTCCGTAAGTGACTGTGGAGGCCAGTTCTGGATCCATACTTCCTTCCACAGTGGGGACATTGGTTTCCGGGTGGGAGTTGATCACGGTGTAGATTTGCCAAGCGTGCCTTCCTCTTAGCACGTTTCTCCCTTGCGTCCAGAGTTCGAGTGTCTTCAAAGCCCATGACACCTTTGGTAAAGGCTGTTCTCCAACTAACTGAACAGCTTGTGCGGCAGCCCCACATAGAGCACATTGCAATAACTAGCCTGGAGGTTGCCCGTACTCAGGCTATCGTGATCCAGAAACGGCCACCACTGCCTTGCCAACTGAAGCTGGTAAAAGGCTCTCGGAGCCAAGGAGGTCGCCTGGGCCTCTAGCAAGAGACATGGATCCAAGGGCACCCCCAGACTGCACAGGGAGTACAGCTCCATCCAAAGCAGGCAGTTGACCAATTATCCTGACTCAAGAACCGCCCGCCCACGATGCCTGTGTCGTGCCAGGATTCAGAGTCCGTTTAGTGGCACTTGTCCATCCTACCGCTGAGTCCAGGCAGCAGTCCAGGGCTTGCACGGCCTCTCCTGATTCAGATGCGACTCAGAAATAGAGCTGGGTATTGCACCAACGACAAATGGATCAACTTTTATATGTAAACCGTCATACTCAAGTGTTTGTCCCATGGATATCTGCTTCTGTTCCTCAAGTTTTGTGCAGTCCAGTCCAGTGGTACCTCGGGTTACAGACGCTTCAGGTTACAGACTCCACTAACCCAGAAATAGTACCTCGGGTTAAGAACTTTGCTTCAGGATGAGAACAGAAATTGCGCAGCGGTGGCAGCGGGAGGCCCCATTAGCTAAAGTGGTACCTCAGCTTAAGAACAGTTTCAGGTTAAGAACGGACCTCCAGAATAAATTAAGTTCTTAACCCGAGGTACCACTGTAACAGCAGTCCCAGCAGTCTCCAGCTTTTGTTTCAGATCACTTGGAAGTATTTTGTCCACTTTGTAAATTGCTGGCCTACTGAAATTTGAACGGGCAGAGAACAAGCTGACCCTGTTCCTGTCACGAGGGCCACACTTTCCCAAATGGTTTACCCTGGGAATATTTTCATGGAGGGTCATTTGGGTACTGCAAGCTTACTTGATACATCCCTCATTAGATATTGTTATTGGTGATATATATATTAAGTAAATATATAAGTGGTAGTGATCTCTCACAATTTTCTTCGTTTTTCTTCTTGAGGCGTTGAATTTGATAGCTGCGACAGTACAGCATTGCTCCATATATAGATAATGTCAAATGTCATAACAAATGCTTTAACTAGCCTTTTTCAGGAACGTTGGGGAGGGTTGGAATCGATTAGCTTTCCCTCGTTTCGTGTGCGCAGGGGCACGTTAGTAACAGCACACAAGGAAACGTCTCTCCCCAAAACCACACTGGTAATTGCGGGAGCCTCGTGAACTGGGAGGAAAGTTAATGCAGCAGTTTCAGTGTGTTCACGACGTATTAAAAGAGCCATTGTAGTTGCTTCTGCAGAAGTGCTGGAATGTATTTCTTTCCAGAGCATTGCAGTAATTTCCTTTTGTTTCAAGTGTGTCAATAGCCCAAATTGAGGGGGGAGGGAACAAAAGAACAAAATGAGCTGTTGCAGAGGAGTAGAAAATGAAGTACTCCCTGCGAATTTTGGAGGCAACTGGCAGTGTGAAGGGCTCGCCTGCCAAGAGGAGAATAGTGCCAGTTCATGATAACTGCTGTTCCTTGTTGGTGCGTTCTCTCTCAGTCTTTCCCCTCTATATATGTAGCTTGTGTTTAATTTGGTTCTTATTTTAGATGGATAGCTTTGATTAGTTTTGGATTCAGAAGACAACAGAAAATTACTCCAAAAGTACTTATTCAGTGTGTGCAATGTCTGCTTAGATCTTTATCCATATTTATTTGGTTTCCTTCAAGGAGCTTTTTCTTTGAATTTGAAAAATAGCCCTTTCCTGAAGATTAGCTCTTTGTGGCAGTGCAAGTCATAAAGACTGCTGGGAGGGCTGTTCAGATTTGCCTGTACTTTCCTTCTCTCCCTCCCTCTCTCACATTCTCCCCTTCTTTTTGCCTAATTATGGGGCCTGCTAGTCTTTTGCTTCTGCACTGGTCTTTTTCCTAGCCAGCATGGCTGTTGCCAGTCCACAGAAGCTGCAGGCGTTGCAGTTTGGAGCAAACAAGGGTTTGCAGGCACTGGTGTAGAAGTAATGCACAGTCTCACGGTCAACTGAAAAATGAAACCATGTGTGCAAAGAATTTGCACCCAAAAGCTGAAGGGAGGATGTAGGTCTACAAGCCTCTTCCTCTCCATCACCATGGTTTAGAGATCAGGCAGTGTTGTTGTAGAATCATAAGAGCTGCAGGCTGCATCTATCGCAGTCCCCTTGCAATACAGGAGATACATTGCTACAGCATTCTTGATAAGTGACCTTCCAATCGTTGCTTTAAAGTTCCTCAGGAGAGACAGCCCACCTCCCCAAGAACACTGTTCCACTGCTGGCGGTTCAAATCCCCGTGACGGGGTGAGCTCTTGTTGCTCAGTCCCTGCTCCTGCCAACCTAGCAGTTTGAAAGCACGTCAAAGTGCAAGTAGATAAATAGGTACCACTGCAGTGGGAAGGTAAACGCCGTTTCCGTGCGCTGCTCTGGTTTTGGTGTTATGTTGCGCCAGAAGTGGCTTAGTCATGCTGGCCACATGACCCGGAAAAACTGTCTGTGGACAAACGCCGGCTCCCTCGGCCCGTAAAGCGAGACGAGCGCCACAACCCCAGAGTCGTCTGCAACTGGACTTAACTGTCAGGGGTCTTTTACCTTTTAATGTTTAGTTTAAACCCCTTTCCTTGTAAGTTGAACCTGTTGGTTAGGGTCCTGTCCTCTGGAGCAGCATAAACAACCACTCCATCAATGTGGCAGTGCTTCAGGTATTTGAGTACAGTATTGCTATGATATTAAGTATAATAATTTTATTATTTATGTGCCGCCCATCTGACAGGGTTAGCCCTGCCACTCAGGGCAACTCCCAACAAAATATTGACAACACAATCTCACCCCTTAATTGTGTTTTCCCCCAGACTAAACGTAACTAAAGCCTTCAGTCTTCCTTCATAAGGCTTGGTGACCATCTTTGTTGCTTTTCCTCTGGACACATTCTAGTTGGTCAATATCCTTCCTAAACTGTGGTGCTCAGAGCTGGACACAGTATTCCAAGTGAGCTCTGTCTGAAGAAGTACAGAGGGATATCATGATCTGGACCACTGTACTTCACTTGATGCAGCCTACCATAGTGTTTGCCTTTTCAGCTGCTAACGTGTTTAGCTTGTGGTTTAGTAAATCCCCTAGGCTTTTTCACATGTCTGGTTGTGTCAAGCCAGGTGTAAGTCACCCTCTTATTTCTTAATGCAGTGGAGCTACCATTTCCCGGTTCTTCCTCCTGCTCTGAACAAAGCTTCAAAATACCTTTTTGTTATTTTTCACATCTCTTCTAAGCCTAAACTCATTCTGACCTTCAGTAGGTTTCCTGACACTCTCCCTACAAGCTTTGGCTACTGATTGGTACTGCCTTTCCTTCCTATTCTATCCTTGCAAGATTTTTGGGGAAAGATGCTCGAGTTCTGATCTTAACCCTGGGTTCCGGCTGAAGTGAAGCAAGAACAAAACGCTTTAAGAACAGACACACAGGCTGGGAGAATTGAGAAGCAGAGGAAATGCTTTGATGGCTGGAGGTTTTGGAGACCTAAATGGTGGGTTCGAGGCAGGTAGCAAAAATTGTGTTGTTGATGTTTTCGTAGACTGTGTTTCGGTTTTTTGGTCCACAAGTCATATAGGACAACTGTCGGTGGATTTTACTATAAAAGGTCTAATGGGAGAGTCCATCTTTTTAAGAAAACCTTTTGAAAGCTTGTTGATGAAGGGAAACAATAGCTTTGTGTAATTTCGAGGGCATATACTGAAGGGTGAATTTCATGTTCAGCTTTGAGTTTATTCTCAAGCTAATATACATCTCTCATGCAGTTGAAATTTCATTTTTTTTCTATTACAATATTTTAATTAAAATTAATATCTCCTCTTCTTCAGTACCATCTCTGTCATTCGGCATTAGTTAGAAATGCAGCTGTTTCTCTATACCCTAATCTGCATCAAGCAGTTAGGAATAACCACATACATTGACCAGTTATTTATTGGAAGTCTAGTAGGCATTGACAAGGCAAACAAGAAGTTACCTTTTTGGAATTCCAATACCGTATTCCTTCTTTAAATAAATATTTGGTGTGGGTTTTGAGTAGAGTGACTGTAGACTTTTAGCAATGCATTCCATGTTCTTGATACACCATTTTCCTTTCCCAAACGGAGTAATTGCTTCTGTATAAGTAAAGCAGTACAGTGGTACCTCGGGTTACAGACGCTTCAGGTTACAAACTCCGCTAACCCAGAAATAGTACCTTGGGTTAAGAACTTTGTTTCAGGATGAGAACAGAAATCGTGCTCCGGCTGTGCGGCGGCAGCAGGAGGCCCCATTAGCTAAAGTGGTACCTCAGGTTAAGAACAGTTTCAGGTTAAGAACGGACCTCCAGAACGAATCAAGTTCTTAACCCGAGGTACCACTGTACTTTAAAACCAGACATACACAATTGTGGAGAAAACACAGTGACAACTGTTGCTGTTTGCCACCTCATCAAAATGATTCAAAACCACTTTCTGTATCTCATTTACAAATTGCAACAAATCGAGTCAAATTGGGCAATTGGAATTGATATTAGTCAAATAAAAGAAAACTCAAGCTGTACTCCCACCCCCCTCGATAACTAGCCCTAGGAAGCACGTATATTTTTGACCACAGCACATGCCTTCATTTTTAAAAATCTAAACAGGAGGTGAGGCGCCATTTTTTGGTTTAAGCTGGTGGCTACATCCCTTCGGGGAAAGTCATCAGGAGCGTGGGCTCATCAGGACCATGCTTTGCAAAGGTGCTCAGCAGAGTAGTGCAACAAACCCTCACCTTAAAGCTGAAATATCTGGAAACCGCTACTAGTCACTTGGTCTAAAACAGGGGTCAGCAAACTTTTTCAGCAGGGGGCCAGTCCACTGTCCCTCAGACCTTGTGAGGGGCCGGACTATATATATATATATATATATATATATATATATTGGGGGGAGAACGAATTCCTATGCCCCACAAATTCCTATGCATTTTAAATAAAAGGACACATTCTACTCATGTAAAAACACGCTGGTTCCTGGACCGTCCGCGGGCTGGATTGAGAAGAAACCTTAGTTTGCCTACCCATGGTCTAAAACCACCTGTTTCCCTTGTGTCAGTTATTTTCTTGAAGGTGTCTTGTATAATTGGATCAAATGGGCAATGTGAATTTATTTTATAGTGGGTAATGTTTTAAAAGTAGGGTCTGAAATAGCGTTTAACTCACTGCAGCAGTGAAATCAAATGCAGGAATCCCTTGAGTTTTGACTAAAAATCTTTATTGCTAGAAGGAAGACAGTATTCATTTCCCCAAGTATAAATATATGGCGAGATATTGCAAGCCTAGTCTCTCTGGGCACAGAATATTCGCAGCCTCGGCAGGGATTGGGCACGACACAGAACACTTTCTAATCTTCTGACCTTGCTCCTGTGTCCACCTAGATTGCTGTTGCAGTTGGCAACCTGCTGTTATTTGTCTTTAAACACCTTGTATAAATAGACGGTGAAATGATACGTAGGTGAATGTGTGAGCACAGTACAAACCCCCCCCAGGCAAAATAAACTGCATTTTCTGAGGGCAAAATTAAGGCACATTTCAGTGTACAACTGAAATCTGGATTTAGGGGGTAAGCCTCTGGGATAGTGAGTGTCCTGCTTCTCTGTGGAGGTTTAGTGTTGCCTGTGACCAACCCAGACTCAAATGAAACTGACCACACTTCTAAACTTGCATTGAGCAGCTCACTGTGGTATTTTGTTTTGTTTTTTTAGTGTGCCAGGTTTAATTTTAACCTAGGTTGTGAAAGGTCACATGCAACGCCCAATGGTTGTGGGTAGTGATGTTAAATTCTAGAGAATAATCTTTTGGAGAATATTCTCGATTAATGAGAATATTAGAAAATTTTCATTTAAAATAGGAGAATATCCACTGGTGATGGCACCAATAATTGTCATGTTAAGGTTTGGTATGAGGAAACTCAATATAGTGGTACCTCGGTTTAAGAACAGCCCGCTTTAAGAACGATTTGGTTTACAAACTCCGCAAAACTGAAAATAGTGTCCCGGTTTGAGAACTTTACCTTGGTCTAAGAATGGAATCTGAACGGTGGAAGGGCACCAGCGGTGGGAGTTCTCATCAAAGAAAGCACACCTTGGTTTGGGTTTAAGAACGGACTTCTGGAACGGATTAAGTTCGTAAACCGAGGTACCACTGTAGTTAAATCATATTTTATTATTCCATTAGAACATGTACATGTTATAGGACAAGTCAAAAAGTACAATTGACATGTTAAGGTTTGATATAAGTAACTTCAGTAATAGGCTATCTTATTCTTCTAATAGCTCTAACACTTAATAACTGTTTTGGTGACTAAAACAGCTTGATAAATAAAACTATATACATACTTATAAAAGATAAGCCATTAACATTAAATATATTATCATTATATGATAATCATTATATGATAATATATTTCAGTATGTCAATATCTGGTAAATGGCACCTTGTACCATTGAATGGCACTTCAAAAACCAGTTACTGGAACTAAATAAAAATATAGAAACGTCAGCTGTTTAAATCAAGGCCAACTCATATGCTGTTACACATAACTGTATAGGCCTAGGTACTTTAAGTACCATATTTTTCGCCCTATAGGACGCACTTTTTCCCCTCCACAAATGAAGGGGAAATGTGTGTGTGTCCTATGGGGCGAATGCAGGCTTCAGGAAGCTATCCGCAAGCCTTGGGAGCTAGCTTCCCCCGCCCCAGCCCCGGGCCTGGGGAGGGGGGGAAATAATTTTTTTCCCTTTATTTCCCCCCCAAAAAACTAGGTGCTCCCTATGGGCCAGTGCGCCCTATGGGGCGAAAAATACGGTATATAAAGCATTACAGATACTTTCTGTAAAAATATCACGCTGTATGGCCACGGGTATAGAATTGCTAAGAATAAGGTCACACCAAAATAGAAAAAAGGACTATTACATATACAGTGGTACCTTGATTTGCAAACAGTCTGGTTTGCATACATTTTGGATTACAAACACATCAAACCCGGAAGTTCGTGTCCCGGTTTGCAAAATGTTTTTGGATTATAACCCATTTTTTTTTATTACGAACAGATTTTTTGGGGGGAGGCCCCATTGGTGAAAGTGCACCTTGGGTTACAACCTGTTTTGGTTTACAAACGGACCTCTGGAACGGATTATGGTTGTAAACCAAGGCACCACTGTAGTTGAAATACATATGAATTCAAATCTTCATCAAATTAAATGAATAGCATTTTTTAAAAATGTTTTTTTTGTAGCTCACATTTCAGAACTGTCAATGGTGAATGACACAATGCCCAGTAATGTAACTGGATTGTAAAAAATCATCATTATTCATTACTTACACTGGCAGTATCACAGCTTGACTTATTATTTACTAGATTTTTTAAATGTGGGTTGTAAAACTGGTTCTTTCATTGGAATTTACAGTTTGTGGAGAATATTCTCCGGAGAATTTTCTAGCTGAGAATATACTTACCTCACATCACTAGTTGTGGATCAGGAAAACTTACAGAGATGAAGGGAATAGCGCAGGAGGGCACACGCATTTGGGTTCCACTTCAGGCAGCAAGATGTTTGGGGAAAGTACTGCACATCATGCCTAAGCCATTTCATTTCTGGAGGTTAACTGTGGTGCTCAGGGTGCCTCTGTCCCCTTTGATTGCCTCATATCTTCCAGGATATGGCCCTGGCATCCCAGACAGATTCCAGGGACTGTTAGTTGTTAGGAAAGATCCCTTTAGCATGTGGTCCACAGTGTAGGCCTGATGACAGCAGTTGATCTGCACAGATTTGCAGGGTGTGAACTGTAACTGAAACTCAGCCAAGGCTTGCTCTTGCTTTTCTGTTAATTTATGAATAAAACAAGCAGAAAACAAGCTTGTGTCCTCTTCTATGTGACAGCCCTTGAGATATTTGAAGATGGCTTTCATATCTCCTCTCATTCTCCTTTTTTCCAGGCTAAACATTCCCAGCTCCTTCAACCGTTCCTCATCAGGCTTGGTTTCCAGACCCTGCTTGCTGCTTTATTTTCCATAAGAGACCAGTTCTCTTTATATTCTGAGAGGCAGAGGTTGTTCATGTCATTTCTGAACGAGATCTCCTGGTTTTTTCCTTTTGCTAGGACAGTGTAGATCAGACATCAGCACATACTCGACGTGATCTAGTGGAACCCGGATTCCAAGAACAGTCAAGCCGCCTCTCATTAAATCATCAAGGAGGTAAGAGGAGCAGAGTTTAGCTGGCTGTGTTTCTCCATACGGGGGAGGGGAAAAAATCAAATTCAACAATAGCACAATATTTTCATTGGGAGAAAGTACAAATCTGCAAAGTAGCAAACGCTTCTCCAGGTTGGCTACTAAGCAGGGAGAAGAGAGTGGGAATCTTCATGCAGTTGGCGACTGATACAAAGCATGAACTCATGTTCAAAGACGATTCCTTCAGCCCTACTCTGTGCAGTGTGGCGAAGGTTGGGAAGTGAGGCGTGTGTTTGGGGTCAGCGGGCGTGTTATGATATGTGGGCTTGCACATACATACATTATCTGTCCCCATCCACCCTTCAAAAACTCACATGTTGGGGAAATACTCCTGTCTCCTAACCATGGCTAATGGGAGAAGCCCATTTTGCATGTAGCACCACGATAAACCCTGGCTAAGTGAAAATGCCTGTGGGTATTCACAGGGGAAACTGTGGCTGCTCTGCTCCTTCCCTGGTCATGCAGCTGCAATGCTACTGGGAACTAAGCTCTGGTTTGGCTTAGCATTACATGCAAACTCAGGCTAATGGTTTGTAAGCCAAGAATGAATTTTGACTACAGCCTGTGCTTTATCGGAACAATTCTCCACAAGCTGATGGTTGAAATTCATGTTCTCCTGGATCTTTTGTGTTGTGGTACAAAAACAGGATGGGATGCGGGTGTAAACCACGGTGGTGTAAACCACTGAGACTTGGGCTTGCCAATCGGAAGGTTGGCGGTTCAAATCCCCGCGACGGGGTGAGCTTCCGTTGCTCGATCCCAGCTCCTGCCAACGTAGCAGTTTGAAAGCACACCAGTGCAAGTAGATAAATGGGTACCGCTCTGGCAGGAAGGTAAACGGTGTTTCCGTGCGCTGCTCTGGTTCGCCAGAAGCCGCTTAGTCATGCTGGCCACATGACCCAGGAAAACTGTCTGCGGACAAACGTTGGCTCCCTCGGCCAGTAAAGTGAGATGAGCACCACAACCCCAGAGTCGTTCGTGACTGGACTTAACTGTCAGGGGTCCTTTACCTTTACCTTTTTTTAAAAAAAAACAAAAATAGGAGTGTTTATCAATAGTTGTCTCACTCACAGTAGCTGTCTTTTAGGGGAGAAAACCTGCTGATCTGTGAGAAATTCAGAATGTTTGAGACTAGTTCGTTGTGATTTTAGGATAATCTGTTACAAGTGGTTTTGGGAAGTGGAGCTTAATTTTGAGACAGTTCATGTGAGGTTTCATATCCATGAGGAGAGAGATGATGTGTTCCTTATTAGCTTCCGGCACTCAGTCCTGGTTAACATGTCTGCATCACACAGAAGCTCACTCAGTACCTGAAGGAAGCATTTATTTCCAAAGTAGCAGCAGGCTGTCGTGCCTTAAGGTCTCCTAAACTACTCTTTGCCCCACGTTTCCAGCAAGGAGAGTTCAATTTCCTGAACAAAGGCAAAAAACCAACAAAAACAAAAAACCTGGAAGGGGGAATTCCTTGCTCCTCCTATCAGAGAACAGCGCCTCGTCTTCCTGCTGTGAGCAGTGGCAGCTCCAGACTTGCCTGACAGCAGGGTGTGGCAATGGCTGGATCACGTGGCCCGGTTGCCTGTAGGTGCTCTGGGAATTGGCAGCCATTGCAGATGGCTCCTGAGGCTTCCCTTTCTGGTTTGGACGCAAGAACTGAGACAAGAGGATTTTCTGAACAGCACAACAATTGCAGCGCGGCTCAGGTGCCTCAATGGTGCCACGTGTTAGCATTTTTAAAGGTATTTTACATGCCACCTTGCACTGTTACTGCAAATGCTGTTAATGGAAAGACTAAAGTCAAAGGCAACTCTCTCCCAAATGCTTGGGAGTTTTATTTATTAGGATCTCAGCTAGAATGTATACTGCAGATCCAGAAAGGCAGGGCCGGCCTGCCCATGGGGCAAGGTGAGGTGACCACCTCAGGAAGCAGGATCCACAGCTACCCTCACCCCTTCTTCCCTGGAAGGGAGGGGAAGGATGGCATTTTGGGGTCCACCTCAGGTGCCCAAATGTCTTGGACCAGCCCTGCATAAAGGGCAAAGATGAGCAGAATCAAAGAAGCTCTTGGAATCAAGAAGGCTCCGTTTAGAAAATGAGAACAAGGGATGCTAAAAAAAGAATTTTGAGGAGCAAATAAAGGAGGATAAGGAGATTACAGAGAAGCTGAAGGAATTGTTTGCATCTCCCTTCACAGAGGAAGATACAGTGGTACCTCAGGTTACATACACTTCAGGTTACAGACACCGCTAACCCAGAAATATTACCTCGGGTTAAGAACTTTGCTTCAGGATGAGAACAGAAATCGTGCTCCGGCGGCGCAGCAGCAGGAGGCCCCATTAGCTAAAGTGGTGCTTCAGGTTAAGAACAGTTTCAGGTTAAGAACGGACCTCTGGAATGAATTAAGTACTTAACCCAAGGTACCACTGTATAGGGTATTACTATGTGCTTGAACTTTCACAGGAAGAGACTCTGGGAAACTGAGGCAAATAGTAGGGACAATAGATAAAGTTCTGGGCCATGTTGACAAAATAAAAACTGGCATGTCACCAGATCCAGATGGCATCCACCCAAGAATTCTTAAAGGACTCAAGTGTGAAATTGCTGATCTTCTAACAAAAATATCTTAAGACCAGCCTCTCTAATTCAGGATTGCCAAGTGCCCAATGTAACTCCAATTTTTGTTTTTTGTTTTTTTAAAAAGATCTGGGGAGAGTCCTGAAACTTAAAGGCTTGATAGCTTAGTGTCTGTTCTGGGTAAACTAGTGGAAGGCATTGTTAGTAGAATTCCTAAGCGTATAGAACAGGGATGAGAAACTCCCATCTCCTAGCAGGGCGACTGAAGAGCCATTGGCTCCCTGTCCCTCATGCCAAAGGGCAGAACCGGCTCAGTAACCTATTAGAGTTCTTTGAGAGGGCCAACAAGCCTGTTAGAGGTGATCCAGTTGACACTGTGCCTTTAGACATTTAAAAAGTTGTCGACAATGCACCTCACCACCAAAGAGCCCTGAATAAGCTTGGGAATCCTGGAATAAGAGGAGAGGGCCCTCTTGTGGATCAGTAACTGGCCGAGAAACAGGAAGCAGAGAGCGGGAATCAATGGATAATTCTTCTAGTGGAGGGATGTACAAAGTGGAGTTCCCCAAAGACTGGTATTAGTGCTATTAAACAAAATCATGGGTAAAGTAGTGCAAAAAACTCCAACTAATTTCATATGTGGCATTTGTATCTAATAGGAACCCCCCCAAGTTTCTTTTCCTACATATTTTGCTTCTTAAATGCTATGGGGGCACCTCGCATGGCCATGTCCCGCACCCCAAAGAAGCATTGGTGTGAATGCAGTTCAATGCCGCATCACATTTCCCCAAATGTATGGCTGTGTCATGAATTAGAAGACCGGGCTGTTCTTACTCTGCCCAGCCAGACGCTGAGTCTCGGATTCGCTTAAGCCTGGTTTTTAACTCTGGGAAGCCTTAGTCCTTTGTATGCCTTTTCAATTTCCAGTTCTAAACACAGGCTTGGTGAACAAACTTGAAAGAGTGTTTCAAGTACTAGCATATTATGAAATGTTTCAGTAATTTTTACTGGCATTCTAATTTAGTTGCTCTTACTTTCCTCAGTCATATCAGCTAGTTTGGCTTAAAAGGTGCAAACAATCACTTATTTATTTATTTATGAAGTCCTGGATTACAAATACTTGGTTCCTGAGAATAAGTGTAAGTATTGTGTCTGCACTTTTCAAAGGAAGCACTGCCACCTGCTGGTTACCTGCTTCAAATCCACCAGCAACCTTTTACTTTGTGCTGCTCTCCATCTCTGACAACTCTGCTTAATCCTGGTTGTAAAGATTCTAAGCGGAGCGCTACGAAAAACACACACGACCCCATATTTATTTTTAAAAAGTATTTATATACCGCTAAAGCGCGAAACATATCAAAGCAGTTTATAACAGTAGAAAGATAAAAGCCCCCCAAAATTAAAAGCATTAAAAACAAATTAAAAGCAAAAATGTTAAAAGCAAGCATCAGTAAACCATTGTGGGAGGTTTACTCTTAACTGCCTGTGTAGACCAAGCGGAATAAAAGCTTTCAGCAGGCATTTAGAAGTTGGCACAGAAGATGCCCGCTGAATCTATTGGGAGAGAGCTCCACAGGACTGGGCCAATGACTATTTTAGACTAATGGCTAAATTTCTTGTTGTCGCCAAACGATCCTCACCAACTTGGGGAACGACCAGAGACACTCCTGCAGATGATCTCAGTGAACAAGCTGGAATATAAAGGTTCATGTGATCCCTGAGGTTTCCTGGGCCCAAGTTGTCCAGGGCTTTGTAAATAAATGGGAGAAAAGGTCCAGAGGTCCGTCCTCTTGAGTCAGGAGTAACCAACCTTCAGACCACACGGAACAGTTTTCCCAGGGGGCTCCCCAAGGTTGCAGTGGAATGTCTCTTTGCTTTCTACGCTGTGATCTGGTAGGCTCCTAAGCGACACTCCAGCCCTCTTGCAGTCTATTGACCTTAGAAATCGCCTTATTGCTTCGACCCATATTAAAAATTAACCCAAGTTCAATGACAGCACAAGCTGTGGTCAACGTAAAACAGAAGCGAAAGGAGTGCTGTTGAAGGGGTGGGGTGCGTAGAAAGAGGAGTGCTTTCTCAAAATGCTAAATCCTGGTTTAGCATTGCAACTGAATCAGTCCAGTATGTGTTCCACCTACCTGGGCAAACGTGTCCCTTACATTCTTCTTCCAATATGCACCAGTAGTGCCAGCTGTGCCCCTGTTTTGTTGCTTCTGACTGTCAGTGTGTTTGTCTTCTTGTTTCTTTTCAGATGATGATGTGGACTTGGAAGCGTTAGTTAATGATATGAACTCCTCGTTTGAAAGTTTGTACACCCCCTACAACGTGCATTCGGAAAGCACCCCACTCATTCACAATGGCCAGCTGCCAGCCTCAGGAACAAATTCACTGCAGCCTGTATCTCCAAAGCAGAAAGTGCAGAGGTCTCAGCCAGTACGCATCATGGCAGTCAGGTATGGAAGCAATAGAGCAATGCCTTCCTCTTAAGAGTTCTGGAGCAAACCAACATGGTGAGCCAGTGTAGCTCAATAGAAAAAAACATAGTCCTGGATTCTGATAATAGATCTAAGCGAACGACATTTCCCCTCTGCTTCAGTTGCTATCTGTGTTCAATGGGACGAGTACTGTCTTATTTTAGTGGTTTTGTACAGGAATAATCGAACCAGTCCTTGGCCTTAGAAGCCGTAGTATATAAATTAAATAATACTTTGCACAGCATTTCCTGAGTTTCAGATAGATGTCCGTGTGCTTCCCTGCCCTCCCACCTGAAACATGATTTCCCCTCCCTACCCCCTGCCATGGCATCTTTAACCAAAACTTAGGGTTACATCTGCACCAACTTTAACTGAGGCTAATACTGACCAGGTACCGACCTGAAAGCCTTCTTTTGTTCTGCAGACGCCTTCAAGAGGAGGAACAGTTCAGAACATCCTCTTTGCCTGCCATACCGAACCCTTTTCCTGAGCTTTGCAGCCCCACAAGCTCCCCTGTCTTGGCCCCTGGATCTCTACCTCAGAATCAGCCTGCAAATAAACAGGTGAGATTTGTCTTTTCTCTTGCATTTTTAGAATGGTTGACTGTTTTTATCATACTGAGTTCTTGATTTTGGTGTTTTGGAACTGGCACCTTAATCACAAGAAGAAGAGGAGAAATGTAATGTTTTACTAAAAATACAACTTATTTCCCACGAGTAGTGTAAAGACTTGTAAGTAACACGGTCTGCAGACTTCAGAGCTTTTTTTTTAAAAAAAGTCTTGTCCGTACAAAGCACATCAAAATCCTTCTGCATACAGAAGGCTGTTCTAGTGAATGAAGAAATCCAAATTTGGTATGTTCTTTGACTTTTAGTACTGTAGGCAATGACTCATTTATTTTGGAATACCAAAAAGTTGCTTGGAGTTATCAGTGACTGGATTTATATGGCATATCCAGAGCTCTTACCTGCCATCTTGCTGACTTAATGTTGTTTCTACAGTAGCTGCATTACTTTTTAAAAAGTATTTAATACAGCCATGCAATTAAATTAGAAGGGATTTTCTTTTGTCTTTCCTTGTCATAGAAATTAAAGAAGAAAAGGGGAGCATCAGGAGGAAGGGAGCTGTGAGGCATTCTAGCCAGTGAGAAATATCTTCAGCATAAAAACCTCCAATATAATTGTGAACTAATTGGGTTTTTATTGAACAGTGTCGGATAAATAACGTCTTTCACGGGTTTTTTTTCATACAAACTGGTAAATTTCATAACAAATCAGCCCTAGCTCATGGGTTATGATGCTAACTTTTAAAACTACCCAATGTTTGTTTTAAACCAGAACCCTTGTTTGAATGTAAATCTTCCTTGGATGGGATTCTTTAAAAATGAAACTACCGTATTTTTTGTCCTATAGCACACACTTTTCCCCCTCCAAAAATGGAGGGGAAATGTGTGTGCTGAAGCCTGGAGAGCCCCACCACCAGCCCCACAAGCTCGGGGGACAGCGGGGAGGCGCAGCGCGCCATCCCGCTGTCTCCCGCTGTGGTTTGGAGGCTGACGGCGGGAAGACGTGTGCTTCTCCCCGCCGCCAGCCCCGCAAGCTCGGAGGACAGCGCGGAGGCGCAGCGCGCCCAGGCTTAGCTTCGCGCAGCTCTCCGCAAGCCGTGGGTGCCCGGCGCTGGGCTCCCATGCTTGCGGAGAGCTGCATGTTCTGGGGGCTGGGGTCGGGGGAAGCTCGGGCTTCCCCAGCCCCGCGCCTGGGGGGAAAAATATTTCCCCCCCCCCAAAAAAATTAGGTGCGTCCTATAGGGCGAAAAATACGGTAAATTCTTACAAACTTCTCCCGGCCACACAATAGGAAGAGGGGGGTGGGAGCACATGACCCTGACCCCTCCCTCAGGCTTATTTGGGCCTGTGTCCACGTAGCATGAAATCGTGGCTCCGTTTTGTGTCCAAATGCCACTCTTACTACCAAGGCCATTGCTGGTGATCCCATCAGATTGCTTTTTGAAGACCCCTTTGCTTGTTACCGATTTCCTACACGGAAGTCGCTTTCATGTGGGAAACAGCATGGTTTTTACATGAAGTTGGTAATGTGCTTTGCAGCTAGGAGTAAATATATATACCCAGGAACCTGCAGTTGGCTCTGGCTTCCGAGCAAACATGCACACAGCATATGAGTAGGGTCACTGTGCCCTGTGATGAATGCATTGAAAATGTACTGTTCCCTGGAGAGAAAAATAATAATGGCGGAAAGCAGCTCTAATTTATCTTTTCTAATGGTACAATATTGAAGATATGAGTACAGTGGTACCTCTGGACACGCACACCTCCAGTTGCGTATCCTTCAGGATGCGAACGCGGCAAACATGGAAGTATTTTTCTGGGTTTCATCCCACGCACATGCGCAGAAGTGCTCTACCATGCCGTGTGAATGTGTAGAAGCGCTCTACCGCCCTGCGCACATGCGCAGAAGCAGTCCCTCCGGTTGCGGAAACCTCAGGATCCAACCGGAGCTCCGGGACGGATCCTGTCCGCAGCCGGAGGTACCATTGTACAAAGTTATTTAGCTGCCTTAGTTCTTCTCTACGAGTTCACAACCATTTTAAAAATTTTCGATTTGAAAGCCATATAATATGAATTTGATTTCACCCAAACATTCCTTTATTTGGCTTATGGATCTTTTTTTTCTTCTGGTTTCCAATCCAGTGAGCAAATCAACCCACTTTTCCAGCTCTCCTCCATCCCAGTTAGCAAATCACCCTATATAGTCCCATTTTTGTTAAAATGGATGAAATCGTACAGGAGATGGGACTGATGGGCACAGTTTGGTTTCTCCCAAAGTTAGAAAAACACTGTTGGGACTCTTCCTCCAGTTTTCTAACCTTTGTGTCAATGACGACGACAACAACAACCACCCCCACGGCCCCCAATACAACCCCTGCTGCCGGGGGAAGAGGCGCCAGCCGCAAGAGGCCTCACCCTACCCCCAGCTGGCAGCCCATTGTCTTGCCGAGATGGGGGTGGGGTGATGGCCACCCTGTAGCCAGGTGAGTGGCACCTGGCCAGGTAACCCCGCACGGTGTCGCAAGCCCTGCCCAGGGAGGGGGTGAGTGGACATTGCCACAGAATGTGTTTGGGGGGAATTCCACAGAGCATTTCTCTAGTTCTTTTTTCCCCTTGCCTGGTTGACGATACCATTCATCAATTCAAACCAGACAGTTTGCCCGACAATAGCTCTCAAATCAGGAAACGACAACCCTCCTTCATTTTAGTTGGTTTAAATTATTTTGGCTTTTATTACTGGATTTTTAATATTCCATATAAAGTTATTATTAATCACTGCCAAATCACCAGCTTAGGCTCTGTAAAGTTTATTTTCAGAAGAATACACATTTTAACCACAGATATTCTACTTGCAAAATATAACTTGGAAATAATAACTTTTTATTTTCCATTCTAAAGCTCTAATTGATGTTATTAATTCATTAGTAATCTACTCGTTTGTACCTTTTAGTTTTCTTTCTGGATTAAAATGTTGGTCCCACAATCAAAATGTGTTTAAAATACTGGCTATAAACTTATTGTCTGACTAAAGAAAGTAAGTTTTTCCTAAACCATTGTGTTAACTGAAAAACTCATTGTTTTATGCATTGACAGCTAATGAAAGTAATGTGAAATAATTAACTGTCTGGGTGCTCTGTCTTCACAGAGTATGTTTCTTAAAATAGGACTTCAGTTTAGTTGCAAGAGTAACATTTAATTATTTAAACTCAACTATCCAAATAAAAACAGAGCGTGTTAGAGCTGTGCAATATGTATATAAGAGCAGCTCTTTAGGGTGGGTCCTGTAAAAAGTGATCTGTATGCACAAGAAATCTAGCTCTTGAAGAATGTGTAAGCTGCTGGAAAGCTTGATCTGCAGCTTGAGGGATCGTTTTGTGGCAGCAGACAAAGCTGTGAATGTGAACCTCCTAAAACAAAGCTCTTCTCTGTTGTGGAATTTGCAGGGCTGGAAAGGAAGCCAGCTGAGGGCAGCCTGAAAAACTGGTAGACATTGTAGAAGGAGACCCGAGTAAGGTCAGGCAGGACAACAACTGGGGTGGTCAAATATTTGATGCGTCGGGAAAGAGCAGGACTCACTGGTAATTGGACTGACATGGCTCCATGGAGAGTTTTTCGTAGTGATGTAATGTTGGTGTTCTCTGTGCTGGGTGGGAGGCAGCAGGCAGCTTCCTTTGAGGTGAGTGAAATGGAGAAAGGTCCCTCATGTAATGGAGGGTTTTTTTTATATAACAGTTTAGCACAACAAAGAGTTTGGTGAAGAACTCGAGTCATGAAGCTTGGGTGGAGTTGAAAAGCTGCTTCCTGTACCTTCCAAGCAGGGATGGCTAATCCATGCCCTTCCAGGTGGTGTTGGGTTTCCACTGCCATTACCTTGGCTGGTGGAACTTAGGAACCCCATAACATCTGCAGGGCCGGGGATTACCCATCCGACATACAGAAACACATAGCCTATATTTGAGATTCCTGCTTTCTGAGCTCAGGGCCTTTACTCCTGCCCTCAAAATTTGAGGGTGGCGGCGGCGATGAATGGTAAAATGGGACAGACAGCTACACAATTTGTCCACAAAATGTGTCAATAACAACTGCAAATAATAATAATAATAATAATAATAATAATAATAATAATAATAAGCTATTTATACCCTGCCCATCTGGCTGGGTTTCCCCAGCCACACTGGGCGGCTCCCAGCAGAATATTAAAAACATGGTAAAACATCAAACATTAAAACATTTCCTAAACAGGACTGCCTTCAGATGTCTTCTAAAAGTAAGATAGTTGTTTATTTCCTTGACATCTGATGGGAGGGCATTCCACAGGGCGGGCGCCACTACTGAGAAGGCCCCCTGTCTGGTTCCCTGTAACCTCACTTCTCGCAGGGAGGGAACTGCCAGAAGGGCCTCGGTGCTGGACCTCAGTGTCCGGGCTGAACGATGGGGGTGGAGACGCTCCTTCAGGTATACTGGGCCGAAGATAAATCTTGTTTCCACAGTAGGCAGCTATGATACCATAACCTAAGTTTGATTTTCTCTTATGAATGAATGAATGAATTTATTATTTCGGTCACAGACCAGTTCCAGCTCACATATAATATCAAGAAAGTCATAAAACACGATAGGGATACATTTGCGCTTGTCTCTTATGGGTATAAACTAAAATCTAACCCGTAATGTAAGCTGTAATTTCTAGTTGTGTACAAATACTTTGGATGCAAAATTTGCAGCAGTGCCTGCTGTGCCAAAGGATATTAGTTGAAAGCATCTTGTGTGAGTCAACGAAGGTTCCAGCTGTAAAAATAGAAAAGGTCTTGCAATTGCTCTTTATACACCTCTGGAAAATGTGCAGATAGTTGTTTCACGTACCAAACGCTCCTCAAAGCTGTTTGTGCTAATGTTTGTGCCCTTGTTCCTTGGATCAGCTCTTGTAAAGCAATTCTCCGTTCCAGTCTGCTAAATACAAAGTAGATCAGGGCTTCCTTTGTTTCATATTTGTTTGTTTGTTTGTTTGTTTGTTTGTTTGACTTATTAGTCGCTTGTCACCCAAGTGACTTACAGCTGTACACAGACTACCATAAGCGAAGAAAAAAGGGGAGAGCAAAACCAACACAACCCACCCTCCATATAAATAATAACAAATAATATTATACTCAGATAATAAATAATGCTTCCACCCACTAATTAGCAAACAAAAAAAAATAACCTCCCCCCTTTTAACCTCCCCAACCCACCCAAAAGTCTGGTATCAGGCCAGCTGTTGCAAATCTGCAGAGGGCTGGTGGATCCCATGTCCTCCTCCAGGGATGGTCTGGATTCCCTCCTCCTTTGGGGGTGGGGAGGGGGGCAGTAGCAAGGAAAGGAGAAAGATGGCAGCAAACGTTTTACCTGCTTTGCCGTTGACCAAGCTACTGTACATCTCCTGCTGCCAGTGGTGTTACTGGCAGCTGTAACTGTTCTGAAATACAGTCAAACCTTGGTTTTCGAACGTCTCGGCTGCTCAATGTCTCGGAAGCCGAACACAGAAAACCCGGAAGTGAATGCTTCTGTTTTTTGAACGCACCTTGGAAGTCGAATGGCTTCTGAGGCGCGTTTTTCCATTTTTCTCAATGGAACTGGCTGACAGCCCTTTGATCCTTGGTTTTCGAACGTTTTGGAAGTCAAACGGACTTCTGGAATGGATTACGTTCGAAAACTGAGGTTCCACTGTACTTCAAGTAGAAGATGAAGCTTGCATGCCTGTTATGTTCACGTGAACACAAATTGCATGTTGAGCCAGTATGCTGATGTGGGCAGAGTGTTGAGGTCTGGGTTCAACTTGGCATGAAACTCATTGGTTGCTATTGGCTGTTACTGTCATTTTTAAGTCCCAGCTCCTGCCAACCTAGCAGTTCGAAAGCACGTCAAAGTGCAAGTAGATAAATAGGTACCGCTCTGGCGGGAAGGTAAACGGCGTTTCCGTGCGCTGCTCTGGTTCACCATAAGCGGTTTAGTCCTGCTGGCCACATGACCCGGAAGCTGTACCCCGGCTCCCTCGGCCAATAAAGCGAGATGAGCGCCGCAACCCCAGAGTCGGCCACGACTGGACCTAACGGTCAGGGTTCCCTTTACCTTTTACAGTTCATGTGAGCTAACTGCAGCAGTTGAAGGACAAGCAACCACCGGAAATTGGGGACCTAAAAAGTGAGTTGTTACTGAGATCTCTTCTTCTGGACCTGTTGCCTCTTGGCGCTTCGCTGCCCCTTAACTTGATCACCTTGCTCCCCAGAAGGTGTATTGGTTATGAGCAGCTGTTGGCATAATCTTCTGGGTACAGGGCTTTTTCTGATCCTCCTGGTTGCCCTTTTCTGAACGGTTTCCTTCTCCCAAATGTCCTTTTTGAGGTGAGGTGACCAGAACGGTACTGCAAGTGCTGTCTTGGCATAGATTTGCATAATGGCCTTGCGATTCCAGCACCAAGCCTGGACATGATATCGGGCTTGCCATTTTTAATAATCCGTTAACGTGGGCACCTAAGCATGGATGAATTTATTAAGTAGGTGAGTATTCACAACTTTATAAATTAAAACTGGTGACATGAAACCATTGTACTAAATGTCATTTTAAGTCTCTCTTCAAAATAATAAAATAGCAAATTCCTACCCTGCCAACGGAGCAGTGTTATCGGGTCCTTTTTGTGTGCTGGAGTACTGAATGTTCAGCCAATCTGGTGCTCTGATTGGCTGAACATTCTCACCCTTAATGTTGAATAGAGGGTGCCTCGTGCGGCTGATGTAACTTGGAAAACTTTTTGAGTCATTGTTAAAAGCAATTGGCTCCTGCATCTGTGTCTCGTGTATTGAGAGGTCCTTTAAATATGATTTCTGGAATAAATTTGTGATTAATTCTTAAACTCGCTCCCCTTTCCCTTCCACTTGAAGCGTGTTCTTGAGAAAACTTCCTGCAATCAATGTTTATTCAAGATAAATTTGTTTTTTCTGAGGTTTTCTTAGCAGAGGCTTTTGGCTCCCGTCATCCACTGTGCCGTTAAGTCACAGTTTCAACTCTGGCAGAATTAAACTGAAATATATGTTGTTGTAGCTGCTGCTGCTGCTGTAGCCTCTAGCAAAACTAAACTGAAATTGTTGTTGTTGTTATAGGATTCCTTACTAGCCTGGAAAAACTTCTGTCTTGTAATTCTGCTGTTAACAGCAGTTTGTTCTGCGGGAAATGGCAGGTGAAGCTTTGCTGCAACACAACAAAATAAGAGTATCCCTTGCTGATATCTTCAGATGTAGCCACACTTAGACTTGACCTATAACAGCTACAACTGCACACTCAAACAGCTACAGAAGTTGGTTGAAAAGTTGACAACCCTATTTTTTAAAGTTAGGTATTGCACATTGCCAATGCAGTCGCAGGCAGTGCTTTTGTGTTGAAAAAATCTGTTGTTTAGAAACAAGTCAAATTGAGAAAAAAGGCTTAAGTTGCCTTGGAGCTTCTCACAGGTACCATATTTTTCGCTCTATGGGACGCACCGGACCATAGGAGGGGGAGAACGGGGGGGGGGATTCTCCCCCTCTCTGCTCAGCGCCCCTTCAGCGAAGCGGCAGGAGAAACGGAGCCGCTTCCATTTCTCCTCCCGCTTCGCTGAAGGGGCGCTGTGCAGAGAGGGAAAACTGTGCACCGACCCCTCTCGCTCTCCAGGCTTCAGGCGGCTATCCACAAGCCTTCAGAGCGCGGCGGGAACTCCTGCAAAAATTGGCCCGGCGGGGGTGACGTGGCTGGGATTCAATCTCCCGCCCCTGAACCGGGTCAGCAAGAGGGTCCAGATGCCCTGGAAGGTGAGCGGACTTGTATGCCAAGGCCCCGTGCCCTGTAGTTCCTCATTGATTAATAAACACACCATGATAATTGATTAATAAATTAATTGATTAATAAACACACCACTGTACTGAGTAAAGTGGTACCTCTGGTTGCAAACGGGATCCGTTCTGGAGCCCCGTTCGCAACATGAGCAGAATGCAACCCGCATCTGTGCGCGGGTCGCAATTCGCGGCTTCTGCGCATGCACGTGATATCATTTTGAGCGTCTGCGCATGCGCGAGCAGTGAAACCCAGAAGTAACCCTTTCCGGTACTTCCGGGTTGCTGCAGGACGCAACCTGAAAAGATTTAACCTGAAGCAAACGTAACAAGAGGTATGACTGTATTTTGGATTATGGGCTAAAACAGGCCACAATTTTATTGGTTACCGATGTGAGGGTTTGGCTTAGGCACTGGGTGAAACCAGGCTATATCTTGACTCCCGCCCATCTGCAGGGAGTCAAAATAAGGGTAAGCCACCAGAAGGGGGAGCCCTATGACTTACATTAAATAGGGGCACCCCAAGGGGTCCCAGTTGGGGTCGTGGTGTGGCCCTAGCCCATGCTCAGGCTTCAGACAGAATCCACACCCCCAGATCCCTTTAACAGGATACCCTTATCGAGGAGGGGCAGGTGAAGGTTACAACCTCCCCTCCATTAAACAGAGGGGCCGGCCGGCTCAACCATAGCACAGACCTGGCCCTGTTCAGGTGACGTTCCCACTTGCTTTATTTGCTGCCTGTTTTACAAAAGCTCCTTGAGAGAGACTTTGCATGTACCTTCGCTATCCATGAAAATCTTTCAGTAAAAACAATAATAGCAAAAGCTCCTCGAGCCCTCAGAGGCCGGCGCTGGGCTTAAAGGGTGCAATGGGGGGAAGGGGGGAGGAGACTGCAAGCGGGAGAGAAGGGGTCGCTGCTGCAGCAGCCGGCTTTGGGGAAGTTCAAGTGCTTTCTTCCTGCTAGCTGAGCTGTTGCAAATGATTCGGCAAAGGAACTGCCAGTCCACGGAGCAGGCTTGGTTTGGGCTTTAGAACGGCTCTTTTCTCCTTGTGAACTTTTGTAGTAACGGAAAGTGGCTTCTGGGTTCCTGCGTGATGTGCTGGCACCTCTTTGTTTAATGCATGTGGGTGGGCATAAAAGCAATATCTTTTTCTTTTTTAATTTTTTCTGGGGAGCATAATTTGGAAGTCTATGGGTTGCGAGGGCCAGGATCACATCAGTCACAGGAAGGGCTGGGATTGGTCTCTCCAGTGTGGTTTGATTCCGTACCTTAAAAGATGGTGCGTCACCCTTTGAATGACGCTCTGGGCGAGTTGCCTGCCTTCCTCCAGGAAAGGGTGCACATTTTGACGGAGGAACTCTGTGACCGACTCGGGTACAGTGATCTGCTGAAATTGCAAAGCAACCTGTTGGAGTGCCAACAGGTTGCAGGAGAGGTAAAGAGCAAACTCTTTCCGAAAGAGATTACCTATATTTTAAATATGCCATCCTGTTCTTCTGACTACTGCCTTTTTCATGCTGTTGAGGTAAGATTATTTCTCTCTCCCACCATCTCATTACCTCATTCCATCCCCCCTCCCCAAAAAGAAATTACTTTGTTTTCCTGGGAACTATAATGTGCCTCTTAAATTAACACAGGGTTAAATCTTGATGCTCTGCGTTTGGGAAACATTTTTTTGCAGAGTTAATGCTATTGAAGTAACATAAGGCTGTAATAAGGAATCGTCCATCTAACTGTGAGGGTCATAGAGAGCTTGCTAACTATATTATTTCCTTATTAATACTTAGAGCCTATACAGTGTGTCTATATTTAGTTGCAAAAGAATATTGGAATCCAGGGAAGGAGGTAGAGGGAAGTGTGTGTGAATAATGCTCATAATGCATCTTTTGATTTTAAACGCCCACAAGATAACCATATTTTCAAAGGACAGATTTTCCGTTGAGTTTTACTGCACACTAAAAGAAGGACCTATCCTGGACGCTGTGAGATTAGCACCTCTCACCCCTCCGAAAAACCAAAACAAAACAAACTTCTTTCTGAAGCCCTGGTGTAGGATATATATTAATTTTTCAATTAGTACTACTATGGTGTATTTTTGCTGGCATAGTGCGTTATCTGTGTCCCCTCTGTCCAACCTTCCTGGAGAAGACCAACAATATTGCAAAATAAATTATGTTTCCGGAGCCTGGGAATTCAAGAAGCATCAAGTACAGATTATGATTTTGTGGGAGCACAGAAGCGCAGAATATGTATTTTTGTTTATTCTCTATCTAGTCAATATAGGTAGAGATGCACTTAAACGAACACACTGTTTGTCTGAGTGTCTGCATGTGCACACGAATAAGGTTCCAGTGTCCTTCAAAACTCCTTGCCTCTTCCCAGAGTAAATCTTGCAGATTATGCTTAGTTGGCAGAATTTGGGTTGTACCTTGGTACAGAACTTTACTACTTTAGTGCAGAATATAAACAGTACTGATCACGTAGAAGAGATCAGTTTCTTTTTAAAAATGTTTTGATTGCTATTTTAAAGGCATATATGTTTTTTGTATTGCAGGATATAAAAGTCTTTACAGAAGACGGAACATGCAAAGTGGTCGAGATCCTAGCAGATATGACAGCCCGGGACCTCTGCCAGTTGCTCGTTTACAAAAGTCATTGTGTGGATGATAACAGCTGGACCCTAGTGGAACATCACCCTGTCCTAGGATTAGGTAGGGAAGGAAGTTATCTTATATCCAGCACATAGCAATAAATCGGCCCACTTTTTCCAGGTGATCTGCTTTAAATATTACGAATGGATTTCTGTCTGTTATAGGTGAACACTTGGTGCAACAATTAAGATGCAATATATCTGAGCTTGGGTTTATGTTGATTTTAATTTATCTGTAATAGAGGGTAACAAATACCTGGCGGATATTGACATTCACGTGTAAATTTTGAGGATCCCAGATAATTTTTATGAATGCCCCCTAAATATAGAGTGTGAACAGAGTGACATTAGGTGACAATATTCACTGACTGTGTATGTAACTCTTGTGGAGGGAGACATGCACAAAACGTATCTGGGCATTCTTTGTAATACTGTACACTGATGGTTTTGTGTGTGACTTTGGCAAATGAACAGTTTATGCAAATAAAGCTGGACTCCCAGAAGAGAATTTGATGTCCTAGACCATAGGTAGGCAAACTAAGGCCCACGGGCCGGATCAGGCCCAATTGCCTTCTGGATCCGGCCCGTGGACAGTCTGGGAATCGCTGCATGGATTGCCAGCGCGCACATTCTTTCCCTCTCCCTCACACGGTGGCGGCGGTGGCGCCTTCTCCTCCCTCCCTCCTCCTGGCTTCTCTCTGCCCTGCCTAGAGGAGGAAGGGGGCTACACTTTGTTGGTGCCAGCAGCGCTCGACCGGCCACCATTTTAAGCAGCCCCTCTCCAGAGCCCTTTCGCGCGCAGCTCATCGTCCCGCCGCCAGCCCCTGCCGCTCGCAAGAGACAGGTAAGCAGCCACCGGGGCTCGTGGTGCTCTTGCATCATCCCCCCCCCCAAATATAGTCTGGACTGCCCCCTGCTGAAAAGGTTTGCTTACCTGTTGGAATGAATCCACGACAGACAAGTGGCAGGTGTCATATGAGAGGCGTCTGCCGGGGCAAGCCCCGGGAACTCTCTTTTATTGAATATTACAAACATTGCCACAGGTGTGCTTGTGGCTGATTGGTTGATACAAACACAAAGCAACTTGTTGCTGATTGGTTAACATAAGTACAAGGCGGGAATTACATATAAACATTAATCACCGATAGATTAAAGGCTGGGAAACGGAGCTGGAACTAGACAGGCATGAAGCCTCCTAATTAAATTATAACTAAAGATTAATATAACATGACTAAAACAATTACTAATGATTGATCATAACATGAAAGAATATAATAATCGAGTTCCGTAGATGTGGTCAGCTATGCATTAAGAGCAGATCATATTGTTTGTTCATGAACTTAAGATGGACTGAGGAATGAGGGAATGTCTTGGTGTTTAGAACAGGTTTGTACAGTGTGTGCAGAAGCAGAGAAAAGATTATAAGCGAGACTTCCCAGAATGCAAGAGAAAAGAAGCAATACTTCTCCCATAATGCCACAGTTATGTGCAGAAAGAGAACTTCCCTTTACTTACCCCTGTCCTAGACAGCTCAGCCGATCCCCAGGCTTGGGTCTCGAGCACCCTGCCATGGCTGTCTACTTAAGAAAGCCCCACACAGGGAGAGATGCTTTCTTGGACTTTGTTTCAGGAAGGTGGAAATGGCAGCAGCACATCATGCTGCAGCATGGAAGTTCTTGCATAAGCCTTGACACTCTCCCTTCCAGGCAGCAACTCTTGCTGGAATTAAGAAGCCGTGGTTACACAGTTGGTGCGGGAGAACTATGTGGAACTGGTTTAATGGTATATACCTGGAAACTGGATGCTGCCTCTCTGTGTCTCTCTTCCTGTATCCTTTCTTTCAGATTTGTTAGTGGTGTGTTGCGCTGTATAATCCTCTTCACTCCAAAAAGGTTCCTGAGTAATGTGTCCATGTAATAAGGCATTAACAGTGAATTTCATTTTGATGGATGTTGTTCTGAGGCAGTGAAAGAAGGCATGGTGTTGGTGGGAGTTATGAGTGTCAGCAATCTAAAAACATATTTTTAAATAACAAGAGTCCCTTTGATTAGAGATATTTTATGGGGGCCGTTTATCATATTTGTGAAGTCTTAAATATCAATGTGATTTGACTTTAAAAAGTTAACTGTATGATTCTTGGAAAGTAGTACTTTTTGAAAGAGACTTGTAGACTTGCCAAAGACATATGGAGGAAAACAGAAAAACATTTTGAATGATGTTCTTCTTTTAACCGATTCTCACTTTAAAATTCTAGGTTCTCGTTTTATAGGGCCTTTCCCACCCAAGATTATCAAGGTTCTTGTGTAAACAGAGGCTTTTGTCCTTTGTGTCCAATATCCTCCTTCTGCCAGATTCTTTCAATGATGCCACAATTCAGTGTCTGTGACATCACAATAGCTTCCATGGTGACTAATTGTGCTGTCAAACTCTGCTGTGTGACATCGCTGAATGAATTAGGCAGCAGGCTGATGAGGAAATCAAAAGCTTCTGTTTACATACACAAATAACTTGGTAATTCACAATGATGGGAAAGGAACATTATGCCTATCAGTCAGTATTTTGCTTCAGCTGCATTCTGAATTTAGTTGAAATCCGTTTTGTTGCAGATCCAGGATTTGCACAACATGTAAATGAGAGCGCTCTCTCTCTCCACTTTTCCCGCAACATGTGCAATTTTATACACTTCTGATCATGTCCCTTTTTACTTGCCTTTTTTCTAAATCAAAGAGCCCAAAATGCTGCAACCATTCCTCATGGGGTATTGCTCTGAGCCCTTGATGGTTTTCGTTGTCCCTTTGTGAACCTTTTCCAGCTCCACAACATCTTTTTTTAGATGAGGCAACCAGAAAAGTATGGAGAATTCCAAATGGGAATACTCTCCAAATTTTATTGAACGAGGTGCAGCTCTTACAATCCTCCCTCTGGGAACCTGCACATTTGTTCGTTCACACTAAGCCTTGCTTTATCTTAGCATTGCATTTAAACTGGGACATTGATTCCTTTAGAATCAGAAGTACTAGGGCCCTGGGAAGTTCTGATGGCAATTATTTAGCTGTGTTTTTTAGTAGGGCCCCCACCAACAATTTTGAAGCTTCATTCCCATACCCTGTTTGCAACGCAACACCATCGCAAGGTGCTCAGGTTATCTCCTCTGCTCAAGTTGTCCATGAGATGGTGGACAGTGGAATTCAGTCTTCAGAAGGGAACTCCTTTTCATGACCCTCAATGAACTTTGATCATAACAGATGCCAGTTTGTAGGGTTGGGGATGCACATTGCCAAGGGTACTTCGTACAGAGGTGCTGGACACCAGCAGAGCTGGCACACTTCATATCATTCATTCATTCATTCATTCATTCATTGTATTTGATAGACTGGGATTTTAATGTGTTTTCTAGCTCCAGTCTCATTTCTTTACATTTAGCTTCTAGGGTTTCCTTTTATATGAGTGGGAAATAAGTCCATCTATGTTTATGTTCCAGCTCTGTTTTCTTTTCATTGTTTTTTAAATGTTTTTTCCTTTTAATTTATAATTTTAATATAATTTATATTTCTGCAGACCTAGGGTGTTCTCTGAATGTGTAGAAACTACTTCTTTATTTTATGTGGCCCCATTTTCCTTTCAAATTGGTAGATCTCTACAACTTAAGTTGACTGTTGGAGGGAATGCTGGGATGCCCACACTTGGAATATTGTGCTGTTTCAAGAAGTATACAGTGGTACCTCAGTTTAAGAACAGCCCTGTTTACGAACGATTCGGTTTACAAACTCCGCAAAACCGGAAGTAGTGTCCCAGTTTGCAAACTTTACCTCTGTCTAAGAATGGAAGCTGAACTGAGGAAGGGCACCAGCGGCAGGAGGCCTCATTAGGGAATGCACATCTCAGTTTAAGAACGGTTTTGGTTTAAGAACGGACTTTCGGAACGGATTAAGTTCATAAACCGAGGTACCACTGTATTGTTGCTGAACATGCAGAATAAAGCAGAAAAAGCAATCAGGAACCTGGAGGTCCTTCACTACAGAAGGGTTTTTTTTACTTTGAGAAGAGAATGCGGGGCTAAAAGGATATGATGGATTCATGCAAGATATAGAGAAAGTTGATAGAAGTTTTTTGCCCTCCCTTATAATGCTAGATCTTGGGTTAACTGTCAGCCAGTCAAACTGAATGGCAGGAGAAGATGGTCAGACAAAAAATACATCACACAATGCTTAATATATTTCATGAAGTTTGCTACTACTAGATGTGGCAATGGCCATTTATAAAGAGAACTAGACATCTCTAAAGGGACCCCTGACCATTAGGTCCAGACGCGGATGACACTGGAGTTGCGGCGCTCATCTCGCTTTATCGGCCGAGGGAGCTGGCGTACAGCTTCCGGGTCATGTGGCCAGCATGACTAAGCCGCTTCTGGCAAACCAGAGCAGTGCACGGAAACGCCGTTTACCTTCCTGCCAGAGAAAACACTTTGACGTGCTTTTGAACTGCTAGGTGGGCAGGAGCAGGGACCGAGCAACGGGAGCTCACCCCGTCGCGGGGATTCGAACCGCCAACCTTCTGATCGGCAAGCCCTAGGCTCTGTGGTTTAACCCACAGCACCACCCGCGTCCCATAGACATCTTTAAGTAAGGGAAATATGTCAGCTGCTAGTCATGATTCCTATTAGAAATCCCCAGAGTTCAGAAGCGGAAGCTAGGGAGCATTGCGGTGGAGGGCTGCCCTGCTCATGGGTGTTGCAGAGACATCTGGCTGGTCAGTGTAGGAAACAGAATGCTGGATGTGATGTCTTGAACTGGCCTGATCCAGATCCCGCCCCACCTTGCCCACACATGACTTATGCCTGTTAACTGTGGTTAACAGAGTAACCCCATTTATGCTGGACCCGCACATTGACTACCAAACTTGGCTATTTCTTCTGCAATATTAAATAATAGGTAACAGCACTCATATAACCACATTGTTATGCAGATGTTTTTGGGCCTTCCTGAATTAATACTTTCCTTGGAAGGAGAGACGGGGAGGACCATTTGTGTGATATTGGGTGGTCCTAACATCTGAGCTAGTGTCCTGTTTTAGAACAGTGGTTTTCCCAGTATATTCTGGGAAACCTTGGCATTTCTTAGAAATTTATCAGCAACTACTCAGCGGGAAGATCAGTAATGGACATACCAATCTTCTTTAGTTTACAGCCTGAAGGGAATGTTTGCTGCATTCTTGGGCACACAGTCCATGTCCTTTATTTATATGTGCGCGCGCACACACAGGAGCACAAACCTGCTTCCACTGTTTACTAAGTCAAAATATTTTATTTTCTGTTCTGTTCTTAGAGAGGTGCTTAGAAGATCATGAGCTTGTTGTGCAAGTTGAGTCTACAATGGGAAGTGAAAGTAAATTTTTGTTCAGGAAGAACTATGCAAAATATGAATTTTTTAAGAATCCTGTGGTGAGTATCCTGTTGTTTTTTTCATAATGTCTGTGGTCTGGGGGGGGGGGATGTCTTCTCCATGTGCCTTCTACACTGTATAATTTGGACTGGGTTTTAAAACACTAGATGGTATCATAATATGAAAGATTCTTACAACATATATGTAGAATAACTCCCAGCAGAATTACTAGTAGTAATAAGGAATGCTAACTCCCTGTGGATTCCCACGCCCTCTGCTTCTCATTTTTCATGAAGAAACCTGCAGAAGATAGTCTTGTGAAGAGGCACCCATCCTTCTCTTCCGGAGGGGGCATTGCTCATTTGTTAAGTACCTTCTTTGAATGCAAGAGGTTCTCAGTTTGATCCTTGGCCTCTCCATTTAGCAGGATCTCAGGAGGGCTGGAAAATACCCTAGAGAGCTACTGCCAATCAAAGCAGAGAATATGGAATTATATGCTCTAACCCTGTATAAGGCAATTTCATAAATTCACTGTGTCATCATCCATCATTGTATGCCTCAAAACAAGCTGCATGGTTTTACTGACAATGGCAGTAAATGATGATTGCTCTGAATATCATAAAGCTTGTTCCTCATTATTTGTGAAGCAAATAATACCATTTGAGGCAAATGGACTATCTGTTTCTCAGCCCATTCTTCCACAAATGTTAAGCCTAGTTAAATTAAACATTTGAATTGCTTAAGATGTGCCTTTGAGTATTTATGGGATCATTACAAGCCTTGCACAAATGCCCTTGTATGGCAAAAGCACAGGAGTCAAAGACTGTTTGCATACTACGGGCTTCCTCAACCTTGGCCCTCGAGATGTTTTGAGACTACAGTTCCCATCATCCCTGACCACTGGTCCTGCTAGCTAGGGATCATGGGAGTTGTAGGCCAAAAACATCTGAAGGGCCGAGGTTGAGGAAGCATGGCATACTGGTTCTGGGACTTTTAGACTTCTCAAATTAGAAGGGTCTCCAAAAGGCCTCCAGTGTAATCCTCTGCAGTGCCGGAAACACAACTAGAGATGGCCTCTAACAGAGGGCCACCCAGCCTCTGTTGAAAACCTGCCTTGAAGGAGAGCCCACCACCTTCTGAGGTAGTCCATTCCACAGCTGAACAGCTCTTACTGTCAGAAAGGTCTTCCTAATGTTTACTCACAGTCTCTTTCCTTGTAACTTGAATCCATTGCTTTGGGACCTGTCCTCTGGAGCAGCAGAAAACAAGCTTGTTCCATCTTTCATGACAGCCCTTCAGATATTTGAGGATGGCTATTATATCATCTCTCAGCCTTTTCTTCTCCAAGTGAAACATACACAGCTCCCTCGACCATTCCTCATAAGGCTTGGTTCCAGATCATCCTCCTCTGCACATGCTCCAGCTCTGATGCAGTCCTGTGAGCTGCTGTGCCAGAAAAGGAGATGCAGCGCATTGGACTTGAAAGCATTGAGCACTGATGCTTACCCTCTTAAAAGGGATTTATACCTTTGCAAAAGTTGTGTTCTCTGACCTGGAAGCCCTAATCCCAGATATGTGAGGGCTAGCTAGTTATGATTAAGGGAGGCACCCTACACATTCTCTTAAGACGTCTTTAATTGTAGCTTCCAGAGATTAAGACTTCCAGAGCTGAACACTTGGGGAAGTTTGGTTTACACTAATCTTTATCTTGTTATATTTTTCCATACTTCTATCAATATATTAACCAGTGAGTGACATAGTTCATTCAGCTAGGTCTCCAGATTTTGGTGAACTCTATTAACAGCCCTCTCCAGTGGACAGGGGCAATGGGAGGTGTCTACCCTGCTTCAGAGGAAGTTCATCCTGTGTACAAAAGAGGTTTGAAGCATCCTGATGCCGTAATGTTACCCTGTCTCTTTTTTCTCTCTCTTCCTCACACTCCCCAGAACTTCTTTCCAGAACAAATGGTTGCTTGGTGTCAGCAGTCAAACGGCTGTATTCCACAGTCACAACTTTTACAGGTAGGCTGAAGTAGAGTTGGGAGTAGTTTTCCATGTTAAGAAACTGAGTATATCATTGACGAGTTTGGGTCTGCAGATGCATGCTTCAAGGCTAGTTGAATGGATACTCTATTGTCGTTTCAATAAATCTCAGCATTTATGTTTAAAATATTCTAGGCCTATTCACAGGTTACCGTTTTTACTTCCATTATGGGGGGGAAAGGGTAACAGAAACAGGATATGACAAAGCCATTGGTTCTTTTGGAGGGTGGCAAACTCACAGAACCCGGTTGTTTAACTAGGGTTGCAAAATCTCTTGAGGCTCAGGCTGGGAGCCAGAGTCAGCCCACTCCTTAAGCAGAGTGCAGTGGCATTCTCAAGCATCACATTATGGATGTCACCAAAGGACAGAAAGGTCCTTACACAAAGGCATCCATGCGGGCAGCATGGTGCACTGTGAGGGGCAAGATGGGAACTGAGGATGGAGCATGCCTGGTCTATATCCTGGTGGCGGTGTTCTTGTTGGAGTTGCTCTGTATCCAGAGAGCATCCTCAGCAGTGTGGGTGTGACTGGCAGGTTTTGAGGACTGGGTCCTTCCTATGGATGTTTGTGGAGAAGTGTAAGTGTAAGTTACACCGCGCTTTAGATGGCTTAACTTAGTCCAGTTTGGTTCTGGTGTTACCTGCTCCTGCCATGCACCTCTTTCTTGTGCCGGACATCTCCCTCTCTGGCAGACATATCTTACACGGGAGTAGGAGGGTTTTGCTGAATCCAGCCCCTGTTCCAGCCAGGTGTATCTAGGGGTTGGATTGCAACCAAAGTTTCCATTTCTCATTTCTATTTTACTATGCTGGGTTTGGCATGATCAGCTAAAAATCTCAGTCCAATTTAAAGTCTTATTAAGTTTTAGTAATAGTTTACGAGTATCTTCTCTGCTTTTAAAAAAAAATCCCGTCTATTTTTCTACTGGAAGTTTCTCACACAAAGTTCATTACTATTTCTCCTGAAGTATAATAAGAGAAAGAGACTATTTATTTTAAATACCTATTTGTTTTTTTCTTGATTTGCTTTCATTTTTATAAATTTTTTCACTTTATTTTTATCTGCTTTTGTTATTTCAGCTTAAATATTCATTCTTTTTAAAAAGTATGATCATTTACATTTTTACATTTATTTTTAAACATCTTTTTCATAGCCTCCACGGCATCTATATCTACATCTAATGATGTTTTATGCTTATTTAAAATGATTTAAATAGCACTCTTATTAACCTGTATAAGCCTCTGCTATTTAGGCATGTTGATATATACTGCAAACTCCTACCCCCACAGAGGTCTCTCAAGTCGTTAAATTAATGTCTTATATCTTTCAATGATTTTGCATAACCCCCAATTGTTTTCATTAAATTCTACTTTTCTGTATATCATATTAGTTATCTCCTATATCAGTCCATAATTAACCTGCCAATGAATTATACTGAAATACCAAATATCTCTATTGAAGTACTGGGCTATCAATTTAAGGTGGTCCTTTTCCACCAAGTCTTGCATTTCCAAATAGTGTCTCATGCATTTTCATTTAATCTCCAACAGAATTTTTTAAACTCAAATAGTTGTCCTGAAATCCAAGGATTTTTGCATGTGAAAGAACAGGGGAGGAAGTCTTGGAAGAAGCAGTACGCTTGCCTGAGGAGATCTGGACTTTACTGCTCTACGAAAGGGTCTTCAAAGGTAATTTCACTTAGGTTAGTTTAACAAAGGTAGGCTTTATGCTTTGAGGGTGCCTCTTCTGAAAAATAATTATTGGTATTTGAGCACAATCCACAGGAAAGCTCTTTTGCACAAGCCCCATTAGAACAAAGCCATTAAGTGGTACACTTCTTGATGATCTCAATTCGAGTTAAAGTCAAAGTGTTAAGTTAAAAATATATATCTTATTCATTGCTCATAACTGTTATTTTAAAGTGATAAGAGTTTCTAAAATATTTTCAATCTGCCTTTCTGGCACTCGCAGGTATGTCCAAAGTCTGTTTCAGGGGCCTAATCCAGCCTGCCGGTTGGTTTAATCTGGCCCCTGTGGCAGTTTATTTCCTGGGGGAAAATCCTAAAAAAAAACCTCAACAACTACAACCCTAAAAAAGCTCAACAACTTCAATCCTTAAAAAAGGTCAGCTACTTTGCTTGGCTATTTGATCGGCTCTCATGGCCCTTCACTTCATTTAATCTGGCCCTCTTTGCAAAAAGTTTGGACACCACTGCTGGCATTTGACAACAATTTAAAATATATAGTCATACCTCTTGTTACGTTCGGTTCAGGTTACGTTCTCTCAGGATATGTACCGCAGCGACCTGGAAGTAATGGAACGGGTTATTTCCGGGTTTCGCGCATGCGCAGATGCTCAAAATGACATCACGCGCATGCGCAGAATCGGCGAATTGTAGCACACGCAGACGGGGGTTGCGTTCTGCTCATGTTATGAATGGGGCTCCGGAATGAATCCCGTTCGCAACCAGAGGTACCACTGTACAGTAGTTTGAGAAGCAAACCAGTTTATTTAAAATGGCAGAATTGTTACCGTATTTTTCGCCCTATAGGACGTGCTTTTTCCCCTCCAAAAATGAAGGGGAAATGTGTGTGCGTCCTATGGGGCGAATGCAGGCTTTCGCTGAAGCCTGGAGAGCGAGGGGGGCGGTGCGCACCGACCCCTCTGCTCTCCAGGCTTCGCGGACCTCTCCGCAAGCAACTGGAGCGCTCCCACGGCTTGCAGAGAGCTGCCTGTTTGGGGGCTGGGGTCGGGGGAAGCTCAAGCTTCCCCCGCCCCAGCCCCGCGCCTGGGGGGGAAATAATTTTTTTCCCTTTATTTCCCCCCCAAAAGACTAGGTGCGCCTTATGGAACGTGCGTCCTATAGGGCGAAAAATACGGTATATTTGTCAAATAGAATAACAAAACTGCAGCTGCTCATGGTATACAATTTGTCAGTTTAAAAATATAACAAAATGTAAAAGCTAATGCTAGAGAAGAACTTCTAAGACAAAAGGGTCTTCAGAGCTTTTCCTAAAAGCAGAGGTGTGCATTCCATGACAGAGCAGGTCCTACTTTGCAGTATCACTGGCTTGAATCTCTGAACGTTGTGGTCTTTGGTCTCCATCAGATATTCTAAGGTGTATGTGCTTCATATGGGGAAGGGGATGTGCAATGCAACGTAAAAAGAGGCAGACTGACTACAGTTTATGAAGCACCCAATACTGTGCTTTAGTATATTGATTGTCAGTGAAATGCCACAGGTATTTAGACCAGTTCACTGCAGCCAAAGAAACGGATTTTTAAATCATTGTATCTCATGTTGGATGTGGAATGGTTCGTGCTCTTGCACAATTACATTTTGACTTTCGTATCAATAACCCTTTAGAGTGTCTTCACTGTCCTCGTATGGCCGTACTTTTACTTTCAGGGAATGGGCCAGTTGAAGTGCCTTAATGCTGTATCTTTAACCTTTGCAACGCTTCCCATAGGAACCAAGGCACCTGCAGTTGTTAGCAGACCTTGAAGATAGCAACGTTTTCTCACTGGTAGCAGGCAAGAAGCTCCACAATGCTCCTACAGATTATGGATTTTGTATAAAGGTAATCCCTCCTACTGGACATAACTGTCAGGGGTCCTTTACCTTTAGAGCATCGGTTCTCAACCTGTGGGTCCCCAGATGTTATTGGACTACAACTCCCATCATCCCTAGCTAGCAAGGCCAGAGCTCAGGGATGATGGGCGTTGTAGTCCAACAACATCTGGGGACCCACAGGCTGAGAACTGCTGCTTTAGAGGGACGAGGGTGGCACTGGTCTAAACCACTGAGCCTAGGGCTTGCCGATCGGAAGGTCAGCAGTTTGAATCCCTGCGACGGGGTGAGCTCCCGTTGCTTGGTCCCAGCTCCTGCCAACCTAGCAGTTCGAAAGCACACACAAAAGTGCAAGTAGATAAATAGGTACCGCTCCGGCGGGAAGGTAAACAGTGTTTCCGTGCGCTGCTCTGGTTCGCCAGAAGTGGCTTAGTCATGCTGGCCACATGACCTGGAAAAACTGTCTGCGGACAAACGTCGGCTCCCTTGGCCAGTAAAGCGAGATGAGTGCCGCAACCCCAGAGTCATTCATGACTGGACTTAACTGTCAGGGGTCCTTTCCCTTTTTAATCCCTCCGGTTATAGTAGATAGTTTTATTTGTAATTAGAAATATTAAAACCCCTACGTGGCTGTGGACTCTTCTTCCTTGGAGGTTTATCAGCAGAGGTTGGGTGGCCCTCTGCCATGGATGCTTTAGTTGAGATTCCTGCATTGGTGGGGGTTGGACCACAGAGGCCCTTTGAACTCTACAATTCTATTATTCCATATCACGTAGTTTTAAAAATAACATTACAGTTTTAGTTATCTTGCGGATTTTCTCTTCGTCAGGACCTACTAGGAAAGATGATCCAAGATCAGGTTTATCGCGTTTAAGCCCAGATCCCTTTTTTGATCTGAGTGGTTTCTGTCAGCCCCACTTGCTAAATGTTTGTGCCGTGACAGCTGCTGCTCTTAAAATAGACTGAGATACATCAGAGGAACGAGCTCCCCAGGCTTAGCTTCCCAGCGCTGTCTCTTATATTGCCCTGGTTGTCATGACACAGTAAGCTAAACAATGGCTTACTGGGACCACACAAATGTGCAGGAGCTGGGAGCTGCTCAGTGTTCCCCCTGCCCTTCTTGCTCACATGCCATTCTGAGCTAAGCCAAGGATTGACTTACGATGGCGTCACAGGAATGACTCAGAAAAAGGTAGTTTCATGGATACAGGACATGGTTAGTGAGGAAAGAGCTTAACCACAAGCAAATCTCAAATCACACCTGAACTCTGAACCTATTAAGTGATGTCAGCAAGCCAGCACTCTTGGCCTCTGTTCCTACATCTGCGAAAAGGGGGTTATAGCCCTTACATGCCTTGTAGGATGGATCGTGTTTGGTTGCCTTTGCTGTGAGAATAAGTTCTGTTTTGTCTTTGTTTTGTAGCCCAACCGAATGAGAAGTGAAACAAAAGAATTGAGGTTTCTGTGTGCGGATGACGAGCAGAGCAGGATGTGCTGGATGACCGCCTTTAGGCTCCTCAAGGTACCTTAGTCTTGGGGCCAGTTTACATTTATGGTGGTCTTCAGGTGAAGGCCATCGCAAGACTCGTGGTTGGGCCCCCACACCCACGGAGGTGGATGTTTGAGAGAACTAACGCTGCCATACGAGTTCTAAACAGGCGGCTGATGCAATCACAGTGGCCCCCAAATGGTCTGCAAATCGTGTATGTAGTCCCTGCCTGGAAGTCCCTTTTCTCTCAAATCAACAACCATTATAAAAGCATGAACTTGGAATCATTCAGATGGTATGATGAGTCTTGCTCTTCCTTCCACCCCGGGGTCAATAACCCGCAAACTATAGCCAGCAGTAGGATTTTGTCACTCCCAGGACTCTCCAAAATGTTTCATTCTTTAAATTTTAAAAAAACAGTTAAACAAAATTCTTACTGTTGTAGCAGGGTCCCCGCTGTGATACCAAGATGCCACACTGTTCTTTGTGGAGCCCCAACTCCACAATATTTGTTCATATTATACACACACACACACAATTTAATAAGGAATGAAAAGAAAATGTTGTAAAATAGTGCAGAATAGCTGATGGGAAAGTCTTTTGAAAGATAACTGTGGTTCATCATGCCCACTTTTAACGTTTGGACATGCCCAGTTTGAGATGTGGACCTCGTAGAGTTGGCCCTGGGTCACTGTGGCCCTCAGCCTGAAGGCGATTGGCCAGCTCAGCTCTGCCCCATGCAGACCCCCTACAGACTTGAATGGGAATCTGTCTGCTCAGATTGCTGCTGGTAAGAACTTGGTGGTTCCCAAATTATTAATTAACAAGTAACTTTACCACTTGAAGGGGCAGCCCAACAAGCTACACCCCATGGTGCTATGTTGATTCCAATATGCATTTTGACAGCATAACAAACAAATATTGGTGACCTTCTGTTCTTGGCTCTCTCTGTGGTGACTGACTTCCAGTCACAGACCCAGAGACGTACCTAGGCTCCCCTGCACCCTTAGCAAGGAGATGTATTCCTGCCCCCACCCCCGGACAGTCCCTTGTACCCTTCCAGATTCTTCCACTGAGGCACCCAGAGGAGACTCTGTGCCTCACCTGGAGGAGTGGCCTGGGGGGAAAGAACACAGTTAGGCAGGATCCTAGCCGCTCTGAGCCAGAGTGCAGAGGCTTGCTTTTTGCACCACCCCGGGCCTGCAACCTTGGCAAAGGTCAACCTGGCCAGTCCCTAGGTGCACCCCTGCACAGACGCCAAAAGAAAAGTTTATCCCTCAGATCCATTTTGATAACCTGGAACTGATCACCCTGCCATCATCATTACTACAGAGCTATTTCAGCAAGAGGTGCAAGAGGGCATTTTCTGTGGTGCCCTCCTCCAACTTTGAAACTCACTGCCTTTTAGAGGTGGCTCCAGCTCTGGGTGTACTGTATACAGGAGACATAAAACGCTGCACCTTTTAATCACGGCTTTCAAAAATAGGTGACTGTTGTCTGGAAAGGGCTAAGTTGTGCCGGCACCATGGTTTCATCAGCACCGCTGTCTGAAGCATAGCAGCTTATAGCCTAATTCATGTTGCTCCTCAGGTTCAAGGGACGTGGGTGGCGCTGTGGGTTAAACCACAGAGCCTAGGGCTTGCCGATCAGAAGGTCGGTGGTTCGAATCCCCGCGACGGGGTGAGCTCCTGTCGTTCGGTCCCTGCTCCTGCCAAACTAGCAGTTCAAAAGCACGTCAAAGTGCAAGTAGATAAATAGGTACCGCTCTGGTGGGAAGGTAAACGGCATTTCTGTGCACTGCTCTGGTTTGCCAGAAGCAGCCTAGCCATGCTGGCCACATGACTGGCTGTATGCCGGCTCCCTCGGCCAATAAAGCAAGATGAGCACCGCAACCCCAGAGTCGGTCATGACTGGACCTAATGGTCAGGGGTCCCTTTACCCTTTACCTTTACCTTACTTGTGAGTGATTTTTTTGGTCGTTCTGTGTGTTTTAGTGGTTTGATTATTTTCCATTGTGCTTTATGGTTTTATTATTATGCCACCTGCCCTGGGACCTATTGGTGAAGGGTGGTTAATTAAAGAATTGAATAAACAAACATAAAGAAAATAAATACCTGTCTATTCTCTCCCCGCACTACAATCTGCAGTATGGGATGTTGCTGTACCAGAACTACAGAATTCCACAACAGAGAAAAGCTGCGCTTCCGCATTTCACCACTCCTATAGTAAGTTTATAATTTTAAGTTCTGTTATAGTCAGCTCAGAGTTTAAACGAGAAGCTTCTTGCCCACAAGTAGTGACTTTGGAGTTGCCAGATGCTGGATCAAGAGGAATACAGTTGCCTGGAAAGGGCTAAGCTATGTCTGGCACCATGGTTTCATCAGCACCGCTGTGAAGCATAGCAGCTTATAGCCTAATTCAGGTTGCTCCTCAGGTTCAAGGCTTGGATTCCCAGTTGTTGGTTGGATCACCGCTCCCATCATCCCTGACTGCTACCTCTGCTGGCTGCGGACGATGGGAGTTGCAGTCCCAACATCATCTGAGAACTCAAGGTTGAGAAAGGCTGGTAATAAGCACACTCTCCCCCACAATAGTGGGTAAAAGCACGTTAATAACAATAATAATAATTTTTATTTATACCCCGCCCTCCCCGGCCAAAACCGGCTAACATCAAATGTATAACACATTAACATAAAATCAGACAATCAGTTAAAATACATCCTAAAATCAGATCAGGATCAGAACAAATCAGATGGCAACCCGCAGATTCGGGTTAGGAACCTTAAATGCTCACCAGGCCCAACTGTTTGTGCTGAACTTATATGGGCCTGTGAGAGAAATTGGGAGGCCACTTTCATGCAAGTTCTTACAATTTCTGGGGAATGTTAGACAACAGACTCTGCTGTTGCTAGGCAACAGTTTCTGGTCAATCTTAGCCCTGGAAGTATAGAAACGTGCTCTTGCTAGGCTAGATTCTTATAGGCCAGGCCTCAGCCTTGAAGATTTTCTTGTTCAGATAGGCCAAGAAGTTTAGAAATTAGGTGTGAAAGGATAACCGTGAGAAGCAGTTGGAGTAAAAAGAGTTCAAAAGTCATGGAAGGAACAGAATAGATATCTGAAGTGTCCAGCAGCCAGTCTCCCCCCACCCCAATTTTTAAAATGGAATTTTAATAATGACAATCAGGTTACAGAAAAAAGAAACAAAGGGGGTGGGGGGAATAGCTTAGAGAAAGGAAGGAAACAAAGATAAGTTGTAACATTTGCCAATAAAGAAATATGGGATACAGCAATGCAATTTTCTGAGTCAATAATAAAACATGCCAAGGGGAGAATGATGCAACGATTATCATTACAAAGGGTTCCGTGGTCTTAAGTCAGAATGATTTTTAAAAAAATAATTTCAAGAAAGGAAATAGAAAGTAACCTTGAACTGTACTAAATCCATGCACTTGCAGAGACTGGTTAACACCTGGGCTATTCCTGGGCTACTGTGTCTGTATATAAAATAAAATTGGACCGAATGGCAAAGAAGCGCCCTCAGAGCCTCCCTGTGCGTACAGAACTGGTTGTGTTGAACTAGCTTTATATATATTGGATTATAGAAAACCAATAAAAATTGAATGAAAAGAAATGAAGCCAGCTGTATTGTTTTGTGGATCCCAGGCTATAAATGTTAAATGGGAAGCCAGGTTCAAAAGGCTCCTCACATGAAAGCTTATCCACACTTATGCCAACAAAAGCTTTGCGCAGTGAAAACCCATCACCAAAACCATGTCTTGGCCCAGCAGAGCAACATCTGCCCATAGCAAGCTAAAAAAAAACCCCAGTCTTTAAAAACTGGAAATCTGGAGAAGGGTTGGAGGAGCATGGAAAAATAATAAAAGCAACCAGTAGTTACCTTTTCTAGATAATGCCATTAAAACAATTTTCCTTTCAGAGAAGTGTGTCTGAAAATTCCTTAGTAGCAATGGATTTTTCCGGACAAATAGGAAGAGTTATTGAAAACCCAGCAGAAGCACAGAGTGCCGCCATGGAGGAAGGCTATGCTTGGAGGGTAAGGGAGCTTCCGTCTTCGCAATTTCTGACTGATAACCTCCCGTGGCCATGGCAGCGTAGTGGTCACGACCACTGACGGGAAATTTATTTATGAACAAAGGTCTAAGAAAAGAGCAACTGGCTTAACATTGTCAGAAGTGGGATGGGAGCCGCTGTGGTGTGTCTGGTGGAGGGAACGTCTGAAGGAATTTGATCATGTGAGTGGAGACTGGAAGCACCGCGAATTTCCATGTCAGAGCTCCTGGTTCTCCAAGTTGCTGGTGAGGTGGCCGCTATATTTGCCAGTCAGAATCCACACGGTTTGAATTCCTTGTGACATTAGCAGAAGCAGTGCGGGGGCAGTACTATGTTGCAGAAACTCAAATTTTGGTAGACCTTGCAATAGCTTCCTGTCATGTTTTCCATTCTGCAATACAGTGGTTCCTCGGGTTAAGTATTTAATTCATTCTGGAGGTCTGTTCTTAACCTGAAACTGTTCTTAACCTGAAGCACCACTTTAGCTAATGGGGCCTCCCGCTGCCGCCGTGCCGCCAGAGCACGATTTCTGTTCTCTTCCTGAAGCAAAGTTCTTAACCCGAGGTACTATTTCTGGCTTAGCGGAGTCTGTAACCTGAAGCATATGTAACCTGAAGCGTATGTAACCCGAGGTACCACTGTATTCACAGTAAAATGAGCATGGGTGTGTGCCAAGTGCTGTTTCGCAAGGTTACACACATACGTGAGACGTACGTTTTGGACACGCCCATCACATGAAGGGGTCATATATGTCTTCCCCAGGAGAGGTGAGGTGCTGTCCCCTCTGTTTGAAATATTTATCTCTCTTTTTACCTAGGATCTCTAGGTGGGTGACAATAATTTGGAAGCAGAATCATAGTTTCAGGGGCATTCTAAAACTGGGGTGGCACCATGAGAATGCCAATCACTGTAAGGAATACAATTCCCACAGGTTGGACACTGAAGACAGCCTCCTTTTATGATCTTAATTCCTGGGCAGGACTATATCTGGAGAGACGCTGTGCCATTTGGGCTCCAATTTGTTCAGGGCTTTGTAAGTCATCTGCAGAACCTTGAACTCAGACCAAAAACATATCGACAGCCAGTGCAGATCTTTGAGAATCAACACAATATGGCTCATGATTCCAGTCAAATTCAAAAAACTAGTTAACTGCATTTTGGTCCAGAAGCAGCCTTTGAGTTGTTTTCAAGGGCAGCCCCATATAGAGTGAATTACAGTAGTCCAAATTGTTGTTGTTAGTTGCTATTACTATTCCCGCCATTAAATATAATTTAAATGGGATTTAAATTGCATATACAATATAAAGTTAAATGGGCCTGCAGACAATAAGGTGATAGTCTGTGCTGTGTTGGATAATATTGTTATAACAATTGCTCCTAAATGAACTGAAATTTTTGTTTTTACCTCTAATATGCTGTAGGGTTTTCATGAATCTTGCACCTTGCTTCCAATAGAAATCTCAGATCTCTCTCTCTCTCTCTCTCTCTCTCTGTGTGTGTGTGTGTGTGTGTGTGTGTAAAGTGATTTGCATTCCACAAAAATAATTCAAACTTTAAAAAAAAATTCCTCCAAAGATCTCAGAATTGTATAAATGATACTTCTTCTCCCGCAGCCTCAAATTCCTGTGATTGATTAGAACTAAGTCACAATAAGTGGTCCAAAATCATCCAGGAAGCTTTGTGGTTTAGCAGAGGTTTGAACCCAGGGCTGAAGAAGATACTTGATGGCATTGATTGACATAGGGCTAATGGCGTGTTGTTGGCTTATCAATGGAGTACTAAGCAGCCTCCCCGTATGCTTAAAAGAGACTTAATTTGATTATTGCTCCATGTGGACAAAAAACCTCTCTCTCTCACACACAACCACACTTTTCATCCAAAGAGCATTTTGTAATAGTTGTATAACAATAAAATTGGATTAGAGAAATTTGCTTCAACTTTTCCCCCAATGAGCTTCTTGGCTGATTTGGAAGCCAAATCAAAATTTAACTTTTAATTTTTTAATTTTATTTTTAAGGTACAGAAACTTCACATATTCTCAATGCATTGCAATACATTTCCTGGCATGAAGAAACTGTAATATTAATAATTTGAGGTTTTGTGCTTGCTTCTTTGTTCTACAGAAACGCAGCACAAGAATGAATATCCTGGGTAGCCAAAGTCCTCTTCATCCTTCCATGCTGAACACAGGTATGAAAAATTGAAACTGACAAGTATTTGGAGAGGTAGATGATCTCGTATAATTTCTGTGGGAAAGCTGAGACTGTAATTAATTTTCCCTGATTCCGCTGAATTCCGTCAAACTTCAGTGCTCATCTGTGGTTGGATGGTGCCCATGTTGATTAAAATTTAACTTAAATTATATTAAGCCATATTTGCTCTTCTTGTGCCAGAAAACTAGAGTTTATTCTTTGTCCTTTTAAAAGGGAACGTTGATGTTTAGTTTGAGCCCCGTTCGTGTTAAACATTTCATGCAATGGCTTGTATGTTTGATTCATTTTTTGTGGGAAACCCAGCCAGATGGGTGGCGTATCAATATTAATATATTGATATATTAATTAATTAATTATAGAAGAATTGGGCTACAGTGCTGAATACTAGCAATGACCAGTTATTTCTCCTTCAGTTATTCATAGGACACAAAACTGGTTTCACGGCAGAATCTCTAGAGAAGAATCGCACAGGATTATTAAACAGCAGGGTCTTGTGGATGGGTATGTTTTTCCTCCCTGCACGTGATACTTGCCGCTGTGCCCAGAGTCCCAGATACAACCATGATCCAAATTTTCATGTAAAAGTACCTAGTTTACCTAGTCTGAAAAGACCACGGCATACAATCCTTGGCGAGGGATGGGGGTGGGGAGGAAATGGGGTGGCATATTATTTTACTGAAGGTTTGTAGGGTCACAGGATGTAGCTCAAAATGTTGTCTACTGGCATCACCTTTCCAGGGTCTGAGCAAAACTTCTCATGCTGCCTGGCAATGCCAGGGTTTTAATTTGGGACTTATGTGAATGCTCAGATGTTCTGCATAAATTCTCCTCGCTCTGGCATGCAACCCTGATGGTGGGTAATTAAAAAGACTTATATTGATTGATTATCTGACTGTTCATGAGCATTTCCAAGGTTGCAAGGTTTGTCATAATTTCATCAGCCAAATTTCAAATTAGTTAAGAGTTAGACTCTAGTGTGTGCTGGTGTCACAGACTGGTTGGACACAGAGGAATGGCAGGAGGAACCAGATGGGGAACCCCAAGGGAAGAAGAGGAGCAGAACCTGGGGAGCTGGGAGAGTCTGTGGCAGAGATAAGTCCAGAATTCGAGGGAGAAGCAGAAGCAGGAGAGGAAGGAAGCCAGGAGCCATAGAGGAGCCCTGTTGGTGAAGAAGCATGTGACAAGCTCCCCGCCCCCCGGTCTCCCAGAACCAGAAGAGGGATGAAAAGGGCAGTGGAGAGGGTGGCGGCATGCAGGCACAGTCTCAGACAGCTTGTGAAAAACACTGGAGAAGAGGGGACTTAGGCAGCTGTGAGGAGGACCTTCAGTCTTAACAACTGCTTCATGGCTGCAGGACCTGCCAGAGAAAAGTTGCTGTGCTTATTAGGCCTGACACACCTATGCAGATCCTGTTTTGCTAACAAAGAGTTAACTCCAACTAGCTTGGTGTGATTTACTGCCAGATCGCTCCTGTCAGCTGGTAAAATAATGAAACGGAGATGTTCATTTATTTCCAAGTAGTAGTCCATTTAATAATAAAGTATAATATTGCTTCCCAGGTTATTTCTTCTCCGGGACAGCCAGAGTAACCCAAAGGCATTTGTACTTACACTGTGTCACCATCAAAAAATTAAGCATTTCCAGATTTTGCCGGTAAGTACGGCACTTTTAAAAAATGTGGTGCGGAATTCACAATGGGTTTTATTGATGAAGATTTCTGAAAGGCTTTTCAGTTCAACCAATGATAGCATTCAGAAACTAGAATTTTTTCTCATTTCCTCTCTGTACTTTTCATAGAATATGTTAAGTTGGGCAAGACCTCTTCCCTGATCTGGTCCATCAGTCAGAAGAGGGCAGTTGCTTATCTCCACACACACACCCCCCCATGCAGCAATGGAGCATTTGAATGTATGTGCATGTATAATCCAATGTTCAAAAGCCTAAAAGCCACAGGAAGATATCCAGAAACTGACACTGCATCTTTGACTGACTTCTGCATCAGTCTATTCAGGTGTTCTGTCACAGCATAGGCTGCAGAGCTGCAAACTGGGGAAAAGGCACATTGTCTCCTCTTCATACAATGGACCAGTTCAATCCAGATGTCGTCATCATTATTATTTCAGAAAACAGGGCTGAATTTAGGAACCCTTATCTGTATATGCACACTCATCTCCCATGTGTAATACTCAGTGAAAGACCTCTAGCCATAGTATTTCCAACATGGACAATACAAATGCCTTTATTTCTCAGAGAACAATATCCTGAAATGCCAGATTATCTCCAGTGAGAGCCAATCCTTAAAATTAATTTACGGTAATTTATTTTGGGCTACAATGTTTGTGATACTTCAGATATATTAGTCTTAACTTGTTTTTGTGAAGAAGTTGTTTATATCTTTATGGGACAAAATTGTGAACAAAGCATAATTTTTAATTTTGGCTCTCTTTTTTTTTATTAGCCAAAAATTAACAAGTGGAAATCCACAATTCAAATTTCAAAATCGTTTTTCCCCCCAGTAGCACAATTAATATCATTGTTACAGAAAATGGAAAAGTTCGCCCATTTTTTGTGTCCGTTGTGTTTTTAAGGGCTGTTGGTTGTCAGAGGTATCTCACAACAGGTTAATGCCCTTGCCCAGGACCGAGAGCAATGCTCCCTAACCCTGCCAAACTTGTAGCTGCTGGCTTTTCGCATCAGCCTCCATGAGCACTGATCATACCGTAATGATCATTCCCAACTCACAGAAGATGGTCTAGGACAGTGATGGCCAAACTTGGCCCTCCAGCTGTTCTGGGACTACAATTCCCATCATCCCTGACCACTGGTCCTGTTAGCTAGGGATGATGGGAGTTGTAGTCCCAAACCAGCTGGAGGGCCAAGTTAGGCCATCTCTGGTCTAGGAGGATACTGTGGTCAACAGTATCAAAAGCCACTGAGAGATTAAGCAACAGCAACAAGGTTTCACTTCCCCATCCCTCTCCCAAAGGTCAGGGCAACCAAGGTCAGTTCTGTCCCCAAAGCAGACATGAGCCCAGTCCGAAATGGGTCAAGAGAATCATTTTCTTCCAATAGTGTCTGTAGCTATACCACCACACTCTCAAGCACCTTACTGTATTTGTGACCAGGTGATAATTGTCAAGCTCTGCAACTTTCAGGGAGGACTTTCTTTAAAGAGTGCCCACCTGTTTCAGGACATCAGGCACATACTCCTCTTGTAAATATGTGTTAACCACACCCTGGACCTCCTCCTAAAGCTATGATATGGGCAAGAGCCAGGAAGGCATATTGTGGGCCAAATCACTGCAAGCACTTCTCCCATGTGACAGCATTCAAGTCAGCACTGAAGGACGTAATCGTCCCAATGCAGAGGGATGCAAAACATGACTGTAGACTATCTCAGCTGCAGCTACCTGGACGTAGGAGGAATAATCCTCAACAGGGAGGTGTTTGCAGCAATACAGGACACCCACTGATAGACCTCTTTGCCTTCTCCAGGAACCACCCCTTCCCAAGCTACATGTTTAGATTTCAGGTAGCCTGGGCAGAGGCGCAGATACATGGAGTGCCAAAAGGACCACCCTCTTGACTTCTCCTGCTGCCCTTACACAAGAGATACAGGTGGAGCAGGCCCCTTTCCAGCCTCGGTTCTCTGAGACCCTCAACCTAGAGACTTCCTTACCCTGGTTCCTGCCGAACAAGGGAGACCTGTTAATTCAATGTGCTCCCCACTTCCTGGCTCAGCCACGTGCCCTAATTAGAATGTAATGTAACTTTTTAGCTGTTGGATACCTCTAACGTCAACTGGAAGATTCATTTTGGTTTGGTGTGCAGAGGCATCCAAGATAACATCCTGTTTCTCAGTGGCTAACATAACCCAAAACTTTGTTCCATCCTTGTGCCTAGCCTGATGTTGTCCATATCGTCTTCACAAAGTCAGCATCACCTTGCGCCCTATAGTTTGGCCTGCCCAGACTCCTCCTCCCTAGTTCTCCTTCCCTAATTATTTTCAAGATGCATTCTATTTAAAGCTTTTTGAGGGGCAAAAGTGAGGAAAGAGTCTCCAGAACCAGCCTTGGTGGAAAAAACTTAAGTTTCATTTTCAGCCTTCCTGGGCAAGTCAAAGATATTAACCCATTGTTGGATACCTTCATGGTGAGCAACCAATGTTCTGTTCTATACCAGTAATACTAATTTGCTGCCTTGGGGTGGGGGGTGGGATGGAGACAATATAAGAAAGGAAGGGAAGGATAAAATGGTAAAAGGATTGCGGGCAAATGTCCCGCAATCCTTGTGCCCTGACCTCACCATTGTGATCCATGCGACGGTCACCTCCAGACTGGATTATTGTAACTCACTCTACGTGGGGCTGCCCTTGAGACTGACCCAGAAACTCCAGCGGGTGCAGAATGCCACGGCGAGATTCCTTATGGGGTCCTCGCTGCGGGATCACATTCACCCAGTGCTACACCAGCTGCACTGGCTCCCGGTAGAGTACAGGATCAGGTTTGAGGTGCTGGTTTTAACCTTTAAAGCCCTAAACGGCCTAGGACCCTCATACCTACAGCACTGCCTCTCCTGGTATGTCCCACGGAGGACCTTACGGTCTTCAAACAAAAACATCTTGAAGGTCACAGGCCACAGGCCTCAACCAGAGCCAGGGCTTTTTGGGCTGTGGCTCCAATCTGGTGGCTCCAATCTGGCCTCCTGCTTGGCAGGGGGTTGGACTCGATGGCCCTTGTGGTCTCTTCCAACTCTATGATTCTATGATTCTATGGTGGAACGCTCTGTCACAAGAGACTAGGGCCCTGAGGGACTTGACATCTTTCTGCAGGGCCTGCAAGACAGAGCTGTTCCACCAGGCCTTTGGCCAAGGCACAGCCTGACCCCCTCCTTTGGTAATCCTCAGAGAACTCTACCCCAATGGTTGCCATCAATTTGATTTGAACTGATTTTATAATGAATTGATTTTAGAATGCTGTATTATTTTACTTCGTTAGCCGCTCTGAGCCTGGAATTGGCTGGGGAGGGCAGGATATAAATAAAATGTTATTTATTTATTATATTTATTATTGTTGGGACTATGGGCTAAGGGTTAAGTCAAAAGATGGAGCTTTGCTGTGCCCAAAATTTGAAATGGTGAAATTTATATTTTGAATATCAGAATTGTGGATGAGGTAAAACCAACTTTAAACAAGTCTGAAGTATTAGCTCAATTGATAGATGAGCTTCTGTCAGTTGACACCCTTTGTTGATGTGCATCCATCCATTAGTTAGCACCCTAATTTGGTTATATTGCTGTTTAACTTGACATGGTTTTAGTATTTTAATATTTTTTTATTAATTTTTCAAGTGTGAAGATGATGGACAGATATTTTTCAGTCTGGATGATGGGAGCACCAAATTCACTGACCTAATACAGCTTGTTGAGTTCTACCAACTAAACAAGGGAGTTTTGCCGTGTAAACTCAAACACCACTGCATACGTGTGGCCTTATGACCTCTATTTTGATCCATGTTGAAGACCGACTTTGCTCAGTGATGGAAGTTGCTAGAGAAATATTATAAAAGGAAGGTTGACACTGGGGAATTAGCAGAATAGTTGTTCACAAGAATTATGCACCTTGGGGATTTGGAAAAGGATGAATTGAGCAACAGACTGAGATTTTGCTGGTTTGTATAACACCTAAACATGCTTGGTGCTGAGTGTCCTAGCAACCCCTAAAATCAGGAAAGGGTGTGTAAAATCATTAAACAAAACTGGAAACTGTCCCTTGGCTGGTCCATTTAACAGAATCAAGTTTGTGAAGCAAAATTATTGAAAAGAACTCTTGCCCTGGAATAATCTTGAGAATTTAAGACTTAGTGTGTTTACTTTTTGTATGGATCACACTCTACTATTTTTTGTTTTTTGCACTCCTACTTTTTGGATATTGCATATGGCCTATATTAGGAGCTGATAAAGCTTTTACACTTATGCAGGATTTGGGTATTAATCTAAATCCTGTATTTCATGAGTTGCTTCAGCCTAACAAGGATCTAGAAGACAAAAATATGACTTGATGGCTCTGAAAATCAGCAGCTATGTTATGTACTGATGCTCTTGAAGAAACAGTGTGGATACAACTATGGCAATATACACATACCAACATATGTACTCTTTAGAATGATTGGGTTTTTTAAAAAAATATAATGGCTGTAGCTTGTGTGCAGGACACTAATAATAGCTAGTCATGCAAAGGATTCTGATTCTATGCATAAATGTGTTTTAACCCATTTTAATCTGAATGTGTTTTCTCTTCCCCCACATTCTCAGCCTACTAGAGCCCTCTGGTCTGCATGACCCTTTGGGAAAATCCACTGACAAAGGCTAGAGTGACAATATGTATTTGGAACCAGCTTTGGGAGGTGGGGCTTCACTTGTTTAGTCTACCTAGTAGGACACAAGTTCAGTGTTTCCTTGCTTTCTGACCATGTCACAGGGCCTTTCGTGCAGGTGTATCACTGTCCAATCTCCTAACCATGGTTGAGAGTTCAAGAGGGAGCCTCTGAACCCGCATTTTCAGTAACCAAAACACAGATTGCAAATAAGTCTTTAACCTTGTTTGCAAATGACTTGGGTCTACAGTTACTTGAAAATGCCAGTAAAGATGTAAGCCTAACTATAATTAGCTCCGAAACTGAAAGAAAGAGGAAAATGGCCATGGAGTATCCTGGTCTCCTAATTATGGTTAGACTGTTGGATATGGCCGAACTGGCACAGACATAGGGTTGTTTCCAACTAAGTTCTACTCAGAGTAGGTCCATAGAGAATATTAAGGACTTTCGTTACTAATGTCCATTAATTTCAATGGATCTACTCATGAGTGTGACTAACATTGGCTAAAACCCATAGAGTTGTTTTCCTAAGTCAGGCATAGGCAAACTCGGCCCTCCAGATGTTTTGGGACTACAGCTCCCATCATCCCTGACCACTAGTCCTGTTAGCTAGGGATGATGGTCCCAAAACATCTGGAGGGCCGAGTTTGCCTATGCCTGTCCTAAGTGTTGGCAAGGCAACAGTGATGCCCAGTCAGGTAAATTTGAATAATTTCTTCTTCAGTTGAACTGTGTCTTGCTTGTATTGTGCAGGATTGCCAAAACTTCTGTACAAAACTGTGGGCAAAATCCATTGACTGCTCTCCATCCATTTCAGACCTGCGCAAAGAAAAGTTATGCAAGTGCCACCAGAATGATTGGGTGATAATATGCAGTAGTGCTGGATTAATGGCTTGTTTTATTGCTAATAGAAATTGGATATTCAACCCTTCATGCCACTGCTGAATTTACCATTGACAATTCAGTAACCTAATACTTGGGGGTATATGCACTAAAGTATTTATATTAGTTGGTCAAACTAGTTTGTGGCAAACTGGTTTGGTCTTGCTTCATTCCTGGTTCATCATTTAAATAAGGCCCTTGTTCACACACAGTGGTAAGCCATGGTTTATTAAACTATGGCTTATTAAGACCGTGGAGTAGCATTACATATGAGCCTGCCCAGTGGTTTTAACTTCTCATTTCTTTACTGCCAACAAATCATTATGTGAAGCCATTGTTTGTTGCAGGCCTATGAATCTTGACTTGTTTTAGCTATAGTTTGGCATTGCAAGTGAACCAAGCACCCTTCCTTAACCATGATTTGTTTGGCCACTCCAACCAAAGTGTTCAGCAAGCTACAGAAGTCTGAGGAGAGTGCAGCTGGAAAGCAAAACAAACTCTTGAGAAACAAGCCATATATTATTTGATCCTTTGTTGAGCAATTCGTCGTTAACTTGTGATTTGTTGAACAAACTGTGGCTTATCATTATATGCAAAGCAGATATTTTCAAGGCCTGCTTTAGGCTCTCTAAAGCCTTCCAGGTGGGCATTGGCTGTATGGAGCAAATAATACCTGACCCAGCTTTAATCCAAATTGATAAATGGAAATTTGGGCACATATGGTAAGTAAAATGCAGGCGGCATAGTTGGATGCTACCAGCTGCCTTCATGGGGAGACACATTTTGGAGGGCTTTATAATATCTGAACCAGGACAATCTCTTGTTAAATGTTTCATTTGTTCCATGTTTACATTGCTGTGCTTTTCCTTCTGGCGGTAGCTAGCATTAGAGGAAGGTCAGTGCTGGTTTGATTTCCCATTGGATCGCCATACGGTTTATGACTGTCAGACTTTGAATATCATGGTTAATACACACATGATGTGCTTTGTGTACTTTGCACGGTTTATAAAGCAAGAAGTGTATTGACCCTAGGAATGTTCAGAATTACTGTTGCAAAATAAATTTTATCTCTACTGATTATCTCATGTAACTAATAAATAGCCCATCCTGCTGGCTGAAGTTGGAAAAGCAGTTCTTTATTCACAAGGTATTCTTATAGCGGTGAGAGTAGCTTATGAAAAAATAACCAGCTTGAGTCACATATACCAGCTGAATTCTCAATGGTATAGAAACACTGTATCTTAGTTTACAGAACACATTCTAGTAGCTTTGCCCCCATGAAATGTCTACATATAAAATGAAGAAACTTGACTTAGTTTTTATTAGAAACTTGCTGGTTTTATATGTGCATATTATTTTTTTTGTCAATGTTCTTTAGACATCATATTAAGCTAAATTTTATCTTTGATTTCACTCTGCATTTTCTGTTTCACCCCTCCTATATATATATTAAAAATGATTTAACATGCTCATTCTCTAGTTTTGATAAGACCATTTAGACTTTTGAGATAAATTTGTGTCTTAACTTAGTTTTCAGCAAATTTAAAAAATCGTTTTGCATTGTTTCATGTTTATAAAACTTGCATTCTTTGACTATCATAATTTTCTATGTAGATAGCGGACTGTTTTGTACACCCAACTTTAAAATGAGCTATTTTAAAGAAATGAGCCACATCAAAGTGGTAGCTACTTTACTAGAGCACACCATTATTGCTCTTCCCTTTTTTTTGGTTTTGCTGGAAATGAAATTGTTAAAATCCCACCTTAAACATTTGCAGCGGATACAGCTGGTTGGCTGCTTCAAAACCAAGGACTGAAGGACATTTGACTTCTTTTGTATTTAAATGACATGAATGTAAAGAGGGACGCTCAGGGTTGTTTCTGGAGCCTGTTGAATTTTTATCATTTGTTTTTGTTTGCCTGTGATCTTTATTTTCTAAAATAAAATACTTCATGTAGCAATCTTGGAATATGTTGAGAAGGAAAATGTCAAACCACCTGGTAAAAAAAAAATATATTAAAAAACCAGTAGGTAAGTTATAGAACAGTAGGTGTTTGAAAATGAACAGCTTTTTTATTTGTTGAATTAATCTTGAAGAAACACGTGCCTCAGTTTTTAGATGTTTTGTCTTCTCTTTTCTGCACTAAGTACCTGACCGTTTTGACCAATCAATGCACCTTTCCAGTGGCAAGACTTGCTTATTGTAAATTATATTGTCACAATGCAAGACTTTTTAGTGACTGTAATATGGAATAAAAGTTAAGTTTTCAGGGAATGCAAAAGGTATTAATTTAAGAGACAAAACCTCTTACTCAATATGCATTGCTTCATAACTGTAAATAGCTTTGGGGGGGGTTGTGAAGCTAATTGTAATCTTTCAGGTATTTTTGTACAATTGAGGGACTGATTCTGTTTCTTGTAACTAGAAATAAACATTCATACAATTGTATTCAATTTTTATTATTAGTAATGATTTGTTTCTGATGTTGGTAGAGGGTACATTTGCCAGACTAATTGAAACTACTCATCAGCTACAGTAAATTACCTATTTATGTGGGCCAATTACCATTGATGCTGCTACCGCTAGTGAGGTTCTCTCAGATCCTTCCATGCATTGAGAAGATGCCCGAGGGGGTTGTGTTGGGTGGTCCTGCTCTGCACATTGGCAATGCGTCTCATATTAAGGGTTTCTGTATACGTGTGCCAACAACATAAGCACATAATGTCTTCCACGCAAGATGCAATCTTCATTTGCCCTGGATCTCTCTTGAAGGAGATACATTCATACATACATTCACAGCCATTGAGAGGCAGTGTGGTGTGGTGGTTAAGAGCGGTGGACTCGTAATCTGGTGAACCGGGTTCGCGTCTCTGCTCCTCCACATGCAGCTGCTGGGTGACCTTGGGCTAGTCACACTTCTCTGAAGTCTCTCAGCTTCACTCACCTCACAGAGTGTTTGTTGTGGGGGAGGAAGAGAAAGGAGAATGTTAGCTGCTTTGAGACTCCTTCGGGTAGTGATAAAGCGGGATATCAAATCAAAACTCTTCTTCTTCTTCTTCTTCATAGGACCCCTTCAAATAAGCACCAGCACATGGCTGGCAGGGTGTATGTCTGTTAGCTGCATCCACAGGGCAGAGCTGATGGGCACAGCCCCATTCTCCCGCTCAATATGTGAGGGATATACATTGGAGCGCTTAGTTTCATTGACACATTGGTTTCCTAAGGCCAAAGAATTCCATATTATGACATGCCCTATTTACTGGAAGGAGATGAGCCTCATGGACTTCCCAGTGTTTCTTCAGTGCCCAATCTGTTTTGAAATGCAACGTTGCACTACAACAAGTGCACATGACTTCTCAATAGCTAATTTGACCAGTGGTCTTTGGGATGACGTGAGGTTGAGGAAATTGCATTCATCCAACATTAGCTTCCCTAATCGGGGGTGTGAATGAACTATCTTGGAAACCATTATGTGAAAACGATAAACTTAATTTATTTCAAAGCACCAGTCCTGATCCGAACTTTCTGATTACAGGCCAGCAAAAGGTATATGAAAAAGATATTTCATATCCGACCTGTGAGCAGAAGCTGTGCCAGATAGGCTGGGCGACGTTAACTCGTATTCTGAAAGTTGAAGGAACAACTCAAAATCAGAAGGATGGTGCAGGGTGACACAGCAGAACATTTCACAACTGATTTTGTGAGAGATGATTAAACTTTTAAACAGGTTTAGCAATCTGTAGCCTTGCTGTTGCACCTCTGTTTCTGTTTGCCCTTGGACAGTAAAAACACTTGCAGTCCCAGGGGAAAAGGATCACATAATACATATGCAGTCAATATAACATCTAGGCAAAAGATCCTACTGCTAACACTCAGTGGCTTCCCCAGGACACAGTTGCTCCTCACTCTCCCCACTTTCCAAACAACAGAATAGCATTTTAGGAACGTGTGTCAAAATTGGGGGACAACAGGATTAAGTTCTCCACAGCTGTAATGTCTCAAGAAGGAAGTACCTCAAGGAGACACAAGGAAAACTCTTATTAGAAATCCACTAGATTTCTAGAAGTGAGCTGTACGTCATCTGAATGATACATAAAACACAAAAAATTACCTGGTAAGGAAATGTCAAGAAAAACTGAATAAAGTGCTGCCTGAATGCGGTGACATATAACACTGGAGATGTACCTGTAAGACAGTGTAAATTAATAAAACTATCCTAGATGGCTCATGTAAGCTGCCAAGCATTGAGCAAGTCTGCATGGTAACAATGGGCGGTTAAACTATTTAGTTAATGTGCTAAATAACGCCATCTATATAGAAATATTTACTGAACAGACAACATCTGGTTAGCTGTAGTGAAGATTTCACAGGAAATATGAATTTGTGGGCAGAGTATTAATGGTTTCTGACACAAGTATTTTAACTGGTAATGGGTGTGGTGGATTGGAGATAAAACGGCACCTTAGGTTACCAACCAGGACTATGTGTTGACCTATGTGTGTGCACATAACACCATGGCATGCTCATGCCCCTCTTGCTTATGGATTTACAATTGAAGGACCAACTGTTCATATTCAGGGTGGTGTAGGATTTGGCCAAGGCCTCCAGTTGCTGATCCCTGTCCGTTTTTTTCTTTTTTTGCTGGAATTATTAATGGCTGTTAATGCATGCTAAATATTTCCCATGCAAACATTTATAGTAGGTTGATTCCAGGAATCATAGTGATGCAAGTTACAAGTGCTTGTATATCTGTACCTTGTAACTGACACAAATATACAATACCAGTATGATTCAAAATTGGTTTTGCAGCATCTTGATCAAAGGGCCTTAATGTCTGTTTTGTTAAGGCTAGCAGTGTACAACCGACAGCACTTATATAGGTGTTCTGTCAAACACATCTAGGCAACTAATGGAGCTAATGACAAAACAAGCAAGGTGATCTGCCAGTTTCTCTCCAACAATGCCACTGGCACCAGTTGTTTTATTATAGCAGTTTTTTTGTGCAGGGTTGCACAGCAGATTCAGTCTTTTGGGCTTTATTGTCCAGGTACTACCTTGTTTCTTTGGCCTTTAACACTTTGGCCTCCCTGAGTAAAAATCTAATTTTGCAGGTGCCCCGTGAGCAAATCGTTTTCTCCTGGCACTGCTTTACTGCTGATACTCAACTATTAATGCTATACTAAGGCAATTTTAAGGGAGTAGTTACCCTATTAAAACTCTTTAACCAAATTGCTCTTTTATTCCCACAATCCCAGTTAAGTCTCACCAACAGGAGGAGATGGCTATCAGTGTCTACCAGCCATGTTGGCTATGCTCTACCTTGACAGAGGAAGCATCGCTTCTGAGTACCAGTTGCTGGAAAACATAGGAAGGGAGAGTACTGTTGTGCTCAGGTACTGCTTGTGGGTTTTCCGCAGGCATCTGGTTGGCCACTGCAAGAACAGGATGCTGGACTATATGGGCCAACGGTCAGATGCAGCAGTCTATTCTTGTGGAAGCCTCTTTTTGTTCTCCTTTACAGAACACAGGTTTGCCTTGCTATGCCATCCTGGAAATCTTCCCTCTGGTCTCCTCCTACTCACCAGGGCTTCATAGTCCAAGCTGTTCCTACTTTTGCCCTCAGCATAGCAAATTGGCTCTCCCCTTGTCTCTCCAGCGAAGCCAAGTGACTCAGCTACCCTCACAAAGGGAATAACTTTCTAAGAGCAAGAGCTGTTTGACAGTGGAACAGACTCCTCGGGAGGTGGTGGGTGCTCCTTCACTGGAGGTTATTAGGTTGGATGGCTACCTTTAGTTGAGATTCCTGCATTGCAGGAGTTTGGGCTGGATGGCCCTCAAGGTCCCTTCTAACTCTACAGTTCTGTTTCCCTGATTCACCTACCTTTCAGGTCTTCCTTCTTCTTCCTTGATCCTCTTACTCTGCTGCTTTCTTCTGGCTAATTCCACAAACACCAAGCCCCCAACAACTCGTCCTCTCCAACCAACCAACCAACCAACCAACCAACCATCTGCTGACCAGTTGCTTGCTATATATACACTTCTAGTCCAGCCCTGCCCTCTTGGGCTTCCCAATCGGAAGGTCGGTGGTTTGAATCCGCATGACGGAGTGAGCTCCCATTGCTCTGTCCCAGCTCCTGCCAACCTAGCAGTTCGAAAGCATGCCAATGCAAGGAGATAAATGGGTACTGCTGCGGTGGAAAGGTAAATGGTGTTTCCACGTGCTCTGGCACTCATCATAGTGCCTTGCTGCACCAGAAGTGGTTTCGTCATGCCAGCCATATGACCCGGAAAGCTGTCTGGACAAACACCAGCTCCCTCTGCCTGAAGTGAGATGAGCGCCACAACCCAGGGTCGACTTTGACTGGACTTAACCATCCAGGGGTCCTTTACCAGCCCTTGCCAATCACACTGTCTAACTGTATATTCTGAACCTGTACCCACCAATCAAAATATGCATAACATCCTGTTTTGCCCCCTGGCATTTCTAACCCACAGTTGTCAGTTAAGGCCACACACAACAGTTTAAAGAACTTTGCCCTAACCCGACAAAAAATCAAATACATTGCAATGTACATTACAATACAAATGTCAGAACACATTACGTAGTACCTACCTATTCAAATTTAAATTCAAATAAACAAGATTTCTTCACAGTTGCGCTTTTATGAAAAAAGTGCACAATTGTAATATGACTAAATATATATTGCTCAAATATTAAATTGGCTGTGCATATCTGAAAATGCTCATTATGGAAAAGAACACATATGGTGTAAATAAGGTGCTTTTCTTGAAAAGTGTTTGATCACCGGAAAAAGATGAGCCATGCTGCCACACCAATATGATACCAATTTTCACAAAACGTTGTAATTCATCTCTGTATTAATTCCTGCAGTGGAAATATGGATTTTCTGGTCATGTGGTGGGGGGAGATTTCCCACAACAAAAATATTGTGCAATGTTTTTTCTAGGGCTTGATAGTTGTCTCAAGACTACAAAATAGTTCTGGCCTTCCAGATGGAGTGGATAACAAGACTGCATACTTTCAAAAGAGAAGTGGTGGGACTTCCAGCGAGGCAAGCACTGGGAAACACTGGCTGCATGGGGATGGATGTGATCTGTTATTTGTTCATGGCTTGGGGGGGGTCCGTTATAAAATCTTGAGGTTTGATGCCCTTGTATTATGTTTTTGTGCAACAGTGACACCATGGAACCCTGAATCCATAGTTTCAACGGGCAAGGATTGGATGTGTGTGTGTGTGTGTGTGTGTGTGTGTGTAAAACAAAATTTGCTTATCCCTTGACTCTGAGTGGTTCTTGACAGTTGCTTGCATGGGGGAATCCCCTGTAAAACCTCCTAAGATGCAGGAGGAGTCATGCCCTAGAACATGACTCCTGCCAGCTGAGCGAGCTCAGTCTACAGACCATGAGACTCTTGATCTCAGGGTTGTGGGTTTGAGCCCCATGTTGGGGGAACAGATCCTTTCACTGCAGGGTGTTGGACCGGATGACCCCCCTGGTCCCTTCCAGCTGTGCAATTCTATGACTTTGGCTTGCCAGCTGTTTCTGAACTACAACTCCCATCAGCACCAGCAAGCATAGTTGGTGGCCAGAGATAATGGGAGTTCTAATTCAGAATCAGCTGGCAGGCCAAACGTGCTTTTGATGCCCTGGGTCGAGTCCAGGATTTGTAATGTTTATGCTTCAGCCTGTGAAGGCAGGAGTGACACGTGTTTGATTTTGTGGGGGAGAATCCTATTACGTATAAAACTCACCCAGGTTCACGGGTCAAGCTCCACGTCTTGTGTTGAAGCAGGGAAGACAGGCGATCTTTTGATTGTAGATTTTTTGGGAGGGATGCGTGTCTATGAGCGTAGCCAGAATTTGTGGGGACACACACACACACACACACACACACAAGCATTTGTTGGGGGGCGGCAAACCTCAATTTCTAATTGCTTTGTATTGATTTTGATTGATAAGAGGGGGGCAGCCGTCCCCCTACTCCCCCCCCCCCTTGGCTAGGCCCGTGTGTGTATTTGTGTTTCCCTATGTAAAAAACAAAAAAGACCAAGTTTCCCATGGACTGGGTCCCACACTCGTCCAGCCAGCGGTGGCGATGGGAAGGCGCTCTGCCCATGCTCCTGAGCCCCCTTTCCCCGCCGCCTCACCGTGGGGAGGGCGCTCTGCCCATGTTCAGAGCCCTCTCCTCCCCCCCCGCTCCCTCCTGCGCTGAGGAAACCGGTTCCGGGGACTGCGCCCCTCCAGCCCGGAGAGCAGCGGGAGCGGAGGCGGCGGAGGCGCCGGCGCACGGAAGACGAAGCAGCCCGGCTCCAGTCAGGGGGCCTCCGCCGCCGCCGCCGCCGCCATGGCCGCGCGTGCTGCCGCCTTGCTGGGGCTGGTTCTGCTGGCCGGGCCCGCGCCGTCCTCTTCGTCGTGGGGCAGCCCGGCGGCCGGGGGCGGAGGGGGCGGCGGGGGCCGCGGGAGGGACGCCGACCCCGGCGGGGCCCAGGCGGGCGAGCAGCGCCAGCGCCACGACTCCTCCTACGGCACCTTCGCCGGCGAGTTCTACGACATGCGCTTCCTCTCGGACGAGGGTGAGGGGCCCGGGCCGGCCCGGGGACGCAGCCCGGCGGGAGAGGGGCTTCGGAGGAGAGCGCGGCCGCCCGGCGGGAAGGCCTTCCGGCGCCGGCTCCCTTCGCCCCCTTCGCCCCTTCAGGGCTCCGAGGGCCGCCGCTCGGAGCCCCGCAAACAGCCCGCGGGGATCCCCGGGAAAGCGGGCGCCGGAGGGCGGCGGGAGAGGCGAACCGACGCCTCCCGGAACTCCCGGGACCAGCCTGTTCAGAAAGGGCCCTGGCTGGATCTGGCCAAAGGCCCTATTATTATTATTATTATTATTACTTTTTCTGGGTACACGGGGTGGGGTACTTTTTTCTGGGGGTACACATACTCCTAAACATTTTGGGAATCTGTTTGGCCTCATTGAGGGGCAGTATATAGCCCAATGGTTGCCATCAATTTGATTTGAATTAATTTTATAATGAAATGATTTTAGAATGTTGTATTATTTTATTGTTGTTAGCTGCCCTGAGCCCGGCTTTGGCTGAGGAGGGCAGGATATAAATAAAATTTATTATTATTATTTCAATATGAGTAGGAAAAGGAGAGTATCCCTAAACATTTTTTAAGAAAAAAAGATGATGATGATGATGTTTTTCCCTAACGGAAACTCAAGGAAGCTTGTGGATCAAAATAAGAACGCCTTAAAACAAGGGGGAGAGCAAACCCCCCAAATAACAAAGCAATTAAACTATATATGCCAGGATTATATCTCTCTATCCTGGCAGTTTGGTTTATTATATGTTTATTATATTCTGCCACATATTTAATTTTTTGCTTTGATTCTTCAAGGTTACCCTTTACAGATCAAAATAAGAATGCCTTAAAACGAGGGGGAGAGCGAACCCCAAAATTAACAAAACAATTAAACATTAATAAATTAAAACTATATACGCCAGGGTTATATCTGTCTTATCTATCTATTCTGGCAGTTTGGATTATATATATATATATATATATATATATATATATATATGCCCTGCCTCCCGCCCCCTAAAATAAAGAACGGCTAAAAAGAAGTAGTGAGGAGCAACCCAAATTTTAAAAAATTTAAACATTGATAGAATTGGAACTATATATGCCAGGACAAAACTTACTTATATGAAAGTTTATTCTTTAAAAGAAAGTATATTCTGCCACATATTTAATTATTTGTTTTGATTCTTCAAGGTTATCCTTTTCCTACTGCTCCTCCAGTGGATCCATTTGCAAAAATTAAAGTGGATGACTGTGGGAAAACAAAAGGATGCTTTAGGTTGGTATGAAACATGTTTGCTTTTAAGTTTATAAATGCTGACATTCTGGCTCCCAAACATGTGCTGTCCATGAATTGTTTATATAAATGTTTAATACTAGTATATATCTATGGCTGTTACATTGCAATCTTGAGTCCAATGACATGCATGTTTACTGGAATTTGAAATATATTTTACGCTTAAGAACTCTTGTTTGCGAAACCTTATTTATTTTTTAAATATGTTTTTATTGTCTATTGCTTGTGGTTCACTACTGTGAATTCCTTTAGCGGGAAGGGTGGTATAGAAATGCAATCAATCAATCAATCAATCCATCCATCCATCCATCCATCAGTCAATCAGTACATTTATTAAATTACCTATGTACTACCTTTTGGCGCATAGCCTACCCAAAGTTTTCTGTTTTCATAAAAACACAATCCATATAAAAATATCTCTTTTTTCTGGGGTAACCAAAATAACGAGACCGTATTACAGAAGCTATTGATAACCTTTCAGCTAGTAGTAGCCAGGTTCGAAGTTGCAAAAAACTGGAACATGACTGAGATGTGAATGATTGATGCCTGAACTTAAGAGGTTATGGCACACAGCCATTGGACAGAAAGTTGCATTTAATTTAAGACTGGCAAAGACTAAAGTAATGATGATGGGCTCCTGTGTGACTTGGAACTTGTTTGCAGTATACATGAAGGAATTCATGGCACTTGCCATACCAGCTTTGTTTCTTAAACTCAGACCGAGATTAACGCCTAAAGAAATTCCCCAAGTCTACTTTTGCTAAAAATATGGGTAGTCCAAATGTTTAGGTGGACCTTATTTGACAGATTGGTGTTGTATGGTGTCGTTGTAACTACCTGCTTCGTATCGTCAGCTTTTTAGTTGTATCTCTAAATGCTCAAAAAAGTTTAAAAACATAGAGACATACAGTATGTGTTCTAGATATTTAATGCTAATAAACTGTTTCTTCTTCTTTTGATGTAACCCACTGTGCAACCCCAGGATGATGGATGAAATATAAATCTCAAAAATAAATAAATAAATAAATGATGGAAAACTGTTCATTTTGACAGTGTAGACAAAATTGATTGATGATCTGGCCTACCTGGGTGTAGAAAACAAGAATAGCATCATCTACATGGATAACAATTGAAGAATAACCTTAAGAGCAGAATGGAAACAACTTAGTTTGTTGTTTTCATTTTAAAATGCTTACATTGGAAAAGGATCTCAGAGACTTAATCACATTTTTAAAAAATAAATAGGCTTTTCTGTATCTCAGCCAATCAGAACTGTCTCCTTAAGTCTTTCATTCAAGAAATTTAGTATAAATTGTTGTTCCAGTAATACCAGCTCAGCTTAATAGGATATTCTTCGCTGCCAAACTTAAATGTTGCTAAGAACTTTTTAAAAAAACGTTTGTAGTGGTGTACTTAAGATTATATCAGGAAATACTTTAGCTTTAGACCCTTTCTTGATTTTACTGAATGTAATTGAGGAAATTATGTACAGTGTATTGATTGCTGTGGTGAGTTATGGATGAAGCACTGGAAAGCCCCTCAACCTCTAGCAGTTTGGAAGTGGCAATTGAAATGACTAGATTCGGCTGAAATTGACAAATTAACAGAAGCAATTAATATAGGAGAAGAGTCTTGCAATGCACCAATGTCACAAATGAATAGATTAATAGTTTAGTAGAATATACATTGCCATTGCATTAAGCTAAACTTGATTTTGTGATCTTTGTCACCGATACTTTATGTTTTGGGTTTTTTGTTTACCCCATTTTCAGCGATATATGATCAATGTTTTTGCAAATTTTATGTAATAATATTAGTAATATTAGTTCTTGATGAGGTTAAGAGAAAGGGCCTTGTCCGATGTGGAATCCGGATTATGAATTCTGTCTCCAGGTATATTTGGTAGACCTTCCCAACATCCATTTTTTAAGTGTGCATTAAAACTGTTCAGTCATTTTTATTCTCTTTGGAATTTCTGCTCTTCTGTTTTTATTCTTTTGGTTTTGTTGATTTATAGTTTGATTAGACACACTCTTTTTATTTTAAGATTTTGTAAGTAGGCATAGTGCCAAGAGAAGTGGATTACACCTTTTTAATACAAGTAATAAAAATAATAAAGTCATTTTGGGACATTTGTGAAACTACTTCCTCATTCAGCTAAATCGCTGTGCTAGTGCAATGATTAGTGCTAATGCAATGGGACTCCATCCCCAAGTATATGTCTGGAAGATTGGGGAAACCCCCATGACGAATTTGGGTGGTGAAGGTTCCATTATCCTAATGGATACTGCAACTTAGCACTATGTTGAATATAACCCTAAGTTATTATAAAAAGTAATTCATGATTTGCTAAATAATAAAAACACCAGAGGCCCAATCTAGAGACATTTAGGCTTGGGTATCTCTATATGATGCCTACATTTGTGTGCTTAATATTGCTGTCCTATGCAGGCTCAGTGATTGGACTGCAGTGCTATTTGCCATAGATTTCCATCAGACAACCCTAAGTCAGTAGCAAGTTTTTCAGCTGGATTGAAAGTACAGGTAGACTTAAACAGAAACGTTCCTTGTATATCTCTGAATTATAGGCAGTGATTTTTTTGTCTCCTCTGTCACATGTAGGTATGGTAAACCAGGATGTAATGCAGAGACTTGTGACTACTTTCTCAGTTACCGCAGAATAGGAGCTGACATAGAGTTTGAACTGAGTGCCGAGACAGATGGTTGGGTAGCTGTGGGATTTTCCTCTGATAAGAAAATGGTAAGATGGTGTTAATAATAACGAAGCACTGATTCATTTTTGAGAAAGAAAGGACATATGAATAAAAATTAAGTTAATGCATTGATTTGCACAATTGTATACTTGGACATGAAATGGTAAGTTAGAAAAGTGTTAAAAGTAAAACGTTTCTATTTTATGCCCAAGGTCCACTTGTTTGATGTTAGACTGGGTGCTCAAGCAATGGGGAATGAAAACACAAGAGAGGGCAATCCTTTTATGCCATTCTTGATGTTGGACAGGTCCTTTCTCTTTTTAAATTTTTTAAAAATTGATTTTCAGGTAGTTAAAAAATAAATAAATCCCTAGAAGTAAAGTACAAAATATGACAATGTCATAAGCATATTGTACAACTTTCGTATTTGTCAAGGGTGCCCACAAACACCAAATTAATAGTGCCCCCAAGCGCTTTGAAAAAATAAGACTCACATTGTCCATCAAAGCAGATGGCAAAGATTATTGGAATTGTTTGAGGGATATATGAAATAAAGAGCTCTTTTCTCTTTGTCTGATGAACACCCTCTCTATTTCTACCATAATTTACCACCACCGTGTTAGGGTTGCTTAGGGAGCTGCTATGGATGGTGTGTGCTCAGTGTCAGGGAATTCTTTGGGCACAGATGGAAAGAAAGTTGTGAAGCATCAGCACATGTGAATGGCCAAACAGTAAGAAGGCTTTTGCTTATCCAGGCCTGGTATAAATAAATAGCAGAAGGCCTGGTCAACAGAACAGTGCATTTCAGGCTTGAATGCCCCCACCTTTCAGTTCAATGTTGAGATTTGAAGTCTGGAGCTAGAGATCACAGCCTCCGAACATGGACTTGCTAGTCAGCAACTGGGGGGGTACTTGGTACTTGTCTAGTGGCAAAAATCTGCTTCAAAGCATCTCAGATGAAGCTGTAAAGCACTGTGGAGCGTTTGTCAGCCCGAGGAACATACCCTTCTCGCCAGTCTTCTGCCAGTTACATGCCAGTAGTGGGCGGGGCCAGAGACAAGGTGGGCAGAGCAATACGTCTAAATTTTGCCTGTGTGCAACTGGATAGTTTCTACGCACCCACACACATCCTGCTCTAGCTTGTCTCTAGAAAGTAAACATTACTAATTATTTTTACTAAGCAGCATGCAGATAGGAGTAGAAAATAGGAATAGGGGGAAAAACCTGTTGATGCTTCACAGCTTTTCTCTGAGATCACATTTTCCAGAACACAGAATACTCACCCATTTGCTTAGTCATGGGGCCAGACTTGCCATGTTCATGCATACAGCATAGCAGCAGAGTTAAAAGCAACGTGCATTTTACCTTTGTGTGCTCGGTCAGTAGAGGCATTTCTGTCCCAACTCTTCTGTTATTGGAGGTGGGTTGGGAGAAAAGTGCTTGGGGTGATGGACCTTGGGAAGCATTCAACTTCCCTCACGCAGACACCAATTTGATGTCAAACTTGGATTTGCCTACCCTGACTTGCACATGGACAAGGCAGCTACATGGACAGCAAATAGATCTAACAGGAGGAGCCCTATTTTAATCCCTAGAAAAGTCATAAAAAGAGAAATGTTGGAAATGCCTGTTTTCAGCCTTACTTCTTGGTATCTCTTGGGTAACCCATTACTGTTATTAGTAGAGTATAGCTGGCAGAATCTAGGCAGGGGGTAAGTATCTGTATAAATCAGGAAGAACTTTCTGACAGAATCAGCCTATATATACACCCTTGTGCAAATTAATTGAAACAAAGCATGTTTTCTATCTTACTCGTAATCCTGTACTCAAAACAAACACAAAAAGTCAGTTGATGATTATGGTGTTGGAAGCCAGCAGCCAATAGAAGGAATGATGCGCTTGCCACAATATATTGAGGTTCTACGAAAGAGAGTTATTCCAGAGCTGGAAAAGAGGTATCTTGACGGTACTGGGATATTGCAGCAGGATCTAGCCCCCTGTCACACATCAAAAATGGTGAAGAAATTCACGACAGAGCAGCAAATACAGGTACTTGATTGGCCAGGGAATTCCCTGGACGTAAATCCCATTGAGAATTTGTGGGCTATATGCAAAAGTCGCCTCCGTGCTGTAGACTGTATGGCTATGGAGAAGCTCATTCAGGAGCTGATTCAAGTGTGGTACAGGCATCCGAAAATCAACAGTGACTGCTCGAAACTAGTAGACTCCATGCCAAACCGTGTTCAAATGCTGCTTAAAAATAGCAGAGGTCCTATCCGTTACTAATGTACGTATATGTGAGTTTTGTACATGTATATGTGAGTTTTGTACAATAAACTACATTGTTTCTTTCAATTAATTTGCACAAGGGTGTAGTAGGGACACCTCTTCCTGCTTAAGAGATTTGTTACTGTTAAAGGTTTGTCTGTGATTTGAAGATCTCATGTGAACAATTCCTTCGTTTCTAATGGGTACAGGTGATGTCACAGTGGAATCCTTATTTTGGTTTCTCCATTTAGGGTGGAGATGATGTCATGGCTTGTGTTCACGATGACAATGGAAGAGTCAGAATACATCACTTCTACAATGTTGGACAGTGGGCAAAAGAAATCCCAAGAAATCCTGCTAGAGACGAAGAGGGTCTTTTTGAAAACAACCGTGTAACATGTCGATTCAAGCGTCCTGTGAAGGTTCCCAGAGATGAAACTATTGTAGATCTTCATCTGAGCTGGTATTATTTATTTGCTTGGGGCCCAGCAATTCAGGGTAAGTTGTTCTTCTTTTGAGTTTCTAATTAACTGCAGTTAATTTAAAGCAGCAGTGTTTTCCAGTAGGAATGCATGAAGTTAGCAATATCTAATCCATCATGTATTCACCATAAGCAGAACTAATTCCATTCCACTGTAGTTTGCATGATTTGTATTTAAGCTGTCATTGCTATGCTTTATTTTTTAGTTCATGATGTCACTTGAAGAAGTTACATAGCACTCCAGAATTATTGTAGTTTTGTCTCTTCTCTCAATCCAAAGCATGTTCGCTCAACCTTATTAGGGAGATCTCCCCAATAAGTAAGTATACTTAGGTTTTTATTGTAGAGAACTCAGTTCCTTGCACTATGCTGGCAAGGAGACCTTCACGTTCCCAGGAATTGGCAGCTGTTACAGATCTATGCATAGCTTTCTTTGCTGTAAGAAGATACCTCGCAAAGGACCAAGCCACACCAGACTACCTTGCTACCGTCTTTGTTGTAGGAATGCATGCTTTCCTTTGCACATTAAAAAAAGAGCAAAAGACAGTGGAACCTCAGGTTGCGAACGTGATCCGTGTGGGAGGCAGGTTTGCAACACGCAGCGCTGCATCTGCACACGTGCAGCTCGCGATTTGGCGTTTCTGTGCATATGCAAAGGGCGATTTAGTGCTTCTGCACATGCGCGAGCGCCAAAACCCGGAAGTAACCCATTCTGGTACTTCCGGGTTCGGTGTGGTGCGCAACCCGAAAATGCGTAACCTGAAGCGTCTGTAACCCGAGGTACCACTGTATTGGATCAGACTGACCATTTTGAATGCTAGCTAGTTAGCGAGAAATAGAGTTAACATCTTAAGCAACCCTGCTCAATTTCTTGCTCTCTGTTCTTTAACTATTTTAGGTTCTATAACTAGGCATGACATAGATTCTCCACCTGTCTCGGAGCGTGTGGTCAGTATTTACAAGTATGAAGATATTTTTATGCCGTCAGCTGCCTATCAGACCTTCTCTTCTCCATTCTGCTTGTTGCTTATCGTTGCATTGACATTCTATTTATTGATGGGAACCCCATGACGACTGCAAACAGAGACCATTTGTTAGTGAGCATTGCTCAGGACAGGAGCTTTTTCTATTGGAAATGGTATCACTGGACACTTAGTTATTCATTGGCAGCTTGAGCTCCTCTGCTACCTGAGCCATAGTTGTGTGCCAAACAGTCACGATATTTGAGAATAATCAAGGAACAATTGTAATTGGCAGAACATTTTTAGTAGATATATAACTTGTTTCATGAAAGATTAAGGCTGCGTTCCTTTTACTTACTAGGGAGAAAGCCTAGCCGAACACAGCATGACTTACTTCTGAGTAGACATAGAAAGGATTGCATTGTTAAACCTATGGGTGTGATGGTGAATTATTATGAGAAACACGTAAATTCTATTTCCTAACTCTAAATTACATTTAATTGAGTAAATAAAAAATAGAAATATATCATATTTCATGAGATTATTTAGGTAATATATGTTTAAATACTTACAATTTAAGTGTCTGGTCCCAGAGTCAAAATAATGTTAATTATTTTTTTACCTTCCCAAATAAAATTGTGCATAAGCTTAAGTATTTACAGGGCTCTAAAAGAAGTCAGTATTAAAAATTATCTTTTGGGAAATGATAGAAGATAATCATTATTCAGCCAAGAAAATAACTTTTCTATCTGAAAAAGTCACCAACAGACCATTTTAAGAAAATGGCCACATTTTGCCTAATTTATTATTATTATTATTTTAAATCTATGCTACTGGGAAGGGGGCTGAGAGGTTGGTGGATCTTGGAGAACTTCCTTCTCTGCAGGCAGCAAAGGAAGCTCATCCGCAAATGCCGTCTTGTTCGCTCCTCCACTGTTGTTGCTCTGACAGCAGTGGGGGCTGAGAAAGGGATATACTAGGTTGGAGGCGTGAAACCAGTGGGAAGGGAACCATTTTAATAATGTGTGAAGGGGAAAAGGGGAAAGAAAAGGTCATTTACCCCCAACTAAAGCTAAAGCAAGTCCGGCAGGGCTTAGGAAATTATAGTTCCTCTGCCCCCTTCAAATTGTTTCATAGGCAAAAGTAGTGCCATTGGAAAAGTGAAAATAATAGCTAAGTTTCCAGTATGGAGTGTACATTTTCTGGAAAAAGCAGCACTATATGAGGTAAGTGACTTAAAAGAAGATGTTTACATGTGTATATATTTTGACACAATTTGTGTTCAGTTTCTTATGTATGCATAAATGTGAAGCAAGTGAATGAAGAAAAAAAGAACCCTTTTATCTTGTATTTTTCCTTTATTTGAAATGATATCTCCAAGGGTACGGAAATATAATTTATGTTGCTGACATGGAATCAATATAAAGGAACGACTTGTTCCTCAGAACTATGAATGAACTAAAAAGTGTATTTGAACTAAATGTGTATTTCTACAAAATGTTCAGTACATGGAAATGTAAAAAGAGGTCAGTATTATGTTAGATTTACTGTGTGAAATATGAGTGACAAAAGATAAGTAAAGATAATTTGATGCAGTTTGCATTCTGACTTTCTTTTGTTAGGCTTTATACCTCACAAACATTTGCTTAAAACAACTATGATCTCAGAGCAGTTGAAGCATCATCTCCTTGGTGTATAACACCCACCCACCCTCTGCCAAATGAAGTAAAAAAATGAGTTTGTTTTCAGTACATGTACAGAGGAAGCCAGGCTGAAAGAGGAAGTGGAGGAGTTAGTAGCCAGCAACAGTCAAACGTAGCTCATTGCAGCTTCTGTGAGCTTGCGAACAGGGGCATTTAGTGGGGGAGTTTAAGGGGGAGATCCAGAGTACTGGGGGGTCAAGGGAGCTGCTGCAGTGACCTGCAACATCTGTGCCATGTTTGTCTTTCTGCCGGAGAATATGCAAGCTGGTTGTTTTGCTGGAAGAGAAGGTGCAGCAACTTGTGACCCACCTAGCCCCAGCTCAAGCAACGGGACAACATGCAAAGTTTCTTGATAGAGCTGAGTCGACTGTGATGGAGCAGCAAGACAGATGGGGTGCCCCCAGGGAGGAGGAAGATTGCCCACTTCGTATGGAAGCTGCAGTTATTTACAAATCAAGAAATAGCAGCAACAAGAAATAGCATATGCCAAACCACAGAGATGCCTCCAAAATCCTCCACCTCTTGGATGCACTAATAAAAGTTATTTCCAAAAAAGATACAGCATTTGTATTCAACCCCATACCATGAGGTTCTCTGAGCAGGGGCTCATAAAATTGTAGAGTTGGAAGGGAACCTGAGAGTCATCTAGTTCAACCCCCTGCAAGGCAAGAATCTCAGCTAAAGCATCCATGACAGATGGTCATCCAACCTCTACTTAAAAACCTCCAAGGAAGGAGAGTCCACAACCTCCTGACAGAGTCTGTTCCGCTGTCCAATAGCTCTTACCATCAGAAATTTCTTCCAGATATTTAGTTGGAATTTCCTGCAGGGCTTTTTTCCAGCCGGACCTCAGCAGAACTCAGGTGGGAGTCATTGCCATTATAAGAGAACAAGGGAGGTGATCATGGTGACACGGGAAGTTTCCCCCACCAGAGGGAAGATTTCCAGGACAGCATAGCAAGGCAAACCTGTGTTCAGAAGGTCAATAAAAAGTTAGAAAAAGAGGCTTCCATAAGAATGGACTACTGGATCAGACCATTGGCCCACTTTCTGAGGGAGTATGATACACTGTTGAACAGCTCTTACTGGCAGAGGGTTGGTCAGAATCTCCTTTCTTGTAACTGGAAGTCATTGGTTCAAGCCCTACCCTCCAGAGCAGGAAAAAACAAGCTTGCTCCATCTTCCATGCGACAGCCTTTGAGATATTTGAAGATGGCTATCATCTCTCCATCTCCCCTTTTTCCAAGCTAAACATAAAGGTAAGGGGACCCCAGACCATTAGGTCCAGTCGTGGATGACTCTGGGGTTGGGGTACAGCTTCCGGGTCATGTGGCCAGCATGACTAAGCCGTTTCTGGCGAACCAGAGCAGCGCACAGAAACACCATTTACCTTCCCACCGGAGCAGTACCTATTTATCTACTTGCACTTCGTGCTTTCAAACTGCTAGGTTGGCAGGAGCAGGGACCGAGCAACAGGAGCTCACCCCATCACAGGGATTCGAACCGCGACCTTCTGATCAGCAAGCCCTAGGCTCTGTGGTTTAACCCACAGCGCCACCTGCGTCCCTAAGCTAAACATACCCAGCTCCTTTAACTGTTCCTCATGAGGCTTGGCTTCTAGACCCTTGATCATCTTGATTGCATCCTCTGCACACATTTCAGCTTGTAATATCCTTCTTAAATTGTAGCATCCAGAACTAGACACATTACTCCAGGTGTGGTCTGACCAAGGCAGAATAGAGGTGTACTATTACTTCCCTTGATCTGGACACTTCTGTTGATACAACTTCAAAAGCAGTAGCTGTTTTTGCTGCTGCATCACACTGTTGTCTCATGTTAAGTTTGTGGTCCACCAAGACCCTTAGATTTATTTCACACGTACTACTAGCACTCTAAGTGTCCCCCATTTTATATTTATGCAGCTGGTTATTCCTGTCTAAGTGTAGAACCTTACACTTCCTAAAATTCATTTTGTTACTTTCAGTAGGGACAAATGTAAAGTGTACAGATACACCAAACACAGAAAAAAATGAAAAAATATTAAGGTGCCAGGCTACACAAAGTGTTCAAAAGACCTGGCTGGAACAGAAAGGTATTCATGTGGCACTGGAAAGATGCCACGGGTACACTAGGTTGGCCTTTCTAGGACAGCTGTTCCATAAAAGCCCTCTCCCTGGTTGCCCATCTTACTTCTTCAATCAATGTTTTTTAAACCTTAGGGTTAATCCAAGGATGGAGTCTGTGAGTTGGGTCTCTTGCTCAACCTACTAAGGTGCAAACATTAAGCATTGCAATATACACTGGTCCAGCTGGTGGCAGCAGCAGTCTCTGTTAAGACCCTCCCAAATCAACTGAGCCAGTTGCAATATTATTTGCAATAACTGAGCAGATTGCAATAGTCTGACCAGCAGCTGTTAACAGAAAGGATGTGTACCTACAATTTTGCCCATGGTATGATTATTTTCCACCTAGTCCTTTTGATGCGTTGGCACCCTATTTGCAAATTTTAACAATTCCAAACTACTGACGTGCTTTCACTTACGCAATATTAAATATACTGCCTTCAGTTGTACTTGAGGGTCGATTTCAAAAATTTCCACTGGAAAAACATTGATGCCCATGTGGAGATGGCAGTATTGAATCAGTAGCTCATGCGCTTCTAGCTTGCTCTCTTTATAAAGATTTGAGGAGTAAGGTTATTACCCCTCTACTACTACCCATACTCAACCATTGCTGTGTCCTAGCAGATTAAGATAACCAGGCGACAGCAAATACTGATGTCAGATATCAGTCAGTAGAGCATGAGACTCTTAAACTCAGGGTCGTGGGTTGGAGTTCCATGTTGAGCAAAGGATTCCTTGGTTGGATTAAATGAACCTCTTGGGTCCTTCTAATTTTCTATGAATGTGGGTTGTTTTTTTTCCAAAAGGTTATTTTTTTTAAAAAAGCTTCCAGCACAGCTATCTGCACGCATGCTCTGCCTGTACGTAATTGGCATAATAAAAGCAAGAAATCAGAAGGTGGGGACAAGCACAAAAGACTGCATTTCCCAGGACCCCTCAAAACCATGCCACAACCTGGGAGAATGAAAAGAACTACGTCTCCCAGCATCCCCCGCGGGCTCCAGCCAAAGCCACGCCCTGAGAAGAAAAAAGAACTACATCTCCCAGCACGCACTGCAGGCTCCAGCCGAAACCACGACCCGGGAGAAGAAAAAGAGCAGCGTCTCCCAGCGCCTAAGCAGCCGCCTGAGGGGAAAAGGAAACACTACAGCCCCCAGCATCCTCCGCGGCCCCTCCCTCTGAGGCGGCCCCTCAGCCGCGGTCCGGCGTCGCCGGCGCCTTGCCCATGGCCGAGAGCGGGGACCGCGGCGGCGGCGGCGACGGCGGCTCGCCGAGCCCGGAGCCCGCGGCGAGCCCCGGCCCTCCCGGGCGGCCGCCCCCGCGCTGCCGCTGCCCCGCCTGGAGAAGCCCCTGCGGCAGGCCTTCTACAACACGGGCGCGCTGGTGCTGGCGGGGCTGTGCTGCGGCGCGGCGGTGCTGGTCTACTTCATCCTGGAGGCCTTCCTGCGGCCGCTGCTGTGGGCCGCGCTGTGCGGCACCTTCCTGCACCCCTTCAAGAGCTCCCTGACGGCGCTGGGCCGGGCCTGGCTGCGCCGCCTGCGCCGCTCCGGGGCGCCCGTGCTGCCCGCCGCGCTGCTGCTGCCGCTCTGCTTCGCCAACGCCGCCGCCGAGGCGCTGGGCCGCCAGCTGCTCCGCCGGAGGAGGCTCCTGGTGCTGCTGGGCGCCGGCGGGCCCGCGCTCTACGGCTGCTACGCGCTCGGGGCCTCGCTCGGGGCCCGCGCCGCGCTCGCCCAGGCCGCCGGGGTCATCGGCGCCGGGCTGGACTGCTTCAGCAGCCTCTGGGTGAGTGGGGGCGGAGGGAAAGAGAGCCTCCGGGGCATGTGCAGAGCGCGTGGGTCGCATCCCAGGTCGGGTTCCCCCAGCCCTTTAATCGCAGCCCTATAAAGCGCGCCCTCGGTTCGGACAAGAGGATGCGGCTTCCCGCAAGGTGGTTTTGGGTTGCCCTTTGGTGGACTGGATTACGCCAGGAAGAAAGGAGAGGGGAAGCTGATTTAAGTTTCCCATTGAGAATGCTTCACACCTACACGGTGGTGCAAAACTGACCACTAAACCAGATTAGGTAAAGGGACCCCAGTCGTGGCCGACTCAAGATCAAGGTGAGGGGCAGCGAAGTGCCAATAGGCAACAGGTCCAGAAGAAGAGATCTCAGTAACAACTCACTTTTTAGGTGCCCAGTTTCCAGTGGTTGCTTGTCCATCAACTGCTGCAGTTAGCTCTCAAGAACTGTAAAAGGTAAAGGGACCCCTGACCGTTAGGTCCAGTCACAGACAACTCTGGGGTTGTGGCGCTCATCTCGCTTTACTGGCCGAGGGAGCCTGTGTACAGCTTCCGGGTCATGTGGCCAGCATGACGAAGCCGCTTCTGGCGAACCAGAGCAGCGCACGGAAATGCCGTTTACCTTCCTGTTGGAGCGGTACCTATTTATCTATTTGCACTTTGATGTGCTTTAGCAGGAGCTGGGACCAAGCAATGGGAGCTCAGCCCGTCACGGTGATTTAAACCGCCGACCTTCTGATCGGCAAGCCCTAGGCTCTGTGGTTTAACCCACAGCGCCACAGATTACTTTGCAGCAAATACACTGCTGTTTGCACGCCCACCCCTGGTTAGGACAAGAGAATGTGGCTTTGGCAGAGTGAATTGATTTAAACTAGCAAGAAGAAAGAGCAGTGTGTTTTTAGACACCTTTACACCTAAACTGTGACCGCTAAACCAAATTAATTCACAACAAAGCTGGTATTATTTACATGATTTCATCTTTCCAGGCTTTACATCACTTCTCATACTGTATATACATTTCACATGCTTTCCTTGTTTACCTAGAAAGCACGTGTCTTTGAACTATTAGGCTATGTGGTTAGTAGGAATGTAGGAACTTGAACACTGGACAATTTTGTCTTCTTTCCTGTGTTGCTGTTTTTGTTTCACTCAGCCTTGGCCCAGCCCTACCCCTAACTCAAAATAAAGCAGCAAACAAGAATTAAACACTCATGGTCGATAAGTAGGGTGGTTAGATGATGAAAACCTGGGCTCCTTGAGCTTTAATGGATGTGGAAAAGGGAATTTTCAGCAGGTGTAGCTTTCATGCTCTTGTGATAGGTCACAGCACAATTTGATAGTTAACTGAGAAGGTGTGACAGAAGGTCTTGGGATAAACATAGAATATGTAAACTATCTTGAATAATGAATTGCAGTCACTGAAACTTATCTTAAGATAATTTCAAGAAGGTGCAGGTCCCAGGAAAGATTGACCCATAGCACTGTGCACAGGGCTTTAATTGAGCGTTGGCTCTGCACTGGAACCTGTCCAGTTTCAGCACCAGGGAGATGTGACATAATGGGGAATTTTGTGGGGGATCTCCCACATCTTGAATATTCAATCGCAGCCACTTGGAACTGCGCCCACAGAGAGGTTAGAGGATGCAGCTTCTAGGAAAGCTTGAATCCTAGCAATAGGGCTTCCTTTGAGCTGGGGCTACATTCTGGAACTTGCCTTTAACACCAGAGATCAGCTTGGAAGATGTCACCTAAACAAGTGTGCCTCTAAGTATCTGCATTCTGGCCTGACTACCCTATTGTTCTCTGATGCTTCCAGTTGTCCTTTTGATCTCCTCCCACCACAAAAGCAACTCTCCCTCTTCTGTCCTCTTCCCTCCTCTGTTTAAACGTGTTTATTGTCTCCCCTATTTTCAAAAAGCCATCCTTTGATGTATCTTCCCTCTCTCTTCTGCCCTTTGTCTCCAGACTCCCATTGTGTTTTACTTTCCTTCTAACTCAGATCTTGATTTTTTTCAGTCTGATATCTACTCCCTGGATTCTGTTGAAACTACACTCACAAAAACACTATTCTGCCCTCATTGTTTACATTTATGCTGTCTTTGATACAGTTTATCACTCTCCTGCTTGGTTCCTTTTATGCCTTGGTCTAGGTTTCTATGGTTCTGTCTTGATACGGTTCTTTTCCTTACCAGTTCAGGCTGAGGTCCTAACCTCACTTATCTGGAAGTAAGCACCACTTAATTCAGTAGGACTTACTTTTGAGTAGACATGGTAAGAATTGAGCTGTTAATCATTCTTTCATAGTTTTATTATTTTTTCAGTTTATATACCACCCTTTATCAAAAGATCTCAGGATGGTATAAAACATTAGAAACACGATACATCAGTGCATAGTAAAAAGCATACTGACAGACAGATTAATAGTAAAATAATCACACTTTCACAGACCGTAGATTATTTAATAGCCATAGGCCTAGGTGAAGAGGACTGTTTTTGCCTGGTGTCCAAAGACATGTAATGATGGCGCCAGGTGAGCCTCTTTGGGGAAAGCATTTCAGAGTCACGTAGTCACACTAGAAAAGGCTCATCCTTGGTTTTTTTTCCCTCTGCTGAAGTCACTTGGGATTTGTTTTTGGCCCTCAGCACACTATTTCTGGTTGATGGTATCAACACTCACTGCTTTCTGTGCCACAAATGGATGACATCCAGCCTTACCTTTCTACTCCTGAACTGTCTCCCTTTCTTCAGTCCTGCATCTCCAGCTGACTCTCTGATCATCACATGCTTTTTGGTCATTTCAGTATGTCCAAAGCCAAACTTTTAATCTCCTTTCCCAAGTCCTACTCCCTCTTACGCTCATTTATCCATTGACAAAGTTACAATCTACTCTGATGAACAGTCATGAACAGCTTTATGGCTGATTCCTGCTTGTTTCTTGTGTTCAGTCTGTTACCAAGTAGGGCTGTGCAATAAATTGCCATATTGTTGAATATTGGTATAGAAATAACATCATGGTAAGTGTTTCAACAAGGCCATATACTGGTGAACCAAAGGTGGAGACTTGACAGCTTCCCAGGGGGTAGGTTGGCAGAAGGTCGGTGGTTCGAATCCCCACGATGGGGTGAGCTCCTGTTCCTCGGTCCCAGCTCCTGCCAACCTAGCAGTTTGAAAGCACACCAAAAAAAGTGCAAGTAGATAAATAGGTACTGTTCCGGCGGGAAGGTAAATGGTGTTTCCGTGTGCTGCTCTGGTTTTGGTGTTCCGTTGCGCCAGAAGTGGCTTAGTCATGCTGGCCACATGACCCGGAAAAACTGTCTGCAGACAAACGCCTGCTCTCTTGGCCTGTAAAGCAAGATGAGTGCCACAAACCCAGAGTCATCTGCGACTGGACTTAACTGTCTGGGATCCTTTACCTTTATCTTTTTGCTTGCTTGCCCTCCCTCTTTCCCTTTGATAAAAAGGGAGAGATTGATGGCTTTCAGGGGGACCGTTCTGTGGGGGGGGGGGGTGGAATGGAGTGGAGAAGATTTAGCTGGCTGCCTTATGCTGAAATTGAAGCTTGGGTACTATGTGAGAATGATGGGGAGGGTGTTTTTCGGTAAGCAGTGAAAGCAAATGCATGTCTACTCACAAGTAAGCCCTACTGAATTCAATGGGGCTTACTCCCAGGAAAGTAGAAGTAAGTTTAGTTGGACTCAGTAGGGCTTATGCATGCATAGATTCCATTTAGACCTCGTGAGTGGGGAAGCAGATGCTACTTGCCTAGTAAATCACTTAAACTACTCTTAAATTAGTTGAAAATATTTTAAATATATGGAAGTTTATTTAATATTTTTATTAAATCTACTACTTCCTTACATTTTAAGGTCCTCCATGGGGAGGCACGGCAAGGCCCTCTGCTTATGCGGGGAAGCGCGGCACACCCTCCGCTGCTGCAGAGAGGTACGGTGAGACCCTCTGCCACTGCGGGGAGGTGCAGCAAGGCCCTCTGTCACCACGGGGAGGCCCAGCAAGGCTCTCCACCACCACAGATATATATCATGATATGTCAAGATATTGTGATGTTTAGCTGTTGATATATCATGATGTTGAAAACCAGGTATCAACCAAGTCATGCTGCTGCTTCCTTTTTCTCTTGCAAAAAGTGACTCTTCCTCTGTAGACTGCTTGGACTACTGCAATATTCTCTCTGGTCTTGGTTCCCCCGCATCTAACAGATGCCCCTCTCTTGTCATTGTGATGTTGTGAGCCTCTCCTTAAACCCTACACTGACTTCCAGTCTTTGCCCTTCAGAGCCGTCCATGGCCCTTCCTCCTAATCCTTCTGCTGTTGCATTCTGACGCACCCCTGCCTGTATCCTTTTCTCCAGCTTTGCCATCTTCAGCCACCTGGAGGTCTGCTACCTCAAAGAGCTCACTCCTTTGTTGTCCCATAAACTTAGAACTGCCTCCCTGTATACCAACATCATGCTGTTTTATTTACATCTCTCAAATCCCTTCTCAAACCCCACTTTTCTGTGAAGACTGGCTCAGTCCCTAGTAATCATAATAATAATAATAATAATAATAATTTATTATTTATACCCCACCCATCTGGCTGGGCTTCCCCAGCCACTCTGGGCGGCTTCCCACAAAACATTAAAAATACATTAAAACAACAGTCACTATACTTCCCTAAACTTCCTGTGCCCTGCTGTAAGTGTAACTGGCAGTGCAATCCTATGTAAGTCTAGACAGAACTTAAATGGTTCTTGCTCCCAGGTAAACATGGGCAGGATTGCAGCTTGAAACAGTTGCTCTTTATCCTGTTGTTTCACCGTACTTCTTCTCCCTTTCTCTGTAGTTTCCTCTGTGTTGAATTTAGGTTATAGGTTCCTTGGGGCAGGGGCCTGTCTTTGAAGCACTATGCTCATTGTGGGCAATATACAAATAATAATTGCTTACTCTGAGAGTAAGTCAGGAAATGCAGTGTCTAGGAAAACTTGGATCCTTTTCAGAAATGAACAACTGGGCACCACGTCTCAGGGCTGTCGTTCCCACGTCAGAAGAGGCGGATGATCCTGAGCCTTCTCTTGCTAGAGCTGACGCATTACGCAGAATGAGGTGGTAGAATGAAGTGATATATTTTTGTACCACTTGAGACTGAAGATTTAATTTGCGCCATGCTTGTAGTAAACAAGCATGTGAAGGGGAGAAGAGGTTGCTAAAGTTTTTTTTGGGTGTGTTACTTTACTATATTCAGGGAGCTTCTTACACTGGTGAATATATCATAATGCAACCCTCCACCCCCAATTTACATTCAGAACTAATAAAGTGGGAAATCCCTCTTCATTCTGTGCAACATGTAGATCATAACTTACTGCATAAGATCACTGCTCAATTCACACTGCCCTGAAATAAAGACTTGTAGATATGTGTACTGTTTCAGTACATCCCTCTTTTGCACATGTAAAATCTTTATTTCTTATGGGGTACAAACATTTTACAACAACATGCTGTTTGTGTTTTTGTAATATATGTCTGACTCTTGTAGTTAGAGGTCATTGTAAACCTAAAGTTATGAAGCGTCCTGAAGAGTGAAATCTTTTAAGCATTTGCCCTTCTGACATCAAGGTTGGCAGTACTTGGCATTCTTGGGGGGGGACATTCTTGTCACTAGTGACATATGGCAAGTCCTGTTGTTAATGTTTCTATTGGTCCTACCATTGGGAAGGATTAGAGCATGTGTTAGTGTCATATTGCTGTGCTTAGTATTTTTATAGTCTTTCATATTGGTGAAATCCTTTGTTGCTTTCACTGCCTTTTCTTAGTTACCATGATACATTTTGGGAATTGTAACAGGAACTTTTGTGAGAGTTCCTGAAGACTCTGTGGCATTAATTTCACTCCCTTATGTTGTTTCACAGTGAATAGCAATCACTAACAAAACAGTACTTGGGTTTTGGTTCTTCAAAAATGACTACTTGTTCCCATTAAACTAGAAAACATAGGGAAGCACAGTAACAAAAAGCTGAAAACAATATATAATACTGGATTATATAGGATTTATGCCTATATCAGGGATGGCCAGAGGTTGCACCATCTTAAAGAAAACCTTCAGTTACAGAGTAAGCACTCAGGCGCAGGCAGGAAATCTCATATAAAATGCAAAGAGGAGAAGTAGTGGGGCCAGGCAATATATTGATATATCTTCCAAAACTGGTTTGAAGTCCATATCATGATAATGGTTTCATATTTTTCGACCTGGCAATATATCGTGAATCATGGTGTGGGTATGCATGTGTATGTGCCTGCTATGCAGAAATCACAATGTGGGGAAAACCGTGAAGCCACCCAATGCCTCTAAATAGTTCTATCCTTATTTCAGATGTTTTGCTATATCTGTATATCACAGTGTTGAAAACCATATATCACCCAGCCCTAATGTATAATAATAATAATGTATAATAATAATGTATAATAATGTATAATAGCTCATCACTTAAAACCACAGAACATCTTTTCTTTTCCATTATAGGCAAAATTCTTGTTGTACCTTGATTTTTTAAAAAAGAGACAAGGCTGCTAGGGACTTTAAAAAGCTATTTGGATTGAAGGAAGCCCATTTTTTTGTTTTTTGTTTAATGTAATCTGTTTTTATTCTGCTTAATAATTAAAGTTGCCAGTTGGGCAGCTAACTTGGGTTTGCCAGGGATGAGTACTGATAGCTGTTTTATTCCCTTTTCCTGTTAAGATATGGACCTTGATAGCAGGCTATTTATTGACTGTATTATTCAAGTGGAACCCAAGCACTGAACGTTACTTGAGAACAATCTCTGTTCCTGTCTGGATTCTACTGCTCTTCCATTTGGGTGAGTAACCTCATAAAAATATTTATTTCATTTATTTGTTGTTTTTCAGGACTTGGCTATAAAGTATTTCTACAGATTTCTGAAAGAGATGTCTTAAACCAATTTTCAGTGAACCAGACAAAAGACCTCCCATTTCAAATACGTTATAGAATACCTTGAATTAAAACTTAATTAAAATAAATAGGGTTTATTCACAAATATGCACTAGTAAACAATGATTCATGCTGGCCTTGCAAATTGGGATTATAAATTAAGGTATGGTCATGGTTTTGCATTGTATCTGAACCATGCCTGGAATCCAGTTGTAATGGGAAACCATAGTTTTGTTCTGTGAATGAATCTGCTGGAACCTCAGGGATGCATGCTCCCATCTTCTTTTTCTTGTGGTAGAGGAGGAGTTCAAAAGGTCGCACTTCCACTTGCAAACTAACCACAGTTCCCTGTGACATCTAAACTCAGCAAGCTGGTTTGTTGAAACTACAGTGAGAATAAGTGAGGATCAAACCATGGTTCAGATCCAGATCTCACTAACCAAGGGAGAATTATTGGGCTGTCTTTGTTTTTGTTTTCATTATATAATTATTGTTTTTTATGTTGTGAACCGCCCTGAGATCTACAGGTATAGCTAGAGCGGTGTACAAATTTAATAAACAAACATAGTTCAACCACAAATTTTGATGCTTAATTTCTGTGCTTAATTTGCGGTAAAACTGGAAGCTTTCACTCTGCTCTGATATGTGAAAGAAGAGGGAGGAATGTGAGAGCCCAAGGCCAACCAGATTCTGTGGACCTACAACTTCTAGACAGCATGGCCAATGGTCAGTTTAAGTCCTAGCCCAGAAACATCTGAAAGGTCATGGGTTAGCTACTTCTGATTTAGTAGGAAATGGTGGTTTCCCTTATATGAACTGCCCAGAGTGTGGTTATTTTATTACAGTTCTTGTTGTCTCCCTTTGGAAATAATGCTTGTGTTTTCAGAAGTAGTATTATCAGAGTAAATATATCCAGTCAAAATGTAGTCTTTTCATTTCATCTATAATAAGGTTTTTGCAAATATCTGTCAGGTAGCGCCAGTCCTACCTGATTCTTCTGTTCATTCCATTTACTAGTTTATGCATATTAGGATGTTGATTTTAGAAAGGATGTTGATTTTATTCATAGGTCCTCCTTTTTTTCAGCTTCCGCAGCAGGTTCTTGGAAGATTCCAGTGTTTTTGGTTATAGTTGTCTTAATGACTGTGGGTATGTTGCACGAGCACCCGAGTGGGAAAGAGTCTTCAGGTGAGAAACTCTCTTTCTCTTGTAGTTCCATAGTAGAGATAGCTAAGCTATGGCCCTTCAGATGTGTTGGACTATAGTTCCATCAGCCCCAGCCAGCATGACCAATACTGGTAGATGATGAGAGCAGTAGACCAACATATCTGGAGGACAATGGGTTGCTTACTCCTGTTCTGGAGTATCTTAAGTGAGTGGTAGCTGCTGAAAAAGAACGTTGTCTTGGTTTATTCTGGTGTGACTGAAGCTGTTGACAGTCCATGAATGGGAACAGAAAAAAACCAATTAAACTACTTTCAGACCTTTATAAGTATTTTATTTTTTATAGGGGTAGAGCTTCCTGGTCAGATGGTTTCTATTGCAGCATCTACAATAGCCATGGCAATATCAATTACAGGATTTGAATCGAATAATGAGGAACATTCACCGCAATCCTCAGGTGACTGAATATTCTGTAAGAATGCTAGACATTTTTCAGTATGTTTGCATGCTTTAATCTTGCTCTTTGAATTATTAAATTTATATACTGCCCTTTGTCCACGGATTGCAGGGCAGTTTAGCTATGCTTATTTTGTTACTGCTTGTTTGTTCTGTAATTCATCTTTCAGCTCTGTCATTTGTTCCTTAAGATTACTGCATAAAGTGCGAAATATGCAACTTGTATTTTAAACTGTCATGTTAATGGTGATTTTAGTGATGTGGCATTATAATGGCTGAATGCCATATTGAAAGATAACAGTTTAACTATTTGTCAGATGATAAGGCACACAAGTAATCCTTGAGTATTTGTATGGATAAACTGTTCTCTGGGCAGGTGGTGATTACATTAGCAAGTCAGATTCTGTCAATTTAACTTGGTTTTTTAATACACTCTGCAAACAATAAGGACTATTCTCAAAATTTCACAGAACATAGTTGGAAATTTGAGAGCTGTGAGAGAAATCTCACAGGTGTTTTTTTCTTGCTAAATTGTTCAGTTGATCAAATATTAGTTTCATGTGGATTTTTTCATGATACACAAATTGATTTCTGAGATTTTAGTGACCATGTTGTCAAATTTAAATAGGGCTTCAGCACCATCCAAAACCATGGATTGCGCAAGCAATAATTCAGAACTCCATCTGTGATTTGTTCTGCCAAACTTACTTTTATGTAATGTTTATATGCATACCATACAGCTAAAACTAAATAAACCTACCAACAGAGTAATTCCAAATATGAAGTAGCAGTTTATAAACCAAGCAAACCAAATTCAGTCAGATGACTTCTGTTTAGCCTGTTTTGATTGCAGTCTTGAGCAGTTGCTATCGTACAATGTGCATGACTTCAGTTCATCATTTTCGATGTTTGTTTGTGAAGGGTCATTCATACTGTCACTCTTGCAGAAATTAATCTTGCTAGTCAAATACTGGAAACTCAAGGAGACGTATTCTGCACAAAACAGAAAGCTTGAATGCTCTAAGAGTATGAGAATATGCTATCAGGGAGGTTTTTATATACTATTAGATTAAACTTTTGTAATTGTAGTTGTGTTTTGAGCTTGTATTTTGCAGAGTTTTTGAGGCAAATGTATAGGTAAACTGTAATTTAGAGTTACTTATCAACTTCTGTTTTCTGTCTACTCAATACAGTGATCTTTGGAATGCTACAGCTATGCTCTGTAAATTCAAACAGGAGACAAATCCATGGTTTACAATCATCTGGGTCAAACCACGTATCTGATTCTTGGTTTCAGTTGAAACTTTGTGCTAAACCATAGTTGGACTTTAGACATCACACCAAATCATGCTTAGCCAAACCTTGGCGTATGAATAGATTATTTGTATATAAGCTTCCTTTTGAGATTTCAGAATTCCAAGCATTAAGCCTTTGATTAAAACACTGCAGCAAAAGTTATTTCTGTGTACACTGAAAGCAAATATTTCACTGAAAACTAGAAAGCAATTCTCATTTTTAAGTTTTTCTTCTTTATTTTTTAGAAATGTATGATTAAACTCATTTAGTTCTGGATACGTTGGGCTTTTGGGAAATTACAATGTGGTGTTAAATGCATAGTAGTTTGTATGGGTTTACATGAGACTGGTATACATGGCTTCCCAAGCATCTTAGAATCAGTTCTGATGGCTGCTGTGCTTCTGAATAGCAGTTTGTTTATTTATTTAAACAATTTATATACCACTTAACTGCAATTGTCTCTTAGTGGTTACAAGAATTGAATACAGAAAAGGTAAGAATATGTTAAAATGATAGAATCAGACTTCAGTTAAAATGTTTGACCTCAACTGGAAGGGAGTACTACAAAATTCAAGTTAAAGTTAAAACTTGCCAGTCTTGTTGAATGTATTATATAGCTGACTTTTTCTTCTTCCAGGAACCGCAGAAAGTAGTGCCACATCTTCTCCATCCACTGTGAGTGGCAGACAGAGACCTGAGATCGGAACACTTCTTAAAAAGAAGAATACAAGTGATATCTACTTTGTTCTGCTGGCGTGGGCCATTGTAATAGTTCAAATATGGTTGAATCTCTGGATAATACAGCTGCTGCCCGTACCTGTTGCAGGTTGTTCTCTATTTTCTTATATTGTGAGGTAAAACAATATTTAGATGAAAAACCTTCAACCAAAGTCTCCACAGTGCAGATCAGTTGTGAAGATGGAGAAAAGAGAGTTTGTCAAATTGTAAGGAAACAGAAAACTTTCAGTTGGCTGAATCAAGACTCAGGAGAGCAGAACAGTGGCTGTGCAAGGGAGTTTTGCTACACTTTCCTCTATACTGCAGCTCCTTGTGTTCCCTGAAAAGCCACCATTATGGGTCAGATCCTCTGAATCCCTGTGGGATGTGGCACAGAGGAGAATTTAAGGAAACTGGGCAGGCAGCCTCCTAATACATACCCTAGCATCACATACCCTAGGTCATTTTGTGCTACAGAGTATAAATAGTAAGAGGCACCAGTTGAGCTGGTGTGGACTGTATGGAACATAAGCAGCGAACTGGAACAAACCAGGGTCTTAAACCATGTTTATGAAATTAATAACATCCTGGCTTGTTCTGAAACTGTTGACCATTGTTTCTCAGTTTGGTAATGAGTGCTTAGCTGGTGATATATCATGAAATTGAAAACCAGATACCATCAAGCCCTACTGTTTGCCTCTGCATAGTTCCATCCTTATTTCAGACATCATGATATATTGGTATATTGTGATGTTTAGCTGGTGATATATCGCAGTGTTGAAAACCAGATACCACCCAGCCCTGTTGGCTACCCTGCATGTGATCATATGACAGTTGATGCCTTGAAGATTTTTCCAAAGTGGTCATCAGAGTAGTTAGAATACTTCTGGATTGGACTCCCATAGGAGGAAGGATGATATTGAAATAAAAAGAATACTTAAAATATAAAGAAAAAGAAACTTAGTTGAGGCCTAAGGATCAGGCTGAACGTGTTGTGACTTGCTCATATATGAATTTCTATTTATAAGCACAGTGACATGGAGCTGATTTACCTATTGCAGTATAAGAAAAAAGTTGGCAAAGGAATTATCTGCCCTGTCTGGGAAGACTTTGCTGTGTCTTTGTCATTTGTTCCTTAAGAGTAACACAGTCATATAATTAAGTCTTGTATAAATAATTTTAGCCCCAAAACATACGGCTAAGCTAGATTTTGGTGGTAATGAGCAGAATATGTTTAATCTTTATGCTAGTTACATAATTGCCTCAGAAACTCCCGGTCAGTCTCCATTACGTGAGGGGAAAGTAAGTACCCAACAAGTTGCTCTTCCTCCACTGACTCTTCTTATAATTTTGATTTCCCCAAACAGTATTTCCAGCAGCAGCAGACTGAGCTGTGTGCAGTTCACATTGAAAACCGTAGGCATCATGAGTAATTTCAGACACCATATTAGTTTCAAACTATGGTTTAGAATCCTCTGAGGCTTTCTATGTATTGTGAGACTCCGAAACATATTTAAACATGTGCCTTGTTGCATTTGCGCTGTGTGTATCTCAGAAAACTGAATATTTTTGGAATTTTTAGAATCCTTCATAATTTTTACCACTAATTGGAATCAAGGAGCCTTCAAAGTTCTTAATGTTGAGGTGTGGTGTGTGTACCTATTTTACTCTAGCTCTTGTAACTACGGAATATATATTACTATCTGTATGAACCTATTAGCTATTATGTACCTGAAGCACATATTTTGGGAAGTTTTTGTTTCAGGCATCCAAAATTATTTTTCTGCCTATATCAGCAAAAGAAATGTAGCAGCCATTTTAGCATAGCTTTCTGCAATATTGCTGTGTTCATTTCCCCCATATTTTTAGTAAGTCTTCTTTTAATATTGCAGTGTGGGTTGTCAAAAAACTTGTGGTCCACTTTGGAGTGGTGAAATTTCTGGTGAGTCACTGCAGCGTCTGGTGGCATGTCCTTGAAGATTTTGTGAGAGAACGTCAAGAAGCTCTTGCACCACGACCGATCAAGGGCCTCGGAAGAGTCATTCTAAAGCTAGACAGTAAGGTATTTAAAGTTGCTTCTTAAACTTGTCCGTCTCTCTGTGTGTATCATATATAAAATTTATTTAAACATTTTTATCCTGATTTTCAACCAGAGCATCAGCTATATTGGGGGAGTGGGGGCAGAGTCAAACCGGTTTTGCCTATTTCATTTACAAATACGTTCATGCACTGTAATGAATGCACAGAACCCTTTAGTATTGTACAATCCTGAAGGTAATTTGCACCGTTTGGGTTTTAGGTTGTAAACAGTACTAGTTACAGAGTTAGGGTTGTTGTAGTTAATGGCTTAGGTACAGTGTTCTTTTGACCAGAACTCAAGCCATAGGATGCTCCTGCGGGTGAAAGGTAGGGAGGGGACTTTTGCTGATTGTAGCCCTTTGTGCTTCATGAAAATTTGCTCCAGCAGGTTTTGGGATCATCATACACATACACATGTCTGCCAATGGGAGTCCCCACTGGATCGGAGAACTTAGGTTCCAAGCCTCTTTTGTCTATAGTCAACTGAGCCTCCACAGACCAAATTTCTTTTTCCCTCCCCAAAGAGGGACTCCCATTAATAAACCCATCCAAAGGAGTTGTCAAATACATACCGCCTTGGCATTAGTAATGGAGACGCTTCCTTCTAGATGACTTGCTGGGCCACATTCTGCACTTTTCAAAGGGTGGGAAACAGCAGGCCAGGTGAGAGCTTGCTACATTAATGGAAACAAACGTTAGGGTGCCTTTCCAGTTGTGTAGTACTTGGCCAGTCTGAGAAGCTGTAACAGTTGTGGGTGAAATTTGCTTTCTAACCTACCATGTCTCGTCATATGGAGACTACCCTGATAATGTTTGTTTGTTATAAAATAAAAAATATTCTTTAAAAATGGTAAAAGAGAAACCTTTCTCAGAAAAGTCACTGTGGACATAGATCATGATACAGTTTGCATGTACAGACACCCCTCCATTTATGCACGTTCGGTATTTGTGCAACCGCACATACGCGCATTTCACCAAACCTGGAAGTGACTTTAAAAACGGCAAAAAAGGCCCTAAAAGAGTTCAGAAAGAGCAAAAAAAAGGGCATGAAAACAGCGCCCAGCTATCCCAGGAGCCTTTGCACCAATGGTTGAGGCCTGTGGAGAGTTGGAGCCTTGGAGGGAGCTTGGTGGAGTTTGGCATCTGGTAAGTGCTGCTGGTTTTTAAAAGGGTTTTTCAAGGATGTTGAGAGGCTTAGAGAGTGTTTGCAGGCTTTTCCAGTGGTGTTTCAAATATACGCAATTCCATGTGTGGGCCTCGGGACATAACCCCTGCATAAATGGGGGTTGCTTGTAAATTAATTGCTGTATCAGGGGCAAAGGTCCTGGACTACAGAGTGCAGTACTCAAGCTGTGGGGTAAATAGTTCTAGGTGACTAGAGAGGGGGAATGTGACACAACAGGAATGGATGGTGTCTTTAAATAATCATTCATCTTTGAATGATGATCGAGCTTCAGCTTTAAATAATCAGTCCAAAATCATCAAGTTCCCCCAGTGCCTTGTGCATCTTTTACATTTTCTGATGGCACTGACTATTCTCTTATATTATCTCGGTAAACACTTAGAACCACCTTACCATACCTGCAAATGAGCATTGTGATATGAAATCATTTACAGCTTTTCCTATGCGTCTAGACTAATATCTTAAGATAAGCAAAGTTCAATAAACGCTGCAAGCTAAAGCACAGAGTAAATCATTATCATTCTACTGTTTTATTATAGTATAATTGGGACAAAACAAACAATAGAGTCCACTGAATATTAATTGAATGTCTAGTTGTATGAGCTTTTAGCTGTATCGGCCTCAGCAAAGCAGTTTCACGGAGTCCGCACCCCACTGCCGGCTTGTGCGGTTGCCTTTCCCCTCAGCCAAGCAGTTAACGGAGCCCCCATCCCACTGCTGGCTCATGCAAGCCGGTGGCAGAGTGGGGGATCCTTTACAGTGCTCCTGCCCCCCAGCTGAATAGCCCTGATGCGTTGAAAACCTGACATTGCCCAACCCTATGCTCAGTGAGGCAGAATATTTCCAATATGTTAACAGTGCTGCTGAAAGTGTCCAATGAGCTGCCATGCTTAGTTTAAAGTGCTGGTACTGGTGTACAAAACCCTATGCAGTTTAAGACTAGGATACAGTGGTGCCTCGCAAGACGAAATTAATCCGTTCCGCGAGAGTCTTCGTCTAGCGGTTTTTTCGTCTTGCGAAGCAAGCCCATTGACGGATTAGCGCTATTAGCGCTATTAGCGGTTTAGCGGCTATTAAAGGCTTAAAGGCTTAGGGGATTAGCTGCTAAAAGGCTATTAAAGGCTATTAAAGGCTTAGCAGATTAGATAAAGGGGGGGGAAAGCGGAAAAAAAACCTCAAGACTCGCAAGGTATTTTCGTCTTGCGAAGCAAGCCCATAGGGGAATTCGTCCTGCGAAGCAACTTCAAAACGGAAAACCCTTTCGTCTAGCGGTTTTTCCGTCTTGCGAGGCATTCGTCTTGCGGGGCACCACTGTACTTAAAAAAATAATCATCCCTTATATATCCAGTCTATCACTGTTGTATGTAGTGGAAGCCCTCCTGCAAATACCATCTCATCAAGTTGTCCATTTCCTACGATGTAGGAATCAGACCTTTAGTGTGGTGACATCTACCCTCTGGAACTCCCTCTCATGGTGTCATCTCTGTGATCTTTTAATTGTTTATTTGCACCAGCTATTTTTAATCCCTTAATCACCAAGGTTTCTAAGTGGTGTACATAAAAATGACAGAAGCATCCATTGAAGGCCTTCCTATTTCAGCAAGCCTTGTAAGTGGACATTCTTATCCCATCTGTATTGAGCTTGAATTTATTTTTATAGTTGATGCTTTTATTGTTAGATCACTTCAGGATTGTTTCTGGGAAGCAATTCATTAAAAAAAATAAAATCTGGAATGACGATTGAGGTTGGATCCACTCTTCATCTTATTTCTTGTTCTGGTTTTCTAGAAGGTATTGCAATAGATTATGTTTAGGATTTTATCTTCAGATTTGCTCATCTACCTTGTAGTAAATGCATGAATTCTCTGTGTAGTGAATTCCAGTGTTGCATGCTGTAATTTCCTACTGCTTCCTCAGTGATTGACATGCTGTGGTCATTGTAGCAGAATGAAAGTGCCTGGCTACTTCATTACTGACTTGCTACCACTTGTGTGGATTTTCTGGGGGAAAGTCCTATACAAAATACGAGTAATTTGCATAGGAATGTTTTCAGTTTGCATTGGAAAATATTCTGATGTCTTACGAGAATGAACTAATTTAGCATGCTTATTTTACTTCTGTTTAGTAAACAAAGCTAAAAGCTTTGAAAAGCTTACCTAATACTGATTTGCAATTGGCATCTATTTCTTTGTTAGTAGTGAATTTAATCAAATTGAAAAATTAAGGAAAATTTTCCGCTCTACATCACTGTTTCACTGGCCTTTAAGAAGATAATTAATTGGATTTGAAAGCTGCTTAATTTTGTAGTAGGTTATTTTCTTGTAGGTCATCTAGTTTCTATTGCCCAGTGTTACTGACGATGCCTTATTTCTTTGCCTTGGCAATGGCCTAGCAGTTTGCTCCTGCCATTTCAGTCTACACAGGTCACCTTTTAAAATGTACTACAAAAGTAACACGATCAGATATTATATAGAATTGATAAGCACAGTCTTATTTCTGCTCACTGGCCTCCAGCTGCAATTTCTTCAAGCACCGCTCTCCCATTACTCTCCGTTAAGCACCTTAAAGCACAGAATGACATGGTGCAACTAGCAGGTAATCCTATTGAAGCCCTAGTCTCCATCAGCGCTGAAGTGCCAAATGTTTTTCACCTAATGCCATTATTCCAGTTGATGGAGAAGGAATAAGAGAGTAGAAGCTGCTCTTTGAAAGAATTCTCAGGCCTCAGCGGCAATGTTTCTAAACTTTTTTTTGCATGAGCTGCCTTTGGGTAGATGGGCTCACTATAACAGAGCTGAAGTCCAAACAGCTCAAAGATATATTGAGAAAGATACCAGTTTCCACAGCATTCCTGGTATGTTTGTTCTTTGATGAGTCCAACTTGTTGTTTTTTTAAAAAAAATAGGTTTTGTTAAATAAAAATAATGTTTTTATTTGTCACACAATGAAAAAAAACACCATTAAAGACATGGCTGGAAAAAAATAAAAATCACATAACAGCCAACATACTGTGTTCTCCAATTGTTGCATAAAATATGGTAATGACCATGTACCAGTAATGCCCTTTAAGTACTGAGGACATAGGCCACCAGTGGGGTAGCTTGGATAAGTGTGGCTAAGGAAATAGATTCAAGTTCACATACCCATCTCCATCTACTACTTTTGCTGGAGCAAAGGTGTGTGGTAAACCACTGGATGCTAGACTTACAGAAGCTAAAGACAAAAAAAGATGCTATTCACAGCGAAAAGGAGCACAATTCCAAGTTGCAAAACTTTTTTCACTTCTCAAAGCAACCAAAATGGTAGTCATACAGCCCATCCAAATTCAAGTGATCAAGACCAAAACTGCAGAGGAGTGCAGAGATGCTTGTCCAACTCTTTATGGATCTTCTTTAAACAATTCAAGAACTAGAGCGCCACCTGATGCCAGGCAAAACCCAGCATGCCCATTAGAGGTCAACTGTTCCTATTTGCTTGGTAGTCATACAGCCCATCCAAATTCAAGTGATCAAGACCAAAACTGCAGAGGAGTGCAGAGATGCTTGTCCAACTCTTTATGGAGCTTCTTTAAACAATTCAAGAACTAGAGCGCCACCTGATGCCAGGCAAAACCCAGCATGCCCATTAGAGGTCAACTGTTCCTATTTGCTTGCATCCAGGAACAGACAGTGGAAGATTCCTGTGTCTGGCCTTCATTAGAGACCCACAAGAAGCACTGGTTGGCTGCAACAAGGAACTAGTAAATCTCAGAACTCGCTTCAAAATGGCCATGTCCTTGTTTGAACAGTCAATGTGTTTTGCAAAAGTGTTCATAAGCAGACAAGGAGGTGGGTGCTTTACGTCACACCACATAAAAACCAGTGACATAATGAAATGGGCATAGTAGCCCCTGTTGTTCATCAAATTGGAGTGTCAAGCCTGCAGACTCGCTCCGGAAAACGTATCTGGAGAGAGATGGAATGAGTCCTCAATCCCAAAATACTTTTGAATCTAGTTCAATGATTATGAAAACCTGAAATGGATCTCTTCACCAGTGCTGAAAATACTAAAGATTCAAGATTCTTTTCAAGGCATCTCTGTCTCAATTCAAAGAATACAAATACCTTTTGAATCCAAATTTTCATACTCGCCACCCTCTGCCCAGAGGACCAGTATAGGCCATGTTACACTTTTATAGGTAGAATTGTGTGTTAATCCAATCCTGACCTAACTTTGGGAGCATATTCAGTTTATGCCAAGGACATTTTCTGCCTGAAAATTCAGCTGGAGTGAGTTAGCCAGTCAGTCATAAACCAAACCTAACAAGAGGAATATGTAAATGCTGATCCTCCAAGAACATTATCTATCTATTTTAGCATTATTTATTATTCAGATAGTGTCATTTATAGAGCAAAATGAATATATAGTGCATAATAGTGCATATGAAAGGATAAACTTAACATACATTTGAAGATAATGATAATAAGAACACCATTAACATCAATTAATAATTAAGTAATAATTATTAAAATTGCTCACAGTACTTACATGCTTTGTGAACAGTGCCATTCACAACCACAAAATTGTGAATGCTGTACTGCTTGTGACATGTGCAGATGGCAAGCTCCTAAACATGGGCTGCCATATTTAGCTGTGTCATCCAACTTGGTTGATACCCAGCCTCGTGATATTTTCCGCTTCCAGCTGCATAATGTTAAGAGCTGCTCCATATCTGGGTTTGCAGTGCTACATGTTTTGTGTGTAGCATCAGTGTGTCTGCTATTGAAAGAGTAGGCACATTGGCAATTATGGATATTATTGAGCTGTGATGTTCCATCAGACATGAGTAGAATGAATTGCTGCAGCAGGACAAGTTTTTCCCCCATCTATCAGAGAGTTTGCTGCAGGGAGCCAAAGGAATGCTTCGTCAGTGTTTTGAAATGCCACCCATATTTTCCATGTTGTAAGTTTTCCCTGTGCCACAGAAGAAATAAACTATTGTAACCAGTAAAGGAATAGAAACCCATCAAAGGTCTGTGCAGTTCTCCTGGCAGTTGAGAGCAGATCTCATTAATGGGAACAAACTACTTAAATATTCCACTGTTATATTCACTCTACAAAGGCATCATTTTATCTATACAGATTTGATATGCCAAATACTGTCCCCTGGGGGGGTGGGGGTGGGAGAAGAATTCCCCCTCCTTTTTCTTTGGATTCTGACTATGATAATACCTCAAAATTACCAAGGTGTGTTGATTGCCAGAAGCAAAATATTGTTGGTTCTTTTACCTTTTACATGGATACCAGGAAGTTTCCCTTCCAACCTTTTGTCCTAAGCTGGTGCATCAACAGGCAAAGATGTGGCACAAACTGGGCATTTAAGGGGCTCTTTAATTGTACTTGGGGAGAGTGACAGACACTCTGAATCTCTTTTTTATTTCTTTCAGATTGGTTCAGAGGTTAGGAAAGTATCAAAACCCACCATTTCTAGGTAATTGGGTTGCAGCAGCCTCCTGAAGTCATTCTTCTTTGGCAGAAATTTGCAAAGTGGTAGTGTATTTTCCAGCACACAATTCTTAAGACATTGAACAATTGATGCCCTCAGTACATGCAGCATTTAGGGGAAGGGTCTTGCAGAAAGTAGCTATTCATAAAGTTTTAGTCCCTGGACCCCACTCTGGGACAGTACAGTGGTACCTTGGTTTACGAACTTAATCCGTTCCGGAAGTCCGTTCTTAAGCCAAAGCGTTCTTAAACCAAGGTGTGCTTTCCCATAGCAGTGGGGAACTCAATTTACACTCAACAGGAAGCGGAACATTTTCTGCTTCCAAGGCAAAGTTCACAAACCAAAACACTTCCGCGTTTGCAGCGTTGTTCATAAACTAAGCTGTTCTTAAACCAAGGTGCCACTGTACTGATTTTTAAAGAGTTCTGAACATTTTTGGAATGCCCTTTTGAGTCATGGGAGAAGAAGATATCCTACTCCTGTTCTCCATGACTGCCAGAGGGCATTCTGTTCATGTCTGTGCTATCCTTTGGGTCGGTGGTTTCTAGGCAGGGATCCCTGGGGTTGTTCCTATGGTCCTGTTCTTTTCTCTATACAGTTGTCTTTCTTGCACATCAAGTTAATGAGTTTTGTTATCGGTTTATAGGGTTGAGGGGTTATTCTAGTTTAGTCTGGGTAGAATGAAGGCCCCTCCCCTTGACGGAGCAGCTAAAGTGATTGCACCTTGCAAGGGGGGAAGCCTGCTGCCAAAGATTTTTGGAATGCCCTTGGTGAGTCAGGGAGAAGAAAAAAATACATGGTAAGTAATCTCCTTTTCTCTTCCCTATCTCCAGTCCCATGGCTTGTTAAATGAATTTAGCATTTTTCTCACCCCAGAAGAATGAACCCTTTTAAAGAGTGTCATCCAAACAACCCCAGAAGGCGGTTTGTTTTCTGTAGGTAATGCAGTTGTGTATATTTTAGCTCACAGTGGCCCATAAACTTTAGCTCAGGATACACTACTATAAATCAGTGCAGTCCGACTTCTGTTGGTACAGTGCATGTCTTAAAATTTCTAAATACTGTACATTTTTTTTCTGATTGAAAAAAAGGTTTTGATGGTTTCTGCCACGTCTTTACGGCTTTGATGAAAGTCTGTCTCTGGAATGGTTTCATTTCATTCCTTGGATAATCCAGGGGTGTGTGTTTTTCATTTTTGCACTACAATTGCATTCTTCAATAATTCTTCACTGTCTTCTTGTCTCTTTCTCTTCTGCGTTCTCCCACTTTCCTTCTCCCAAGCTGTGGCATTGGCTTAATAAGAAGGTAAATAAGCAGACAGTTTGTTTGCAGTTAATATATTTTGTGCCCTTTCCCAGCATGAAGTGGTTTTTGTTTCTTGTTGGTAACATGGCTTGCTCTTGATTTGCATCACAGCAATTTTATTCCAGGCCATGATATAAGCTACAGAAGGTCATTCAATGCCCTCTAGTTTTCTTTAGCATGCTTGATGAAGAAGGATTATGTACTGAACATTGACATTGAATGATATATGTTTCATTTGCCTCAAATTGAGATAACCAAACTTCACCTAGCTCATGTTTATACACAACCGAGAACTTGAAGCTGAGGAATAGATATATAAACCTATGTAGAATGCTCACACAACTTTTGGTGAATAATAAATAATATGGTCTTCATGTAAGCATATTGCTTCATTTGCTGCCAGAAGTGCAAATTGGGTGCCAGTAGAAGAGAGTTATTCGCAGTAGAGGAATGGCAAGAGGAAGATGCTTGTTTAACTCTTGCCCTTCTGCTGCTTTCTCTCTGCTTCCCCTCCCTGCAGGTGGTTTCCCCCACTTACCTTCCCAGGCAACCAAGAAATGAAATTACAAAGAAAAACAGGGAGTGGGGCAAAAGTTCAGCAACCCTTCTCAATTACATTTTCTCACCTGTAGGTATCCCTTCTCTGCTTTGGAAGCCCCATGTTTTGCTGCCAAACACAGAGTTCCACTCATCATCTCTCATTGGCTTCTGGGGGGGGGGAAATGTTTCTAAAAGAACATGAGGATGGAGCTTTTCAGTGATGTGATGGTGAATAAAGAATATAGAATGTGGGCAAAACATGGATTACCTGGGATTTTCATTTGCAACTGGGAGATGAGAGACTGCTACCTTGATGTGGAGAAGCTTCTGAACCTGGAAGGTTGCTGGGCAGTGGAGGGGAGAGAAAGCAGAATTCCACTTACTATATTGTTCATCAGCTCAGGTTCCCTTGCCTATAGTTTTTTCCCCCCTAAAAAGTTATAACTTAACAATACTTTTAATATTTGAAATTGTTTAAGTCTACTTTGAGCTAGTTCAAACAAAACCTGAAAGCCTGTTTAAGGAATTACGATGAGCCACAAGCTTGTGTATTCCCCCTCTGCGTCTGCACAAATTGCCCAACCATAATTAACCATGGCTGATATATCTACACTGATACCATTTGGGAAATTCTGTAGAATGCAATTGGCAGTTGCAGCTAGAATTGGTTTTTCCCATAATGTTCAAGAAAAAGCTATAAAACATATAAATACATGGTTATTCCTTGCATATGGCTTTTCTTAACCAAGCTGAAGCCAGTGCAATGTAAATTTACTAATAGGCTGATCTAAGATTGATGGGACATAATATTGCTTATGTTTATTTATCTCTTAGTAGACCTAATGGACTGTATCTTGACTAAGTCATATTCAGAATAGATTGTATTGATTTCATTAGGCCTACTCCCATGCATGGTTTATTCAGAAACAACCTGATCCCTGCAAATACTGATTTGAGAGAAAAATTGCATATTTGCTCAGAAAGATATTTCGTACATAATACTCTATGCACAAATATTTGATTGAAAAACAATTAAATATGTATATAAAATATTTGATGCTTGCCATGCCAAATTATTGTGTGCAATTCACACAGGAAGAATGTGCTTTATCCTCAAAGGACTATTTCCATCGTATAAGCATTTAAATTAAATTTCATTAGTTATACTGAATTCACTATTTAAAACAGTTTGAAATTTTATTCACTGCAGCTTTCCCCCCTGAAATTCTAAGAATAATAATCAGAAAACAATATTTACAAGAATTTCATTTAATGCATTTATTTTGTACTAGGGTTCAAAACACAAGTTTTGTGTAAAGTTATTTTTTAAAAATAATAATTAAAAATGAGTTTCATTGACTACATGCTTACTCTTCCTTAAGTGAACGACCTTCTGCGACTTAATGGTTTGGTATCTCTAACTCATAGATAATCATGACATTTGTTTGTAACTGTTAATAACTTCAATTAGTTACTTGATTATGAAACTACCGGTAAATCACTAATATTTTTCTGTGTGGGCAGGAAATGCAATCACTGATTATGGCCACCTGATAAGGGATAGTGGATGCAAGTTTAGCTTAAGTATATTTCAAGTCCTTACACATAAAATACGCAGATGGTTTGATGCAGAATCCAAGATCACCAGAAAGGTAAAGCGTGATCACTGAGGTGCAAGGTGCTCTTGAGTTAAAAATAAAGCCATTCATTCATTTGCCTCTAACTCACATTGACTTGCAGCAAGGAGCTAGTGCACACATTGTGATTCTGATCCTTTTATTGTGGTTAAGGAAGTGAACTGTGGGGTTTCGTTCCCTTCTGCACAAATTCCCACCATGGCTTTAACTATTACTAAGCCTTGTGTCAGCACTAATCTCAACTGTGATTAATGCTAACCTGGGTTTGTTACTACTAGGGTTTGACACCAGAGTTTGAAGCTAGTTACTCCTTGGATAAGGGATTAGGGGCCTTGTGTGTATCAGCCCTTAGTTTATTTCTGAAACTATTGGAAAACCTTCAAAGTCTTGACCTAAATCAGAGTAGCCAAGAAAATTGCATGATTAATCAGATGATTCAGTCATCAGTTTGCACCCATGAAGGAGAGGGATGGTTAATGATACACACAAGAGTATTGGCAGGCTTGGAGGATTTCCAAGGGTTGCAGAAATGTTTTTAAAACTTTTTTTTAAAAAAGAACCCTAAGGGGGAAAGAGATCCCAAAATACTTCAGTGATGGCTGAGCACTCAATAGTCACAAAACAGTGTCTGTTGCGGGTGAAGAGTGGAAAACCGGGGTGGGGAGGATGGAATGTAGTGGAGTGTTCTAGAAAAGGGCATGGCGACCTAGTTGGAACAATGAACAGAAGCATTCTTCACTGCAACATTTTGTTGATGGTCCCACTTGTCCCGTAAGTGTGAATAAGTGCATCAGTAAATAATCCTTTTGCAGTTGCAAGTAAAACATGTTCTAGAGTTAAAGAACTTTTCCAATGTGTTCACTTATTATGTGCTACAGTCCCAAGTTGTTAACATCACATGGCTAAATTTGCTTATTTGTTTCAGGGTGGCCTTATTTATGTTTGCATAGTTTAACTTTTTGTTCTTTTAATGTGACCCATGTATAGAAGGGCTATGAGACAGTAGTGCAAGTGCATACAGAGTATATAGTAATCAATAATAGTAGAGGAACATAAACCATTGTTCTTCTTTGTACTCCCTGTGCAGGCACACAAAGAGGGTCCTGTACAGAGCACAATTCAGAAACATGTAGAGCTTAAACTAACACATATTTAGGAGCCAACTGCACCCGCTGAACTAAGCATGCATGCTGTCAGAGATGGACTCTACACCTTCCTGCTCAGTTCTTCAACTACCACCCAGCAGCACTGTGGAAAATATTTCTGAGATCTCATGATTCCACTCACTCTAATGTTCTGTTCTGTTCTCTCTGTCTCTCTCGTTCTCATGTGTATGTGTGTGTTCTCTACTTTTGATTTCACTTCACTGTTATTTGATGTTACAATTGTAGTGAAGTGTCTGTGGTGCAGCAACTGTTTTAAAATTGCAAAATGCATAGGAGACAATGACAAACCACTGATAAATATGACAATTATAATATTTCTGTAAGAGAAGAACACAGGGTTTAGAGTGGTGTTTGCTGTCAGAAGATCATCAATATACACACATGTGGGTGATGCTTTTGGAAAGAGCTTCCTGTCTCCCAAGTGAATGGTTAATTATGCCTTGGCTATACACAGCTAGTGTTGGTGACTCAAGTTGTTTACCTTCTCCAGATGTGGAGGTAATTGTTTCAGTTTATGAAGAGGAGACCAAGGAACGTTCTTCCCTTCACTCTCCAGGTTGTGATGTGAAGTACCCACGCAAATCAATATTTCTGCCACTCCTTTCTACATCATTAACACTTCCACCGCACCCACCTTTTGTCTCTGGGCTGAGAACATCAGGTGTCTCTTAGGAGTTCCACCAAGGTGGTCATTAGGGCTGTTCATGTTTGAAGAACAGAGATCCTTTGTTCTCTATCCCTCGGTCATATTTACTCCCCAATCCAGGTAGAGACTATTTTACCCTAGAGGGAAAGGTACTGCTATGCTGCAACCTAGATCCCTACAATCACAGTGGCACCAGCATCTTCCTTCCCTTGAAGGTTGCTATGAGGCTCACTAGCCATCTTTATGTCTTCTGGATTACTGCTGCTGTGGCCTGGCAACTGTGTCTAAACTCTCCTGGGGTTATGATGATGTGTTTATATAACATTTTACATACTTTAACATGACTTCCCTTCTCTTTCCATGGTTCATTTTGTATATCTTACATCCCTGCGTATTTTATAATAACTATTCCAATTGGTTTTCCTCTATTACATCCATCAAAAATTATTCATGTTGAATTTATCTTAATTCTGCCAGCATTTTCAGCTGTACACAGTTATTTTCCATATACTCAGTAAGCGTTTTCCAATCTTCTTTAAACGTATGTTCTTCTTCTTCTATCTGTTAAATCTGCAAGTTATGCTTGTTTTGTCAACTGAAGTTGCCAATCTTCTTTAGTTGGGACCTCACATACTTCCCATTTGGGGGCTAACAAAACATGGGCCACAGTTGTTGCATACATAAATAACCCTCTCTGAAACCTGGGGATTTCAGTCTGAGTTATCCCCAGCAGAAAGGGCTCTCGTTTTGGGGAGAAAGTAATTTCCAGTTCATTATAAATCATTTCCCAATACTCTTTTACGTTTTTACATGTCCACTACATATGAAAAGAACCTTCCCTCCACCTCTTTACACTTCCAGCACTTATTTGATTCTGTATTGTAAATCTTAGCAAGCCTACTCGGAGTTAGGTACCATTTATGAATCATTTCCAAATAGTTCTCTTTCAAATAATAGCATGCTGTAAATTTCAAGTCACTTTTCCAAAGTTTCTCCCAGAGGCTTAGATCTATGTTGTGTCCCACATCTATTGCTCAGTGTGTCATTGAGACTTTAACTAGTTCGTCTTTTCCCCCCCCTTCTAACAGGTTATATACATTGTAGACAAAAGTTTATCTTTGTTTTGCAGGAGTTCTTTTCTGAATTGTGAGCTTTGGTCCAAAAAACCATTCTTTCTGTCTAATTTAAACATGTAGTATAACTGATGATATTGCAACCAGTCCATAACTTGGCTCCTTAGGTTTTCCGTTTATTTCAGTTAGGGTTCCTCGCCAGTGAAATACAGCAATTCCCCGTCAGCTGCCTATTGTCTATCCATATTAACTCTCTTAATTGTAATTGCCTCGATGGGAGATAGCCATAAAGGTGTTAATTTTCACCTTCCAATACCAAAGGCATGCATGCCAGCCAAATTTTAAGTTGTGACCCTCTAGATCCAGGATGTCTGCATTATCCAGTGTAATCCATTCTTTTAACCAACACAAAATAAGATGTATTATTAACCAAAATAATACATTTGCAGGTCTGGCAGAGCAAAGCCTCCTCCATCTTTTATATCTATCATAATTTTATGTTTAATTCTTGGCTTTCCCCCCTGCCAAATAAATTTGGAAATATCTTTTTTCCATTCTTTAAAGCAGCCTGAATTGTTTACAATTGGGATTGTTTGGAATAAAAAGAGCATCCTGGGCAATAAATTCATTTTAATGGCTGAAATTCTACCTAGCAGGGATGCTTCATTCTCTCCCATATCTCCAACACATCAAATGTTGCAAATGTTCAATATCTTCTGAAGTTTCATTGGTTGCTTTCTGCATTGCCATCCATGCCAACATTCACTGGCCTTCTGGTATCCATAGCCTTGTCTGTTCCTTGCTCCCCGCCCCCCCAAATATCCCAGACCCAGAGCCATTTTCTCTCCTGGTTAATGTTGGTATCGGCTCCAAAACCAGTAACAAACACAGTTCTGCTATTATTGGTACTGATATCCGTGCTGATCACACTGCCTCTTGCACATACTCTTCTGGCTCATTCACAGACCATGGCTTCCATCTCCTCATTTCTGTTTTGCTTCTGGTTTCACAAACAGCATTTGTGCCTCTTACTACTGAATTTGAAACTCCCATTTTACTGCTAGTATTGTTGGTCCCCATAGCTGCATGTGCAAACCAGCAGTGCTGCTTATGTTACCTGCACCTCTGCAAGTCACTAAAGACTTGTGAGACAAATATTGTGTTGATTTTACTGTTTTCTGATCATACTCTGAGGACAGTGCCTTCAAAGACGGGTGGTATAAGTTACATCTGGTGTTAGCAAATGGGCTAACAGAATCTACATTTAAAACCGTGTAAGTTTGCTCAAACATAGGCTCTTGGCAATTAAATAAATGACGTGGCATACACTAAATGTGTGTATATGTGGAAGCACTCTGGCTTCCGTTGATGGAAAGGAGTTTGATGGTTAATGTTTTTGAAAATCATTTGGAGTTACAAAGGCACCAAGTTAGCAGCTTATTACAGGCTGTACTTTCATTGCATAGATAATGACCCTCTGATTATTAAGTCCGCGAAGCTGAGAAATTAATAGAAGTTGCTCTTGAGTCTGGTAAATAATGTTAAACTATTTTCAAGGTTATTGTTCTGTGTTGCGGTGCTGAGTAATAAAATCTCTCTTAATATTTCTCAATTCTAGTTCTGTACTCTCTGTCTTATGTGTCAATGCACCTATATTAGTACGCTTTCTTGCAGTCAACATGTTAGTTCCATGCTTAGTCAAGTTTAAACTATTCCCATTGAAATCAGTAGGACCTGTTAGTTATGACTAAGGCTGCAATCCTGTGTCCACATCCATGAGAATAAGCCCTACTGAATTCAATAGGTCTTCTGAGCAGACATGGCTAGGATTGTGTTGCATGTCTCATGGATTTCTGTGGGCCTGTTCTAAGCATGGTCTAAGTCTGGATCCAACCAAATTTCACTGAGAGGAAAGGCTGCTAGTAGGGTTTGAGTATGTTTACATGCAATTTTGATTTCTAAATGTTCAATGACTTTTCTGTTTTACCTTTTCCTTTTTGTTCTGCGCAGATGATCGTGTGGCTGGAAAAAATGCTAGATAAAATCATTAGCATTTTCATTATATTTGTGCTAGTGATAGGCACCCTTCTTCTAGCTCTGCTCCTTACAGCAAAGGTACTGAGTCCAATTAAATACAGTACATAGTTGCCTGGTTCTTTTAACTTTGATATGTGCATGACTATTTTTTAATCAATACTTTAATTTCAATTTTCAACGGATATATGACAGGGAAAGTAACTGTAATGAAAACAACAAATATTTAGGCATGTATTTGCATGACTATTGGGAAAAGTATACTGTACTACAAAAATGATAGTAATAAGATATTGCTATATATAAACTAGTGAAAAATTCACAGTGTTGGGTCCTTATGAAGAGTCATTTTGGCTCTATGTGGGCTCTTGGTTGATTCTGGTGTGCAATTGGTTTGGGAAAATAATATTGTCACTTAACCCCTGAGGCCAACCTTACTTTAGGTTATCTGTCAATAGCAAAATATCTGGTGTACTTTATTGCCTTGAGGTTTACGTAGCTTGTTATATTATGACTATATAGCATTATCTGTATTGCACTAAAAATGTTTTAATGTTGCTTTTGAAGCCTAGGCTTCATTGCCTTTCCATTAATTTAGAACATGATGTATGCTAAGTTGCATTAATTTCATTTATATTTTCCCTCCTAACTTAGGTGCACCAAGAAAGCGTGCATATGATTGAAGTCACAAGCAGCTTGATCAATGAAACTGTAGCCAATCATCCAGAATGGGCCAAGTAAGAATACTGAAATAATGTGATAGAATTTGGAAGAACAATTCTGTCAATGCCATACCCAGTAGTGTACAAATGTTCTCTTAATCTTAAGTCCACAAATATGGTTGGCACAAGTAGAGGCAGGATTTCTCAAAACAAATTACTTTCTAGAATCCTTTGCTGAGGAGGAGGAGGAGATTTGGTCATTTGATATAACTGCAGATTTATGTTCTTCAGAACATTTAACTTTGGATTAATACCCCTTGTTATCGTTTAAAACAGGGGTCAGCAATTTTTTTCAGCAGCGGGCCAGTCCACTGTCCCTCAGACCTTGTGGGGGGCCGGACTATAATTTTTTTGGGGGGGGGTGAACGAATTCCTATGCCCCACAAATAACCCAGAGATGCATTTTAAATAAAAGCACACATTTTACTCATGTAAAAACACGCTGATTCCCGGACCGTCCATAGGCTGGATTTAGAAGGTGATTGGGCGGGATCCGGCCCCCAGGCCTTAGTTTGCCTACCCATGGTTTAAATCCTTTTTCATTGGGAACAATTAAATTTATAAATAGTAGGAAGGGAGGAATTCTTAATGCTACTGATCTTACCAGAGCTGATATTACCAGGCTGTACTACTTTGCAGAATGCCTGTGTTCAGTGTCAAGAGACATGAATATTTTCTTTATAGGAATCAACCACAAAACTATATTCCACTATATGATGAGAGTGATTCCTATAGAAGCATGCTGTTTGCCTTTGATCTAGATAAGCCTGCCTTATTGTTAGAAAATGGAAATTGTTAATAAGATTATAGTTTTAAAAAAAGAAGCCTGTGTATATATGTAAGGGTGCATTTGACTGGATCCAAAGAATCACAGGACTAGTTTAATATGCCCCAGGGAACTTCAGGTTTATATTCCTTCAACAACAGCCCAATGCACCAAGTTTTAAATATCTTTTGAAATCCTGAGTATACTTCTAAAAGCAAACAATTAAATGGCACGGGGATCTGCTGTTTGGGGGAGGGGGATCAAAATCCCACCGGGCATGGCTAATCAGTATTTTGTATCTCGGCCGATTATTATAATGACACAAACAAATTGATCTGTAATAGTAATATTTTTTTAAATTTACTTTTTAAAACCAGCTGGCTTCCTGAAGCTCAGGTTTTTCAAAAGGCTTTGAATTCAGCTGCCAATAATGTCTATCAGTATGGCCGAGAATGGATAACACATAAGGTAAGGATGAAACCAGTCTTTCTGCAACTACCGTATATGCTATAGAAGAGCTAGTTGTTATGCCCAATATCCATCAAATCAAGAAAATACAGTTCAGTAAAGAAATTAAATTAACAGCAGAAAGTTTAAATCTCGGCTCAGTTTAAAGAACTTGAAAATGGGATCATTCCAAGGAAAAAGAAGGGAATAGTCTTATTACTTGATTATAGGGATTACCAAGTTAGAAGACAATTAGGAGAGATGCCTTTTTTCAATGTCTTCAGCTAAGAAATCAGTAAACTACTGCTCACATATAGTACCCTGAAGGATTTACAAGCTTTGAAACACTTATTTCAGATGTTTGTAATGTGCTTAATTTATAAAATCATTGAAGATTTGAACACTTGGCCCCACTCTGTGGTTTCACATACGTGTTGAATAGAACAGGGAGCAGACTAAAGCTCTGTGGCATACCATGAGGCAAAACAATACTGCCCGGGTACCGCTTTTTAGAAATAGCCATTGAGACAGTAGAACCACTGGAGCACAGTCTCCCCAATCCCTGGCCCAGGCAGCTGTTCCCGAAAGATTCCGTGACTGATGGTATTGAAAGCTGCTGAGAAGTCCAGGGAAATTGGGAAGATCATGCCACTCTGGGCGGCTCCTAACACAATATTAAAAATACGATAAAACATCTGATATTTAAAACTTCCCTAATAGATGTTGACAAAAAAATGTCCTGGAGTTGCATGGCAATGACTTGTTCTAGCATCTTTCCCCAAAAAGAACTATTGGTCAGCCTATAGTTAGAATGCCCTCGTGGTCCAGAAAGGTCATTTTTAGGAGTGGTCTCCTAAATGCCCTTTTCAAAGCAGCTAGGACCACTCACTGTCCACTGCTTTTACAAGGAAGCAACATGTACAATGCTTCCCTGGGCAGGGTACTAGACTGCCATACACTAGCTTAAAATTTTTTTTTTATGAAACAAACAAAAAATATATTAATAGTGTTTATGGATTAAAGGAACAAAAGATTACTTTACAAAAGGGGGGAGAAAACAGCTTAGCTGAACAGCTAGTGGCTACTGGCTTTCTGCGACTTTTGCAGTATTGCTTGCAGCAGAATAAATGAAGGGAATCCACTCAAGATGGATTACTCTCTTTAGCTAGCAAATTAGTAAAAAAATGTAAACAAAATTAGATTTCCTGATACTGTATTCACTTTGACATGTTGCCTTTCAGTTATTTTGACATAAAACTCCCTCTTGTATGTTGTAGCTCCACAAAATATTAGGAGACAAAGTGAACAACACCGCTGTGATTGAAAAACAAGTTCTGGAGCTCTGGGACAGACTATATCATTCGTGGTTTGTGAAAGTAAGTATCCCAGTCTATTGACTCAGGGCAAATTAATATTAGTGGTATTGGGAAACTGAAAAGACAAACCCCATAGTTAAATAAATTCAGTATCTCCTGGTTCTTGTACTTGCATGAAGGTCTTGTACTTGCTCAAGGTTTGCTTCTAGGGTTGGGCGATGTCAGCATTTCAACATAACAATCAACCGGCCAAACATCGTTGAAGCAGTTTCACCCCAGCGCTGGTGGTGGAGGGAGTCAGGCGCAGGCAAGCCCCACCTGTGATTTACTGCCAGGTGAAGACATCATCGCACTCTGGCTCCCAAACCATTAATTATGTATCGATATATCGCCCAGGCCTATTTGCTTCTGGGTAAAATTGTCAGGTGGATGGGGAGAATTTGAGCAGGCTCAGAGAGTTACAGTTTTAATAGTGTGTGTGTATCCCTTGTAACTTCATGCATTCCTTAAATAATTCCCAGAAATTTTGTGAGCACCAGTTAAATGTTTCTCGCTTATTTTACAGAATGTAACTCATTCAGGAAGACACAAAGGACACAAGCCACATTTAAACCGTCAAAACAGCTGGCCAGGTGACATGCTTGATTGGCAAGATGTTGCCTCCTTTATTCATGAGAACATTGAGACATTTCTTTCGGTACGTGCCTTTAATAGTAAAATGCTATCAGTTGCCTCATTGATGTCAGATAGATTGTTTCTAGATCTATTTTCTTTACGTATCCAAGAAGTGCTCTTTTTAGAGACAGGAGAGTCTGACATCCAGTTATATTTTTGATTATGTAAAGGGATTTGAAAGACCAAAGTATATGGAAGATATCTGTTCCCATTTTCCAAAATGGATTCAAATATCTAAATATATTGTGTTAATTCACAGGAAAAAATGTTCAGTTGAGCAAAAAAACCACCCCCTGCCTGTTTGTTTTACGTTATGTTTCACCTATTAGCTAGGTGGTTTTACATTTTTCATGGTAGTGTTCCAACATAGTTTGAGTCAATTTGTATTTATAACAAAGAAAATAATGGGGCTTTCCAGTCACAAGACCCACTGCTGTTGGCACTGATGCTAACAAAAATCTCCATATGACCCTGACACGTTACGTATTGAAAACACAGTGTTTTTCAAAACAGTTCTGCCAAGCTAGTGACTTCAGGATCTGATTCTGCTCTTTTCCAGATTCTGGAATCCCTCTGGATAGTGATGAGCCACAATGTGAGCCTCCTTTTCACCACAGTTACAACTTTAGTAACTGTTCTCTTTTACAGTGGCACTGCTCTTCTCAATTTTGTGCTTTCGCTGGTAAGTGCAGGGGTTTTGGTTGTTGTTTTGGGGGGAAAAGGGTTTACATTTCTTCAGGCAGTTACTTTCTTGAGTTCACTTATTCTTGAGCCTACTCATTGAGAGGAGCAGCTATATCTTGGGCTGTTCAGTGTAGACCATCTCCTGAAGAGGTTGCAGGACCACAACTTGGTTTTTCCATTAACAATCTCACTAAATTCTACAGGCTTTATGCTTTTCTCTCTGCTGAGACACTTAAGGCAATGCATACACACCCCTTAAATGAGTATTGCACTGTTTTATTATGCTCTGATGGTGCCAAGTAGAGAAAAAAGAGAATTTTCTTGCCTGTGAATTCTACATTTTTGCCAGATAGCTTCTGCCCTGTAGAGTGGCCGGTTAAGAGTGTCAAGAGTGTGTTAGTCTGCATGAAGCAGAGCCAGCCAGCCCAAGAGGTAGGGCATACAGTGGCACTTCCGCCACTGGCAGTGAGAGGGAGGTGTTCCAGCATGCGGTGTTGCTGCGCATCTTTCCTAAACCTGGACAGAGAAATCGAGCAGCAAGGCTTTGAGGAGTGCCCTGGCTCTTGCCAAATTTGGTGAGAGCTAGGAGCCTTCCTGCATGCCATGCTGCCAATTGGCTTCATGGGGAAATTGAGTGGCAATGCATGGAGGAGTGCTCTGACTCCTGCCAAGTTTGGAGAAAGTCAGGGTTATGGCAGTGGCAGAAGTTTGAGGGGAATGGGGCGGGGTAGATAGGAGGTAGCAATTCCCATTTTGACTCAGGTGGCAAAACTGATCAGGCCACCCCTGGTATGAAGTAAGGGCTATTCTTTAGACATTAGATAGTCATTTCTGGTACCTTCCTAGCTCAGTTCTTTGGTCACATCATCTGCAATTAAAATTATTATGTTAACTGCTGCACAGAGTGGAGAGCACCTCAGTATCTGAACCACTGTCTGGCAAATGAGTAGACTATCAATATTTTATTTGCACCAGTCTCTGAAAAATGACAGGTAACCTGTATGCAGTAATATTTTGGTGAGGAGAAAAGTTATAGCAAACTCCATTCTTCCTATATTCCTAAGAGGGTAATTCCATATCAATTGATCTGATTTTCTTAATATTTTGTACACTTGCTGAATGATCAAAACTAACTTTAAATCTAAAATTTATCTCATCCCATTTTTGGGTTATGAGGGTTTGAAAGTTTAAAAAAATAACATTTTTGGCCTTGCCAGACTACACATAAACCTACAAAGCTCAGCCCCGATCTCTTCAGAACTTGATGGACTTTAATATGATATGTCACATGATGGGTGTACTTTAAATTTTAAAGTTAAGTTACAAAATTTAAAATTTAAAAAAGTGATTTCAAAAAATTAATACGGTTTTTAAAATCCCCGAAAATGTATTGATTATGTAATATTTCTAAGAGCTACTTGCAAATTTTTTTTGCATACATGTCTATCTTATTGGGTTCTATTTAGGATAAATGGGTCTTATTGGAGTAAAATATAACAGAATAAACAAAACTTCAGACAAAATATCAGTTACTTCAGGCATTTCATTAGAAAGTTATTCAATTGAAAGGTAACTGAAAAACTAATCAGGCTATTCTTTAAAAAATATGTTCCAAAATGTGTTGCTTTAAATACAAAGTTTTATTTGGCAAGAGTGGAGAGAGCTTTATGTTAGCATGTGTGGCTATTTTTTAAATAATTTATTATTATAATTTTTTCAGCGTTTCCTTTGATTCTAAATTTGGCATACACAGCTGTGTGGCAGAACTAGTCATGTTAGAAGTGATTTCTTTCCATTTAAGTTTTGTGTTATGACAGCTGCAATGCTTGTGGGAAATTTAATGGCTGGAACATAGCCCCAGGGCTATCACCTAGATATTGGATATTGAGCTGGCTTATGTCAAGGGCTCTGGCTTGGGAATGTGTGATTTCCCCCCCTTAAACATACAAGCAATGACCTGTGCTAAGAGGCTATTGTAGGTTTTGCTGGGTGATGGGAAAACAACCACAGCTTTCTCTTTTTAAAAAAAATGCTAGAAAAGAAGGGTTTGCTAACAGTGTTGGCTCCCTTAGTTGCAAAAGCTGAGTTGGTAAAGAATGGAAAGAATATCTGCCCTTTGGGTTGGATAATCAAAATACAAACTTCAGTGCTATTGAAAAGAACTTGAAGCTAACTTTTAAGGGAATTTTCTACATTTAGAAAAATCAAAATGGCAATGTTGGATGCTTAAGGATTTTTTTTAATCACCAGAAGTATTTCCTGATTATAATTTGAATTGGAAATGGAGAAAATGAAACCATATTTTTTATGTATGTATCTAAATATATTAAAATCCTTTGGTAACTGCAGCAAAAGTGCTTTTTAAAAAAAAGAAATTTGGAGCTTGCAAAAATAGAAAGGTGCAAATCTGGTAGGCAATTAGTAAAAAAATCTAGCAGACACAGAATTATCCATAAAGAACAGTACTGTAAAATATAAAACAGATGTATACAGTGTGTCCACTGATGCAAAATAAAGTGTAACAGATTAGTGCAGCTCAGGGAAGCTTTGCCATCAAGCTTGGGCATGGCGGGGGAGCGTTAAGTTACCTATACAGTGGTGCCTCGCAAGACGAAATTAATCCGTTCCGCGAGAGTCTTCGTCTAGCGGTTTTTTCGTCTTGCGAAGCAACCCTATTAGCGGCTTAACGGATTAGCGCTATTAGCGGTTTAGCGGCTATTAAAGGCTTAAAGGCTTAGCGGATTAGCTGCTAAAAGGCTATTAAAGGCTATTAAAGGCTTAGCAGGTTAGATAAAGGGGCGAAAGCGAAAAAAATGTCAAGACTTGCAAGACATTTTCGTCTTGCGAAGCAAGCCCATAGGGAAATTCGTCCTGCGAAGCAACTCAAAAACGGAAAACCCTTTCGTCTAGCGGGTTTTCCGTCTTGCGAGGCATTCGTCTTGCGGGGCACCACTGTAGTCCCAAACAAAAGTTAAGTGGCTTGGTTGATCTGAGCTTTGTGAGTGTCACCAGACCTTTGGGTAATGAACAGCCACCAAATAGCTGCAGTCTTCAGGGCCACCTTTCCCTCTTCGTATCTTCATATGATGTGCATGTATTCCAACACTGCAGTCAATAAAACTTTTTTAATATCACATATCAGGACTCTAATTCTGAATAATGCTGCAGCTAACATAAAAACGATCATTTCTTTCAGGTGGAGGTTATTAGATTGATCAGTGAATGTGGATGGGTCAGAGTGTAATATTGTACCCATTTCCTGCAATATTTTATTGCTAAAAATAACCTAGTTAAGGCAAAGATTGGGTGAGATGGAATGTTTGCAAATAATGCCATCACCAAGCAAGGCTATTCCAAAACGTTTTGTTGCCCAAGGTGGGTTTCATCTAGTATGTTAAACAGCATTTAATTCCCTTCTCAGTTATATTAAGAGGTGCAAAGCAGAATTGCACTCTTCCCCACCCCCATCATACTACAGTGGTACATCCGGTTATGAACTTAATTCGTTCCGGATGTTCATTCTTAAGCTGAAACCGTTCTTAACATGAGACACCCTTTCACTAATGGGGCCTCCCGCTGGTGCGCGACTTCCGCTCACACCCCGGGGCAAAGTTCACAACTAGGGGCATCTACTTCCATGTTAGTGGAGCTTGTTACCCGAAGCATTCGTAAGGAGGACGGTACGTAACCTGAGGTTCCACTGTATGTTTCTAGTTAACACTCAGCTGCTTTATTTCTTGTCTGTTTGCAGGTGATTTTCCTGACCACATTGTTCTACCTTTTAAGTTCCAGTGATGAATACTACAAGCCAGTGAAGTGGGTGATCAACTTGACTCCCTTGTCACAGCCTGGCCCTTCCTCCAATATAGTTGGCCAGTCTGTGGAAGAGGCCATAAGGTGCACTGTTACTTTCTTACAAGTTGTATGATAAGTATAGTTTTGGGGTATGTCTTCTTTGTTCTGTTAATTCATTTTCCTTCTGCACCGCCAGGTCACTGGGTTGGGCTCAGGCTCCTCCCATGCGAAGGAAGGCAGGAAAAACAACTTATCGGGATGTGGGTGTCTCCCTGATTAGTTTTTGCTTCTGCCTTTCAATGAAGCGTGGGACGCGGGTGGCGCTGTGGTCTAAACCACTGAGCCTAGGGCTTGCTGATCGGAAGGTTGGCGGTTTGAATCCCCACGACAGGGTGAGCTCCCGTTTCTCGGTCCGAGCTCCTGCCAACCTAGCGGTTCGAAAGCACACCAAAAAGTGCAAGTAGATAGGTACCGCTCTGGCGGGAAGGTAAACGGCGTTTCCATGCGCTGCTCTGGTTTCACCAGAAGCAGCTTAGTCATGCTGGCCACATGACCCGGAAAAACTGTCTGCGGACAAACGTCGGCTCCCTCGGCCATTAAAGCGAGAAGAGCGCTGCAACCCCAGAGTCGTTTGCGACTGGACTTAACTGTCAGGGGACCTTTACCTTTACCTTTCAATGAAGCAGTCTCTTCACTATTGCTCCTGCACTTCGTTTAAACTAAGTTTTATTCTCTTTATCCCCCCCCCCTTTGCTATTTCCCCTTTTAGGCTTGCTTAATTGGCTCCCTCTTTTAAAATGGGCTGCCTTTTGCTTCCCATTTTTCCCCATTTGGGCTCCTCTCCAGTGGATTGGCTGCCTCCTTTCCTTTTCGTCACCAGAGCATGCCAAATAAAGTCCCATGCCACCCTGCTGATTACCTGCAAGCAGAACCTTGGGGTTCAGGGACTTTCTGACCAAAGTAATACCTAATCATTTCCCCTTGAAGTTTTATTCTATATCTTTCATTCTTGATCGTATTTTTACTTTTTAAAGCACTATCTAGGTATGTAGAGTTTCTGCTTTGAAAGATGTAGCCGAGATGTCTGGAATATATCTCAATTCATATATCTTGTTGGGCATGCTGTTTTCTGGTGTAGAGAGGAAGAAGTTGTGAACAATTTGAAAGGAGGAAGGGAGACTAAAGGAGTATATATGTTAAGGCTAAACAATTTTGCAGAAACAAGTGATCAGTTTTTTTTTGTACTGGTGATGACAATTAGTCATAGGGAATGGTTATAGCTACAGTTAATTTTTTTGATCCTGTTTGCTTATTATTTTATGTGTAATGAATAGTTTAATGGCTATCAGTCTCTAGACCATATTCATTACAAAGTATTTCCATTATGACTTTCAGCTCATCTGAAAGGAGTTTGTTTGCAGGCAGCTCCCAAGTTATGAATCTCACATTGCTATGCTGGGGAAAGACACTTGCAGATTAGACAGTACTGACTTAATGTAAGAATTTGCTTCTGTAAAAGGCAACTGAATGCTTTCACATCTGCTTTTGCAGAAACAATGGTTTGTTGCAATTTACATTTTTCCAGGAGCCAACTTTTGCTGGCTTTAGGGAATTAATAGGCTTATTATAAAAACACAGGCTGCAGTGTAAAAATTAAGTACAGGAATTGCAAATAATTTAATATGTATTTCTTGGACACCATTCTAGAAGATGAATTTTGAGTCCCCCATGCATGTTGCACTTTTAGCCACTTCCCTAAGGAAAACTATAGGGTCATTCCTACCCCATGTACACTATTTGTTGCATTTGAAGCCCAAGCGAATTGGAAGCTTCCACGTGTGTTAGAAAAAGATCTGAAGTCACTGTGAATTTGCATGTGTGTGTTTATCTTTGGACAACTTTATTTTTTTAATGGTACATTTCTGGGTCACATGGTGGAGAGCAGGCTCCAAATTCCCACAGTTTCAGTAAAATGACTATCTGAGTCTCATAGAGGAAATACTTTCTATGGATGTTGATATGAAGTGGGAGGTGTGCATGACTATATGGTGGGCATGTCTACACCAGAGACTTCGCATGGCCTTCAGGAAATGAAAAGGTTGCCTTCCCCTGTCACAGAAAAGTTCATTCACTCTGTGAACTATTGGGATATGAGAATATTTCATACTTGACGCCAGAAGACAGGTTGGATGCATCTGTTGTGTAAATAAGAGCATGTTCAAGGAATCCTTACCAGTCAAGGAAATGAAGGCAATGCCTTGAGTTGGGGGACTCGAAAGCAGCCAAATTTGTATCCAGATGTATTTGCCATTTAATAGTATTTCTCTCACTTTTATAAAAGTGTACTGCAATAAACTGATAGTGTAGTATTTTGAGAGTTTAGAATGAATTGCCTCAGCAGTAGGCTGGTTATTGATTGTAGCTTAAGACTTTAAAATTAAAACCATTAGTTGTGGATGGTTCAGATGACAATCACTCATTTTCATTACTACCTTACCATTCAGTAAAAATGGAGCCGCCTTGATAGAGTTATTCTTAAAACTAACAGGGCAGTACCTAACCTGTCTTATGTTCTGCGCAACCGAAGCAGAGATCGTTGAACTTATGTATCTCTGAGTTGCATGCACACCTTTTGCTTGAACCATCGTCCTCCCACTAAGTGGCATGCTCTTTTCTTCCTGAATGCACCAGACCCTTCTTCCCCGAAGCTCCCATTCTGCTTGCTCTGGTGGGGATATTGCACATTACTAAGTTGCACGTTGTCACGGCCTCAGTGCAATTTAGTGTGTGCGATATTTTCACATGAGTGCATGCACACGCGTATGGCTGTGGCTTAAAGTTACTGCAGGGTATGTTTCTTTACGGGGATGAATTAGTTCTGGAAGAGCCTATACCCATATCAGTATTTTTGCTCGAAACATGTTAGCCAGTGATCAGGTTTACATGTGTGCTTTCTTTCCGAGAAAGTTTTATTGCTTGCTTCATTTTCTTCGTCCACCGTAAGAACCACAAACAATTATGCTCAATGGGCAGAGTGGTCTCTTTATTTAAAAAAAGAAAGAAAAAGTTTCCAAAAGTCTCTTTGCTAAACCACTCTCATTTTTCCTAAGACAAAATTGCCCATAATGCTAAAGGTAATTTGATGCAAACTTAACCTAATCTTGGTTACTGAAATCAATTATGATTACTTGTCATAATTGCATCAGGCCACTGCAGTCAGTGAATGAGCATGATGATGGAAATGATATGGTGATACAATCTCCAGAGAAAACAATTCGTCTTCAAGCATATTAAAGTTTAAAACATGTAATATGCTAAGGAAAACCAGCGTGAATGCTTGGCTGTATTTTCTCAACATCATTTAATTGGATGGGTTAAATGACGTTGGTAATCTGCGTGCAATTTGATGGTCTTTCAGTGCCAAGAGAATTGTACAATAAAGAATAGGACTTACAGCATTCTTGCATTGTCCCAGGTTATACTCTGTCTTGCACGCACTTGTTAAACCAAGTATTAATGGAGTGGTGGTTCAGAATATATGCTTTGGGACTATTTTTGCATCGTCCGTCCGCCCCCCCCCCCGGCTAGCTTTCTGAAATCATTGGAGTATATGATTTTTCCTAGCATCAATAATTTCTTCGCTTTTAGACATTCGCTGATTTTAAACCTAAATCTTTTGTGAAACCTTTCCGGAAACAATATTATCAAGTGTAGCTTTTTAAACAGCAGCACTAGAGATGCTGAATGCAAACTCATTGATAAACCTGTTTCTGGGCTGCACCACTTCAGACTGCAGTTGGTGGCTCACATGATTGGAATGCGCTTCAAGGCACCCTTTCTATGCACATAGAAATTAGCTTGTAAGAGAAATGAGTTCTAGTCTAGCCATCTCCCTGAAATGCTGGTTTTCTGTGTGCAAAGAATGTGCATGGAGGAGCATCCAGTCCTGTGAGCTTCCACTAGCAGTCTGCAGTTTTACCAGACACAGTTTTACCACCTCATTGAGAAGTAGGCCATAATTGAGATGGCTGCTGTTGAAGTTTTGCTGTACCTAAATGAGAGAGCTCCACCTGTGAATGTAATTCTACCTTTAGTAAATTACATCCAAGCAGTTGTTACTGTTACGCTATGCTGTGGAGTGATAAATGCTTTGCTTTATTTCTCTGAGACACGTGAAAATTCATGTATCAGCAAAGTTCCTTTTCTGAACTAAACATCTCCGTGGCTTCGAGTACATAGCCTGTAGTAATAAAACTTTCTTTATAAACATCCATACTGTCCAAATAATGCTCCTTCAACATTTTGCTGAAACTGTAAAACTTTTAGCCCATGGAGGTTTTTGCAACTCCAGTTAACTGGTATCCTACTTTTTCTTTTTCTTGCATAAAAGGCCCAAAGGAAAGTTTTCAAATTGCTTCGTATCATGAAATATTTTCTGTAATTTCAGATGTAACACTAATTCCAAAGGGTGGCTGATGATGTCTTCCATCAAATTCTCAGGCCAGATTAAAGATGCTGGTCTCTTTTTAAAACGATGCATCATAATAATACGGAGAAATATTGTGTTTTAAGTACCTTACACACTGGAACATTTTAATTATAAATGTTTAGCGAACTTTCCATTTAAATGGGCTGGACATACTTCATATTTTATTTTAAGTACTTTGGCTTTGTTACAGTTCAGCAATACGTTCCAAATTCCTATCCAGCGACAGTAATTAACAATTTTTAAATGTTTGCATTTCTATTTGCACAAATAGCTCATTTCTTGAGTAGCTCCAGATAGGTTTTGTTAACTCACCACAGCTGCGTCTTTTGCAGAAATGTAGAGCAATGCTATCTAGGCTTGGGGGGGGGGGGGTTGTGTTTTAATTGCATTTGAAAAGTTTGTGAATGCTGATGTGATGTCTAGAAGTTGCATATTTGAGGCAGACACATTTCATTCTGGACAGGAGTTCTTGCGGAGAAAGGTGTAGGTACTAAAATGTAACTTTAGCAAAGGAATATGGGGGTCAGGAGGTTTTTTTCCTGGAGGATTCCGTCATAGATGTTTTATCCAGTATTTGGATTAAGATTCCTTTTGCAACAGAGCTGCAAACTAGGAAGCCTAGATCACCTTTCCCTTCAATCATAGATGTTGGGCACAAGTCAAATCTTCAGTCATAATTTTCTGGTAGTACCTTTAAAAATCTACAGTGTTTAGCGCATTTAATATTTGCTTTACTATTTAATGCAGCAATTTATATACTGCTGAGCACTATAGAATCTAAGTGATATTTTGGTCCCTGATCATACGTATATTGTGTCTGTATCATGCTTTTTGTTTCAGATTTTTCACATGCATTACGTTTGTCATCTTTGCAACTACCTCATCAGCTAGATCAGTGTGGTTGCCATTTTGCAGGCAGTAGGGTGCTAAGGAAGAGTGGTTTGCTGAAGGAAATCTAGTGGCTCCATGCCATTTGTGGCTCAGTCTGGTATTAGTCACTACGCAAGCTCTCTTGTTACATAGAAAGACTACTCGCTATATCAGAAGAATGTCAAACATCTGGTTATGAAGTGCTTACATTCACAGTTTCTAGGACTGTGAGAATATTTACATAGAAAATTGGGTATTCAGAGAGGTCAGAGATGCCAGGTCTGTATTCTTAGCACTGGGGAGGGAAGGTCTCAATTAAGAGCTGCTACGTTTAATTTTTTATGTAGGTTTTGTTGTTATTTCAGGGTAAGCTACTTTTTAAAGTTTGTTTAAAAATAAAATAAATATTGTGAAAATAATATTATGAAAATAATAATAAAAGCACAAATACAAAATGAATAGATAATGAATGGGAAACAGCAAATTATCCTGAACTGTGGCAGGAAGTAGCCCTGAAATTTCATTTAATGTGCCATTTGTGTAGCAAATAGCTTTGATCTTTAAGGTTTGTTTTAGCAATTTTTAAATACATAGATGCTGCTCAACTAATAGATTTTATATGGAATTATCTCATCCTTCTAGAGGTGTGTTTGATGCATCCCTCAAAATGGCTGGGTTCTATGGACTGTACACCTGGCTGACTCATACTGTCTTTGGAATTAACATTGTCTTCATACCATCAGGTGAGAAAGTAAAAAGCTTGAGTTTATTTTTATGTGTAATAGTGAAAAGGACTGTATCCACTTCTGGTAGTTGCCTCAAAATCATAACCAGTTTTTAGCAATAGATGTATTGATGCTCAGAGCAAAGAATCATGTACACACAGGTCCTTAAATGAGGTGTCTATTTTTCAGAAAGATTAGCCATCTTTCGCTTCAGTATGATGAATCATCTTTTTCCACCTGAATGGTAGGATATAACTTTTAAAATGAATAAAGACGTAAGTCCATGGCTTAAGGCGCGACCAGGAACTTTGAATCCAAGACAAATTATACACTCTTGATTTGATCAGTTACACTGCATCTAAATAGTCCTGTGAATGTTAATGCAACTGTGTGCTATGAAGAGATGCAATATTTTTTGAAACGATTTCCATTGACATAATTGTGTTTTTTAATTGTCATTTCTAACTCCAGACCTTCTCTATCCTTAGCACTGGCTGCACTTCTTGGAGTTGTTCCATTTCTGGGAACATACTGGGCAGCCATACCTGCCGTTCTAGACCTCTGGCTTGTACAGGGAGAAGGATGCAAAGCTGTGCTTCTCTTGGTTTGCCATCTGCTGCCAACATATTTTGTAGACACAGCAATCTATTCAGATATATCCGGGTAAATATTTCAAAATAGGTTCTTTACTATCATGGAAAAAAATCATTCTGGAACAATACCTAAAAACCCATATAAAACTGCTGAGGACCACAATACCTCAAGGACCAGCTCTCCCCATATGAAGAGATCACCCCCTGAGGCCATTCTTCACATGCCTCCTCCATGAGAGGTTCAGAGGGTGGCAACACAAGAACAGGGCCTTTTCTGCAGTGGCTCCCTGCTTGTGGAATGCTCCTCCCAGGGAGGCTCACTTGGCGTCTTCATTATAAACCTTTAGGCACCAGGCAAAAACGTTCCTCCTCAGCCAGGCTGATTGACAGCCAGTGCCCTTTTAAACTGTGTTGTGGGAGGGCGGTTAGCGGTTTGCTTTTGTTCTTATTTTATGTATCTTGTGTTTTTTATATGGTAATTTTATGTTGTGAACTGCCCTGAGTTCTATGAATGAAGGGTGGTGTACAAATTTTAATCATTATCATCATCAACATAATCTAAAACTAATTTTTGTGCTTAACTATTAGATATAACAATAACCATAAAATTAGTTTTATTACTTATCTATTACATCAAGAAGCTGGACCAGTTTGGATGAGGTTGTAAGGATGTACAGCCTAAACATGCAATGAAAGAATGAAATATCCCACATGCTGGACATAACACTTGCATAAGGCCTTCCCAAAGGCCCTGTGCACACAGTGCTTTCAGTGTGTAGAAGTCTGGTGATCCCAGAAGTGGCACAGGAATAACTTGTGGACAGTTCGTTGTGCAGTTTTGTTCTCACACCATTCATGTGCTCCACACACTTAGACCCTTATCCAAAGTCACCTGCTTAGTTTCCCCAGAAACCCTCCACCATCTTGCATAGATGTTAAAGTTATAACTTAACTGAAGTATAGTGTGCCCAGAGGAAGCACCTTTCTTTTAATATTTGTAATGCAGCTAATACTTTGGGCATATGACCCTTTTATAAATGTTCCTTTAAAAGGTATACTTGGAAATGAATGCCAAATTTTATTCTCTAAACTTTTGGTGGGAAGGGGTTAGAATTAGAATATGATTGTAACTTAACTGGTTGTGTTGTGATTGCAGAGGGGGCCACCCATATCTGACGGGCCTTGCAGTAGCTGGGGGAGCCTATTACCTAGGAGTGGAAGGAGCCATCATAGGACCCATACTGCTCTGCACACTTGTGGTGGCTTCCAATATCTATAGTGCTATGCTTGTGAGCCCCACAAGTGCATTGCCCACACCATCACAGATGCCTTGGCCTTTGCAGATATACCGGTAAGCTTCTACAGTAGTTGTCACATATTATTGTCTCTTAGTAAGGTATTTTTTAATCTGTAGTTTACTGACCTCTCCCTTTATCTTTAACAACCAAAGGGCAGAAATAATAAATATTTGAAATATCTAGAAATCCAAAACACCTGGGGGCACAATCTGACCCAAAAGAAAAGTCTCTGGTAATTACCGTAAATTATGCCCTTCTTTAGCTACTTGATCCCTGAATTTAGTTAGTAAGAAACAGCAAGCAGGGGATAGGGGGAGGAAGAAGTTGTGTCTCAACTGAGGAATCAGGATGCACAGGAGAGGACAGATCACAAATTGTGGGGCAGCCCCCTTGGAAATCCCAAGACACTGGGAGGCAGTTCTGCAGAATGGAGAGCCTCCAACAGCAGGCGGAGCCAGAGACATTTGACTCTGCAGCCACAGGAACTGAATAATAGAATCATGAAATTGTAGAGATGGAAGGGACCCGCGAGAGTCATCTTTTCCAACCCCCTGCAATGCAGGGATCTCAACTAGATCATACATATAGAAGAGGCGTGGAGTACATGGGAGCTTCTGGCGGCAGCAGCTCCTCCACCTGCTTCCTTGGCCGGCTGGCTTGAGAAGGGTGTGTGAAACACCCTGTTCTAGTTCTCTTCTTCTGTCAGTGTTCTGTTAGTATTGTAATTTGTATATGTTGATCAGTGGGCTGCAAATATGCAGCTGTGTGCACAGTTTCTATATCCACCTATCTGCCTGGTGCTTATAGTAAAATTAGTTTAGTAGTGGGGAGCGGGGGCGTGGGAGCTAAGTTCCAAAGAGCTGAAAAGCAGAGGTTTTACACTACCAGTGTGTTTCAGTGGTTAAGAGTGTTATATTAAGACCAGAGATGCTAACTCGCTGGGTTCCCTTGGACAACTCCTTATCTCTCAGCCTATCCTATCTTGCAGATTGTTGTGAGGATATAAATAGAGCCCCGGTGTAAATGCAGGTCAAGATCCAACATTGTGCTATCAGAGGTGATGACAGGACTTCGCTTTCCTCTCTTTTCCCTTGGCCCCCACAGCTGCTCCAGAGTGTCCCCCAAACCTCCTTGGCAGATGACGGGGGAGGGGAGGAAAATCCTGTTTGCACAAGCAGATGGTTGTTGTACAAGTGAGATGCCAGAAATGGATGTCAATTCTAATAAATAAATAGTGTAACAAATTTTAATAAATATTTTTTGTACTATTGCCTAAGTGGACAGACTTAACAGCATATGCAGAAGAAATCTGTTAGCAAGACAGTAGATAAATGAGTGTCAAAATACATGGGTGCTCATTTTTTTATAATTGATTATATTTATTTCAAGCTATTCCTTTAACTGCAGCCGTATTTAACCATAAATGTTGGGTCTTTTTCGCAAGTTCATTTCAAGTATAATATTACATTCAGGAATCCTGCATTGTAGTTTAAATTTGAGATTCAGTGGTCACAAGGAGGACCTCTGGTCAGTTCAAATTTTGGATAACTCTTCACACACACCCCCAAATACTCTCCATTTCTTTGTAACTTTTTGGGGAAGCTAAAAAAACTACTGCTTTTTCCAAGCATTCATAAATATTTTATCCTTTATTTTTACTGAAAGTTTTGATACCTTTCCCCTTTATAGGTCTTCTAGAGAAAGTCCTGAGGAACAGAAAACTGCCACGGAATGACACATGGAGGATTTAATTGCTTCTTTAGGAAGAACTCCTCTTTCTTATGCGAGCCTTGAGCTCAGGAGAGTCGTGGCCTTGGATCCCTTCTCCAGCTGTGCCTCCTGACGGCTTTCACTGATCCAGCATTCCCTGTCGAGCATCCCTGTTGACACACGTTGCCTTAGGTCACGCACATTTCCTTTGTAAGTGGAAGTGTCTGCTGCCTGTTGTTTGCTTATTACACAGACCTGGGATTTGGGTGCCTGGTTTGCCAAATAATTCCTCTTAAAAAACCACACCTTGCCTCAAGTTTTGTTGACTTGATTCTAGGTCGGAGCCTGTTGTAAATTAAAATTTGATATTAATATTTTTTGCTACCTGCGTAATTAGATTCTAGGTGTTCAGTTCCCACAGCTTTTGCTCTTAGAATATTCTCGTCTCAAGGAGGTATAGCTATTAAACCATTAAAGTCTAGCACCTGCTAAAAGTTAAGTATAATTTTGTGCTGCTTTATGAAGGATGCCTTATTGCAACTTCATAGTCACCTTTTAATCAGCTATTAGTAAGACAGCAATATTAGTCTTGTCAGGATGCTATATCAGTGGTGGCTATATAACAGACTTACAGAATTCTTTGCAGTATGGCTTGGGGTGGTGGTGGTTTAAAACAGCTTTGTAACTAAACCTTTTCATCTAATCTCAGTTCAAGCAAATTTCTCTACTGATGAAGCATAATCAGTGCACTAAAGTAAAAACAGACAATGTACTCAAAATAATTTGTGCAAATTTATGAAGGTGCTTTAATATTTTTTAGGAAATGTAGCACTGGGTTAATCTATCTAGCTCTTACTAGTGATGAAGAATAGGATGTTGTTTACATTGTATTTTTAAAGGTATTAATAGAGTAATGAATCAGGGTGGAAAGAGAAATCTGTTCTATAGATTCTCTGGGTATGTTACTGAGGAATGTGACTGTCAGCATTGAGGTGTGTTGTTGTTTTTTAAAAAAAAATGTCTGTGAGCTAAAGTGTATAGCACAGGAATGTTCCATGCTGGCTAAAGGTTTTTGACTTGAAATAGGGATTTGTTAGCACCAAAGAAAATGATTGTGATTTGGTGGTTAAGAGGTGACAAGCTAAAGACACTCAAAAATACTTGTTTAATGAATGGATTAAGACAAAGCACTTTTAATGGTTATACTTACTTAAAGTAAAACCACAATATCAAAGTGTCTGCTTCCACGTTTAGTCTTGAGTTCCTACACTAGTGCACCCATTGCATGCATTTCATATCCATATAGCTTCCAGTACATGAAATCTGTCAGCATCAGACTATATGGTAACTAAAGGGTTTGATCCTGTATACATTAGTGGTTATAAAAAAAAAACCTTGTAATGGCAGTGTGCATCTTATGGGCTATATTAGGACCAGTGGTTGGTTGATTGGTTGGTTGGTTTTCATTTGAAGGTGTTATAAAAAATATCTGTTATGTTATGAGTTAAATCCAATCAACTGCAGTTCAGTGCCTGCATGCAGAAGAAACCCCGCAAGGTATAATGAAGCCCTCTTCTCTCGCTCCCCACCCGCAACACACACAGATGGGTGCATCATGAAACTTGGCAGCTGCAGAGGACGTGAGGCCTAAACACACCTGCTTAATCCAGGAACGTACTGAGTTCTCGTTCTCTGAGTGGGGATGGCTATCTAGCTGGGACTTTGGGAGACCCAACACAGGCCCTCCCATTCACCACAATGACCTTGTGTGGTATCTGTTCCTGCAGAGGGTGGAAGGAGGAAGCAGGACTCTGACCCTCCTGAAGCTGTGCCTCTACACTGCACTCCTTGTGGACTGGATTGAAACTTGTATGTGGAGAAGCTAAAATGAAAGCGTGCATAAATACCTTGATGTATTTGGGAAATGAATCCAGTCATTGGAAGAATTGCATATTTTAATGTCCGTATTTCACAAGTTGTAGGTACAAACTATCACGTGCCTGTTTTGAGGCTACTTTTGGAAAGTTTGTTTTGAACACTGGAGTTTGTATTTATTTCTTGACTTAGCAAGTTGAATCCTTCAGACTAGAAGGTTCTGAGGTCAAGTTAGCTCTTGCATACGTTGAAATAAATGAGCACAATAGCATTGTAGCTCAAGAGTTATATTTCTTTCCATTGATGAAAAGGAACAGTTGACAATATCTGTGTCCGATTTAACATTGGCATTAATAAAAGATGAATGGAAATGCCATTACTGTGAACAGATGGCAGTGGAAATGTATATTTCAGTTTCTGGGTCTGTTTGGGGTACGGTTGTCCTTAAATAGGTTACTTATGAAAACCTGAAGTAGCAGGTACCATATTAGATGAGACATTTCCCTTTCATGCAGGAGGAAATACCTCTTCTACAATAGTCTCTGCCCTGACCCACACATAACATTATTTAAAAATAAAGTGTGCACTTTGTTTTCTTCAAAATTGTTCTTTATTCATATGCAAGATTGGTTTAACACTCAGTTATGATCCATTATGTTAATATCTATGTGAAGGAGGGGTCCATGGGTTACTACCATGGCACAGGAGCTGTTTGTGTGGCCTCTCTTTCATCAGGACAATGCATCCAACTTCAATATTATTGAAGTGGCATTGGCATCCGCCATGCAGAAGCAGCTCCCATGCCACTCTTGGAGCGCGAATTGCCTTTGAGTATACCCTGCCTCCAGTTGGTTGTCTTGCCTGAGGCAGATTCATGAGCAAAATCTGCCTAATTGCTTCAGCCTGCCTGTAAGAAATATTTGGCCACATTTGTTTTGGGTTTTTAATGGTGAGCTCATATTAAAAGACTTCGTAATTTTTAAGAACTATGTTTATTTTCAGTTTGCCAGAATATTTTTCACAGGTAGCTTTTAATGAAGGTCAGCAATACTAAAAGTGACAAGAATTGGATTTCAAATCCAGTAAACCACTTCCTAGCCACTTTGTTATTTTCCTAATACAGTTGTATCTTGGTTCTCGAACGAAATCTGTTCTAGAAGTCCATTCAACTTCCGAAAATGTTTGAAAACCAAGGCACAGCTTCTGATTGGCTGCAGGAGCTTCCTGCACTCAATCGGAAGCCGCATCAGATGTTCAGCTTCCCAAAAAAGATTGCAAACCGGAACACTCACTTCTGTGGATGTGGCATTCGGGAGCTGAAATGTTCGACCCACAAGGCGTTCAAAATCCAAGGTACGACTGTAATTGTTTTTACCAGTCCGCATCCCCCCCCCCCCCCCACTTACCATTTAGAGAACTGCAGATTAGAGCAGGCATGCCCAAAATCCTTTTCGGGGGCCTAAAAAAAAAGCTAAACAACTTTGGGGTAAAATCATAAAAAAAAAGCTTAACAACTTCAATTCTAAAAATAAATGTCAAAAACTTTGGTTGGCCCCCACAGCCCCTTCACTTCATCAAATCTGGCCCTCTTTGAAAAAAGTTTGGACACTGCTGGATTAGAGAGACAGTGTCTCTAATAGATTTCCCTTCTAAAATACAGGACTGCCCAAAGTCTGACGATTTCGCCTTCCTTTCAACATTTAAGAGTACACATGGTTCATTGTGGCTTTCTGAGTGTATTTTATGGCTATAATAATAGTGTTACATGGTCATCGGAATGCTGGAGAAACAAGTTAGCATTTCCATTTACTAGGAAACTTACAGAGGTAACAAAAATATTTGGGGACCATTTCTATTGTGTAAATCTGTATGTACCTTGTGTATACAACTGAGTTATGTTAAACCTTCAGATCATTTTAGTGGACCATCTTTACTATCATGTATCCTTGAAATTTTGAAGTTTTGTGACGCCTGCATGATAAAAGTAAGGAGTATTTTCTGAAGACATTAACTGTCAGACAAAATTCTGCTAACTAGTAGCGCAGTCCAATGCATAACTACCAAAAGTAAGACCATTGAATGCAGTGAACTTTACTCCCTGATAAGTGGGCTTAGGATTGCAGACCAAATGAAGTGCTCTTATGGAATAGTGGCATAAAACCACGTTTTTCAGCCAAAGTATTTTGGAATGTACTCTCACAGTGTACGATGCTGGGTACTCAAATATTTCACCATCTTTGTTATCATATTATTCATACTCTTGTCTGTAGCTGCCCATTACACTATGGTCCATTAATGGAATTGGTTTGTTTCCCACTAAGCAGCTTGGGTTACTATGTTTTGCAGATACCAGAAATCAACTTTGTTCCTACTGCAAAGAAGCTCCATTCAGTACAGAACTAATGCATGGCATTAGGTATAACCAATTTTTTAAAAGGATATTAAAAATACTCTTAAGAATCCTGAATTTTAGATAGGAAGTAAAATGTTAAAATACTGACATTTTGAAACAGTGAAAACTACTTACATTGTGAGACTGACTGGCTAGCTTACCACTTTTTACAGTGAAACTTTATTTGCCTCAAGGTTAAAAACAATTAGCTCTTTTAAAGTGTTCTTAGTGTATTGCAACTTAAATAAATTACATTAAATTTTGGAGACAGAACATGAGCAAATTTGCATTCAAGCTTTCAACAAAAAGATTGAACCATTTCTTTAGACTGAAGATTGTATGTTCTGACTGAGTACTACTTCACCCAAGATACTACTTTTGAAAAACTGTGTACACTTTACAGTGAAGCATATGCCAATGTGTTTCTCGTAATATGTGTTTTGGAAGCCATAGTTTGTGACAAATTTGTGCAACATTTATACAGGTAAAATGCACATGTAGTAGAAAGGCACATACATTTTTCACACAATATTGAGCACCCAGGAAAACAATCCTAATGTGTGTGAAGTTTTCTTTAAAAAAACTTACCGTACGTGAAGAAGCCCTAGTTTACTAAACCTCAAAATATAATCTTCCAGTTGCTTTATTAAAGACACAGGGGTATCACATCATCAAAATGTGGGAAGACTTGTATGAACTGAGTAGAAATTTTATCTACAAGTATATTAAAGCCTAGTCATTGATTTCATTTCTGGTAGAAGAATGAATGAAGCTGCTATTGGGGGATAACATTGGAGATTGGTGGCTTGGATGCCAAATGCACAAGACCATACCTAAAAATGCACACGACTTTCACTACTGGGAATATTTTATTTTTTGTAGTGTGACCTAGAGCATTTATGATAAGCTTTTATCATGGTATAGATTTAATCTTCACACCTTTACAAATGATATTTTTCCAAATAAAATTCTACATTGAATGTCTAAAAACTATTGCAGGCTTGGCGTATTCTTTAAAAGTTTAAAGAATTTGGGTCTGACCCTACAACTGTTGCTATAAATGTTTAAATAAGTTAGATGTTGACATTTCACTTGGAAACTTTGTAGGTGTTCGGCTGCAACTTCCAGAGGGCTTCCCAGAGCCTTAAGGATAGCACTTCCCCACAGGCTGGGCACAATCATGGTTCTCCCAGGAGAGAGACACTGCGGCTCTTTCAGACCAGCCCTGCTGAGTGGCAGGGTTTCTGGTGAGCTCTCTAGAACTTTTGTTTTTAATAAAGAATCCACTCCACCCCGTGCTTATATGCAGCATCCCTGCTTGAGGATCACATTGACTTGGACCTCAGTGCAGTGATAGCCTGAGGTAGCCACTCCACTTAGGGTCGGATCGCCAAGCATGCAGCAGAGAGCCCACCGCCACCAGTCAACATAAGCTCTGCTGCAGCTGCTTCCAACCAGTTTCCTGGGACTCTTCCCAAAACAACCATTTTCCCCCAGCCCCAGGGGTATGTAGTCTACTGTTAGTCTACTGTTCAAATGCACATTTTGCATTCATTGCTTTTTCCTCTGGCTGAAAAAGATTCCCCACCCTTGAGTTAGAGCATGATGAAAACCAATGTATTGTACGGGGGCTCGGCAATTTAAGAACAATATGGGAAAACACATTTTCTTAGCAGCTGCCTATTTCCCCCACCTGACAGAGCAATAGCACTGCCGCTCTGGATCTGAGGCATATGGGGAAACCATCCCAAAAGGCCTTCCCTCCATGTGAAAAGGTCGCCTCACCCTGCCAAATTTTTGAAAAGGTGCTCTTTTGAAGGTTTCAGAGTTGGGTGGTCTAAAGGACAAGTCGGTAACAGTTTTTGTACATTATTTTTTAAGTGAGTGTGCTTGATGCTATCATCTGGGTTAAACTGGTAGCAACCTGCACTACTATTTTATGTGCCCTCCACACTTCATCCTAAATCCTGTACATATTAGAAGTGTGTACCTGATTTTCCTTGCTTGAAAGCAAAGCAATGGCTTTTCAGTGGGGCATACTGTATGACTTAAGATAGCCAAAGATTATTTTCAAGGCAGCCTGTTTTGAACCCAATATGTAGTGTTTAGTTTACAGCTTTCAGGAGCGATGCTTTTCACGTACACTGTGTCAGGAAGATTTTGGGCATCACATGGCAGGACAAAGTCTGAAACAAAGATGTGCTCTTCCAAGCCCACATTCCCATCACGTTCACACTCTTGTGTCAGAAACTTCTGGCTTGGTAATGTCCGCAGAATGCAAGATGGAAGGATCTCCAAGGAGGTGCTCTATAGGGAGATGGCTTCAGGCAACAAGCCCATTGGCAGACCAACTCTGTGCTACAAAGATGTCTGTAAATGTGACGTGAAGGCTGACAACATCAACCCTGCTGTGGGACTCCCTTGAAGACGACCACAGGTTTTTTATTTACAGCCGTGACCAGAGGAGAAATTAATGCTGGAAGGAGTGCAAAGAAATGCTGTGGTGCATCTGCGGCAGCACAGCTGAATGGCTTCATCTGACCCAGGCGCTGTAACTCTAGGTTTGACTTCATCTCCAAAGGTGCACGCCTCCCTGGTCTCCCAAGATAACAACAACAACTAAGTTTATATTGTTCTGATTTATTTATTGTACTTTTATTGCAGCTTTATTTTGTACTAATATACTGTTTGCTGCTTTGGGCCAAACAGCAGTACAGTGGTACCTCGGGTTAAGTACTTAATTCATTCCGGAGTTCGGTTCTTAGCCTGAAACTGTTCTTAACCTGAAGCACCACTTTAGCTAATGGGGCCTCCTGCTGCCGTTGCGCCGCCGGAGCACGATTTCTGTTCTCATCCTGAAGCAAAGTTCTTAACCTGAAGCACTATTTCTGGGTTAGCAGAGTCTGTAACCTGAAGCATATGTAACCTGAAGCGTATGTAACCTGAGGTACCACTGTATACAAATAAACCATAGAATAACTTGATCAGCTTCTGCAGCAAAACCTGGTGCCGTCTTCCTGGTGACTCCAAAGTTAAAAAGAACAGTAACACAGAAAAGTCATTAATTTAATGCGCTGTTTAAAGTTATTAGGTTGCAGAGCTAAGCAGCCTTAATTCAGAGAGGCACTGTCAACTTGCGTTTCATTCAATGTTACCGTTTTGCAAAGCAATCCTGAAGAACTGAAATGACGGCACTTTCTTCTTCCCTTCCAAAATAAACACTATCTTTAAAAATAGAAACATCTACCCCATTCTTAAACCACATGGCTTGAGTACAAATGTGGGAGATCTGGGCACCACAGTGAAAAATGTACAATGATCAAAAGGATTCCTCTGTCTACGTTTATAGTGGTATGGGAGAGCTGAAAACAATGCCAAGATTTTTCACATTTGGCAACCAACATGACCCTTGGTTTCAGATAGTACGTGGGTAGACAGTGAATTCTTTTCCAGCTCTCCCACCCCACGATTAAGGATACTACTTTCCATACATAGCAGCTCTTTCTGCCTGTTCTGTCCATGTTTCTGTCACCAGCTGTGGTGAAGTAATTGTAATGGCAGTAATTTCGATTTCTTATCCGCCATAAGGTCCCTGGGCAGGTTATAGCAAAGGACAGGAGTAGGGTTTGTAAAATATATATATATATATATGTATCTCAGTTGTTAAAGGCCAGGAGAGTGAAACTACATAAATGGAAATTGCATAAGTCACCAGGTACACCTCTGTGGGGAGGAAATTCTGCAATTTAGGGGCTACCACGGAGAACCCCAAACCTCTGAGGGGGGTGGAACTGTATTTTTAATCTCTTGTTAGAAGCCACCCAGAGCGACTGGGGAAACCCAGCCAGATGGGCGAGGTATAAGTAATAAATTATTCTTTATTATTATTATTATTACTACTACTCCAGAACTGGATTTAGGGTGGTACATGCGGTTACTCTGCACGGGGCACTGAGCCGAGGAGGCGCAAAATTAGATCCATAATTGATAAACTGCATTTGGGAACACCAAATTTTGGCCTCGCTCAGGGCACTAGATTACCAAGGATTACCAAAGTCTGCCCCAGCCCACTTTACTGACCTTAGCACCCTTCAGTAGGGAAGGAGGAAGTCATTTAGGGCTTTGAACACAAATATAAGGACCTGGAATTGGGCCTGGAAACTAATTGGTGTTGCTCTTTTATATAAGTTCTAAATTATATGTTTAAAACAGAGGTTATAGAAGTTCTAAGTAGACCCCCTCAGCCAGTAATATCCATATCTGATTATGTCACTGAGCAGGGCTGGTGAGAGTGCATAGAAGGAACTGCCACTGCCTTGTCTTCTCCTTCTTTTGGGACTATGGCTGGTGTTCAAGTTGGAATCTCACTAAATGTAATTGCCTTTGTTTGGCAACACAGTCTTTCCTCTTTTCCATCCAGTCTAAGACAAATGCACAGGTGACCCAGGGAATGTCTGAGTAAGAATTGGCTCCAGGTGAGAAGGCACATGCCTTTTGGTAAATTATAGCTGACGTTTTTCTCTGCTCCTCTCATTCCATTGATGAGCTGCAAATGCTTTAGAATAGGTATACCTGGGCAGGGAGTCTGCTCAGAAGTTCATAGGTTTGTCATTTCTGAGCATGTATTTGCAAGGCTGATCTAATGTATATACGGGGTGGGGGTGGGGTAGATTGCATGGCTGCGACATCCTTTCTGCAGGAATATTTAAAGATGCAAGCACCATCTCCAGGTGAAAACCTGGCATACCTGCAAATCTGGCTCACTTTCCCTTCCATCCACTTATCCTCTGCATGTACGATTAAAATGCTTCTGTTTCCTCAATATTAAACTATCTTAAACGGGACGTACAGACCTTGTGTTCAGTCCAAGGTTAATAATCTATCCTTATCCCTTGGCAGCTAACAGCATTAGCCTAAATCTAATATACAGTGGCACTGTGGGTTAAACCACAGAGCCTAGGACTTGCCGATCAGAAGGTCAGCAGTTCGAATCCCCGCGAAGGGGTGAGCTCCCGTTGCTCGGTCCCTGCTCCTGCCAACCTAGCAGTTTGAAAGCACCTCAAAGTGCAAGTAGATAAATAGGTACCGCTCTGGCGGGAAGGTAAACGGTGTTTCCGTGTGCTGCTCTGGTTCGCCAGAAGCGGCTTAGTCATGCAGGCCACATGACCCGGAAGCTGTATGCCGGCTCCCTCGGCCAATAAAGCAAGATGAGCGCCGCAACCCCAGACTCGGTCATGACTGGACCTAATGGTCAGGGGTCCCTTTACCTTTAATATACAGTGGTACCTCGGGTTAAGAACTTAATTCATTCCGGAGGTCTGTTCTTAACCTGAAACTGTTCTTAACCTGAAGCACCACTTTAGCTAATGGGGCCTCCTGCTGCTGCTGCCATGCCGCCGCAGCACAATTTCTGTTCTCATCCTGAAGCAAAGTTCTTAACCCGAGGTAATATTTCTAGATTAGCGGAGTCTGTAACCTGAAGCATATGTAACCCGAGGTACCACTGTATATCAGTTGTATGAGGTAGCTGTGCTTCCTGTAGGTATAAATACTGCAGTAGCAACATCCTTAAGCCAAAAGGCTAGCTGGTACCTCTTCCTCATTTGCAGTGGGTCCTGTGTCCTGATGTTATTACTCTGCGTTTGGCAGTGTTTGGTACAGAAATTCAGAGAGCATCATGGTGTCAGGATAAGTGGAACTACACATTATGGAGGGGGAGACATCTGTTCAGGGCTGCCATTTTTCAGCTGCTCTGTAATGTGATCCCAAGATCAGCTGCAAAAACCAGATTTCTGTTGAGAGCCAGTGTGGTGTAGTGGTTAAGAGCGGTAGTCTCATAATCTGGGGAACCGGGTTCGCGTCTCCGCTCCTCCACCTGCAGCTGCTGGGTGACCTTGGGCCAGTCACACTTCTCTGAAGTCTCTCAGCCCCACTCACCTCACAGAGTGTTTGTTGTGGGGGAGGAAGGGAAAGGAGAATGTTAGCCGCTTTGA